ATAAAGAGTTTTTGTTATTTCTTTTATAAAGATTGCATCTGTGTTTTGCAAGTGAGAGTGAAATGGACGCGTGTCTGGAGCTGAATCACCTGGCGATGCTAACTAGCTGTATCACCACGAGATTCGTCAGGCCTCCTGTGTCACTGAATATACGTTCTGACAAGCCAAGGCTTCACGCCGTAATTGATTCGAAAACAACGTGCAGTTTGCTTCTTTAGATATCCAGGAGCAGGCAGTCTTGTTAAAAAAATAATTATATAGTAAATGATGCTGGTTTAGATATTTAGTTCTGTGGATAAATGTCTCTGCCATGTGGAATAAATATTTAAATTTATACCATAGTTTGTTTTGTGTTTTGTTTTGTTGCCAGGCGTCTGTTTTGCATGTTAAACAAAACAAATTAATTTAGTGAATTTCCTTTTTAAAATCATTTTGTAAAATATGTTTTAAAAATATTGGGTTTTTAAGGAAAGTTTTTTATTAAATATTGAAATATTTAGTTCGTACGCACAGCTTCTACCACATGATTTTACTCCTTGATTTTCGTGATATAATTTATGGGCGTGGTTCAGCTAAATAATTACTAGCAATAAAAATCAGATGGCTTATTCGGCTATTAAGATTTATTTCCCTCGCGGAATTATTCTTACGCTTTAAGAAATCGCCACAGCGGGTTGCTTGCGAATTATGAAACAAAATTGGTGTTTTTGATATTTATGGAAACCTCGTGGGACCACAAATCTGTAACTAACCGAAACATATCCCTGCGAGCAGGACCCCCAAGGTTTAAGTGATCGGTACCCCTGTCATTTTGCCGTGGCGAGTCAAAAAGTAGCTGGGATCGATTTCCACAGTTCTACATAAATATTTGATTAGGAAAGGGCGCAACTATTACGGTAATGAGAAAGAGAGTGCATTTTGCTCAACTCCGTCGTTATCATTAAAAATTAAACAGCCTTGATCATTGCATAATGTGATTATCCGAGGGTGATTTGATTAAGCGCTTGTGCTGCGGTTGGCAAAAGGGTCAGTCAAGAAAATCGTAACACGGCCTAATTTGATCAGCGCAAGGCCTCTGTACATAAAGGCGGGTCGATCGTTGTAGCGGCACATGGCCTGGCTAAATTACGACTTCCATTTGCCGCAATATATCCCCCTCAAAGGCTCAGGGGACCGAGACAAGGGGAATTCCTTGGAGACTTTGCCCGTTCCAGAACAAGCCAATCTCGTTCATATTTCCTCCCTCGTGTTTGGCAAGGCTTGAAATGACCACACGATCGCCTAACGCTGGTGTTCTATTCCTCCTGGTAATTTTCCCACTCCGATAACTTTCTGCCCGCTATTTTGTAATTTAAATTCATTACCATGAAATTTGAACAAAAATGATAAATTATGGACGGGTTGGGGAGTCTTTATCCTCCATATTTTCGTTAGAATGTGACATCGCCGCGGCATAAGTTTGATCGTGGAAGTCACGCAATTTAAAGCTTCAGCGATCAGTGTAAAAATGACTGCCTTGAGATTTATGACCAGGGATCCTTATCGATTTTCCCCTTTTTCTGATATGATATTCGTCATACGGGTAATCCCCAGATGTATGGTTTAAGTTGCACGAAAGGACAAGCGACTAGATCAGTTTCAAATGCGCCCTCATATATTTTCCATATGGCATTGCGGAAAACGGATAAGGATTTCTTCATTATCCGATCTAATATTATTATTCGGTATGAACTGTATTCTTTCTGGTAATTTTACTGATATATTTCAACCGATGATACCATGTTAAAATAGAAATTAGAAGTTTTTGACATGGTTCGTGGGAACTTCGCGGGATGTTTAGATGCTAACATGAATCTGTTATATATCTGTTTATGTCTGCAAGATCCCAAATCCCAAAGTGCCTCTGTCACATTGTAACGAATTCTCGCCCAAATAAGGAAGTAAATCAAATGTGAAATATATACTACTCAGCTTTTGATAGGAACATTGATGCTACGTATTATTTGCTATTCTGCATATGAATTTGAAATCGTTGACATGTAAAATGTTTCGCCAAACATTGATGTCAATGTTAAATATATACCAGTGAAAATGTGATACTAAGGTGAATATGGTTCATTGTATTACGAATACATACAATGTTGTATCAATCTGATGTACAACTGAATTGAATACTTGAGTAGTAGGGGAGAGAAGAGAACAGGCGTCATCGCGAAACTTTGAAACAAACAGGTTAAGGGAATATTGGGGAGCATGTCCCTGCACACATGAATCACTGTTTGTTCGCGTGTTCATGTTGCTCAATTCGTAATTCAAATACACTTTTTTAATAATTATAATAATAACAATAAGAATACTTTATTGTCCGAGAGGGAAATTGTTTTACATCAGATGCTGTAATAAAATAACATATATAAGATTGTTTTACATTGAACAAACACATTTAGCATTTAAACATAAGGAATTATGACGTATTTGACATGAAACTAGCAATAACAATGAGTGCTGGGTATCATAAAGCTTCATAGAAATAAATGGGACCTTTCTTTTTTACAATTATGTTTACGGATTCTATTACTTCCTGCAGCTATGTAAATTTATGCCATTGATCCTACAAAGGAGCGTTTTTATTGTTTGTGTTTATTTGGTTTTGGGGGGGTGTTTATTGTTTGAAGCGTCATGTTTGTATTTGATCAGTTCAAAACAATGCCCTCGTTTTGGCGATGGTACACATGCGGAATACATTAATTATTTAATATTGCTGGCATTTTGATAAATTAGTATTGCTTCAAGATTCATTACCCATGTGGTAAACAGAAATTACCGTGTTGGTTCGGTTAGTTAATATCCCCATAAATTAACGCGCATGCTCCGCGTGCCTCGGACGACAGATCCTCTGCATGACGAATTCCCGCCTGCCCTCCATATGTCCCGCGGATGTCAAACTGACCCTTGTTGACAAATGTTGCCGCACGTTCACGAGTGACGTCACGGATCGTTTGCTCAAGACATACCATCTGGGCTCTCTGATTGACACATGGAATTATTGTACCAATTAGTGAGTCTAGTAGCTGTGTAATATGTATACCAAGTTTGGATTGAATTTCTGACGGAATTTCTACAGAAATAATTGTGGTCGTAATGGTTACGATATTAAGACGTAAAAGGTTTTATCTCACTTGACTGAAGACATTTGATAAGTCATGATTAAATTGTCTTGGAAGTCTTAAATAATCCCTTTATTTATTGCCAAGTGGAACTATATGACATCTTGAAGATTTGGGTATGTCTCAATTCGAAACTAAATATAGTGGCTTTCAAATTCAGACGAAATACGATCCCCCAGTTTGTTAAGTTAGACGTGTTTGAATTTACCGTAATATATTTGTTCGTGTACTAAACTTATAATTATACTTGAAAACATTTTGTGATTTAACGCCTCTCCAAAATTACCCCCGTGACGAAACAGCCAAGTCACAAATAACAGTGAAATTTGATCGTACGCCCATTCACTGCGTTTCGTGAAAGTTAAAAAAATATATAAATATAAATATGATCAGAGCTCGGATAAACAAGGCGCACGTGTCTGTATAAACATGTCACAATAAGTGCAGATATTTTCATAATTTGTGTTCTGTGTTTATACTCAATTCCATGAAACGCGGCTAATAAATTAACGATGAATATGTCGCCATCTTATCTCAGAATTCAAGCGGGCCAGGAAGTCGCGGTGTGAGGCACATCTTGGACCAATTTCTTGCGTGTTTCTCCGACTTTAACCGGAATCTCACGAGCCGATGCACTCTCGTTATTCTGGACATTTTAGTCATTCAGAAAATTACCCGTCTAACTATGGCCGTCGAGTTATTCCACGACGATAATTTCGTTTTAACAAATTTAATTAAAGAGTAGTAGCGGAAGAGGTGATTTAAGTAGAACTGTGACCAATAAAACCGCTGTAATGTTAATACGAGCGACACTAGGTTATTAAGTAATGCAGGACGATGTCTACACAGGAATGTGTTGGGGGGACATGTGTATTTCTACCTCAGGTTGAAAGACTGCTTTCCTACAACTCACTTTACAAAGAAAATACTTGGAAATATGTTGTGAAAAGGGAAATCTACAAACTAAAAACAAATGACAAATATCAAGATTGTACACAGTGTATATTTTCATTGACGTTTTATTTATTTTTATATTCATAATAATAATCCACTCAATCATTTGAATCATAATTATACATGAATGTGAAACAGTGTTGTTCTAAATGCACCTTCGTTGATATCAGGACTGGGTTAGACGACTTAGAATTTTAGACGGATCGATGTACAATGAAGAGATAATATTGACCGATATTATGTTTTAGATGTTCAGGATTCAGATACTTCCTAAATGTTTTGTTTATTATTGCTATATGTTGAACAGGTAGTTATTATGATTAATTATGAATACATTGAGAACGTGTTTTTTTTAAATTCTTTTCGTTTGTTAGTTAAATCAATGAATCCGTTTTCCCATCGATTGTTCCAATTTAAGCAGAGGCATAATGTTACAAGCAGTGAAGATATCGTTACTATGGAAGCTATTTAGTATGGAATTAATATATTTCTTTTTATTTCAGATTACAAATCGGTTTTATACATAGCATTTCTTTTCACGACATGATTGATACAACCGACCCACGCTATTATATACGTTTTCTCATCTTCAAAGAAATATGGTAAAATATTATCGCAGAAAAACATACTTTTTTCCAAAAGAACATGAGTGGCATTAAATTGAGATTGATATTCACCACGCGCCTGGTTTAATGAGAAAATGATAGCTAAGCATTCCTGCACATATGAACTGGGTCGTTGTTATCCGTTCATGTTTCGTGGAGCGAACAGCTCGTGGTTCATTCTGTTTCAGATGTCGCTATGCAGGTGGAGCGGATTCATGTCACTAACATCCCTTACTATAAACCCAGTTAGTAAATCCAGGTGTTTATTTCACAGGTACTGGCGTACGTCGATCAACTTCATGGGAAATGGAACTTCACCGAAATACGCGCCATCTTCTCACGGCGATACCTCCTGCAGAACGTGGCCATCGAGATCTTCATGTCCAACAGAAGTACGGCCGCCTCTTACATCTGTAGAACATGTTGACATATATCCTGCACGTATCATGAAAATATCGATGTATTAATCCCGTAGTAAGCTTGGAAGTGACGGGACCTTAATGAGTGAATGTTGTTCCTGATTGGCACACTGAAATACACACGCATACCTGACATATACATTTGTATTTAGGCGAAAGAACATACAATACACGTTTAATAAATATTATTTTAATGTTAAATACAGGGAAACAGATAAGTAAAACAAATTACTAAATGTCAATATTAGTACATATACAGTATAAAATCAGCATGTATGTATAACAAGGCACAATCAAATCAAGAAATATTTTCATTGGAGTAAACAAACGAATCTACAAGTATCCATTCATAGTCCGCGGTAAACTAGGCATTAATCATTAGGTATATTATATTATATTATATTATATTATATTTAGTATAAACCTTTTCTTATACTGTATATTATATTTTATTGTATTATACATGGAACAAAACGGTTGGGGGCCATGACATTTTAGGGGTATTGTATTTTAGGGAGGACTGAGCACTCCACTTCATACATATATTGCTCAAGTATTCTTTATCTGTGACCTTTTCTGGTAAGTTTATTATATTTTTTACGCAGTAGTACTATTAAGTTACTCTCAGGCGTCGCACAGGACTGGCCAGTTATGACCATTCCTGGTTAATGTACGTTAATTTGAACATATTGTCTCCCAGAAATAAATCCAAAATAGTACTACGTGTGACAAAAATACTACATCCTACCAAGCGTAACAATTATTAACATTCTGATCATTCATACGTATCTGACGTGAAATAATTTGTAATAATACAAGAAGATAGCACAAAAAATATCAGGTTAGCATATTTGGACATGTACACCCACCATTGTCTATAATCAGATGTTAGGATACGCACTGCTTACTTTCGAGTCTAATTAACACTTTAGAATTATTACCAGACATTTTACTTACCACTGAAAGTCGACAGGAGTCTGTGATTTAATACCGATTAAAATGCTACCCCTGAATAAATTATAGAATGGACGAGAAACTAACACCTCATGGGACGTACGATATTTTGGTAGCTATTCATGTGACGAGAATGATTGTACCCATCATATACCGTTGCTTTGTTATGCATATGACGTCTTCCTGCATCAATCATGATAAAGAGTGTCCATGAATTTGCAGATAACCCTCGGTTATGATATCATTGAACTGGGTTTCGGATTTATTCCAAAACTAGTTTTCTGAATATTATACCGGTTTGACTGGGCTTGCGTTAGTGCATATAACGTCTAATTGGGTACACACACTGTACATTATCGTCGTTACCTCAAACGTGGAAATGTTATATGTAGTGAGTGTATTTAAAAAATATTCACAAGCATGTTTTGAATGTAAGCTGTCATTAATTATGCATAGGATTACCAAAATGATCAATCATAAAATATTGCTTACCATAGTTGGTATATTGAGTTTTTTTTGTTACATGTAATTTGATTTAGCAACAAAAAGGCGAATTGACTTAAAAATCTAAAAGGTTTATGGATTTGGTTCATCCTTAGATATCATTGATTGTACAGTAAAACTTATTTCAATCATGATAAAATAATAATAATTATCATTATCATAATATGTTCAATGAGATCAACGTAACTGTAAATTGTTTGTGACAAATGTATTTTTATAGGCAAAATGTAGCAGTAGTATTAATATTAATAAGAATAACAGCAACTATAATACTAACAAAGTAAACAATAATCCTATTGCATGGGTTTTCTGACAGCCATGATTGACACTGACATAATGAATCACACAACATGGATAACAAAACAGACAATATACGAACTGTTCAGGGGACATGCAGTCATTTAAGTCGTTTATGTTTTGGGGTGAAGTGGTTTATGTATGGGCCAATTGTAGGGGGTATCAGTGAACGTGTAGCCCCCGGGCCTGACACCGCTCCCCAGGGGGAACACACTTATCTACTAGGTGCCATGTCAATAGATATAGAGTCTCGTCACAAGACGTGCCACGAAGGAAATTAATTGTGATTCTCTTTAACATGTGCTTAAACTCTTCTACTAGAGCACTGCACGTGTGTGATTAACTTAAGACTCTTGATTAGGCGAGGATTGGGCGTGCTGGCCGGTTTAATTGGCTGGTTTTCAGTTTAAACCATTTGTAAGGCGTTTAAGAGATTTTTGCAATTTACACAGCATTGGATTAGATTATTTTGTATTCCACCAAAACTAATGATAAATACTAACGTTTTGTATACGGATACGTAAATATAGAACTGCGCTCTAACGACTTATCGTTCCTCGTGCATCGTCGTCAGTAAAATCGTTATTTAGTGAGTGAGTGGGTATTTACGTCGCGTTTTTCAATTGTAAATCGTCTTTTGATATTTGTTGTTGTATTTTCTTGAATACTTATTTAGTTGATAATTATTATTGTGGAGGTGAGTTGAACGTTCATGAGTCCCTTGAGGATTCGGGTTAGAATAGTTTATCGCAACTTACGCTGTTCGTGAGACGCGACCAGCTGGATCGGGTGCTCAGACTCCGTGACTTCGTTGACTCCGTATACTCCGACAGCGTGGATTGTTCCTCGGTATATTGATCACATGATTGGCTCGTCTAGACTCGGTAATATACAGACAGATTGTTTATTAAAGCCTCACCTCAATATAGAATAGGTGAGGTGAGGCGAAATTGGGTTTTACGTCGTGCTTGAGAATATTTCGCTCATATGACGACGTGCATGCATGTGTATGTGTATGTGTATGTGTATGTGCGGCTACTTGTACTAGCCCAGACTGAAGCTGGTTTTATAGTGCTAGCCCACTGAGATACCATGCCGCAGTGAAGCATGAATACCCCACTCAGACACATTATACTGACTCCGAGCCGACCAGTCCTTGTTGTACCCATTAATGCCGAGCGCCAGGCAGGGACCAACAAGTACCATATTTTAACGTCTTTTGGTATGACGCAGTCGGGGATCGAACCCGCGACCTTCCTCTCTCTCCGGGCGGACGCTCTAACCACTACATCACGGAGGCGGTCCAATATATAGAATAGATTCAGTCAAAGAAAAGCAATTAACGTCAGCCACTCCTATAAGGAGTTATAAGAGACTTTCTGTAAAATGTACACAAAGATAAAATATAATTGTATAAAACAGGCCTCTTTAAGATAACCGGAATGCTTCGGAGAGATGTTTTTTAAGAAGAAACAAGTGCAAGTTTTTGTCGCATCAGCTGTTTACGACTACACGTTTCTAACGCCTAGCAATAGAACGACATCGTATATCGACGCCGGAAAGTGTTTGCTCGTCACGCCGAAGACCTGGGTTCGATTCCCCACATGGGTACAATATGTGTGGCCCATTTCCGATGTCCCCCGCCGTGATATTGCTGGAATATTGCTAAAAGCGGCGTAAAACCAAACTCACTCACTCACTTACGTATATAGGCGACTGTTAAGATTGGGTGAAGTTTGTTTCTTGGGCCAATTTCAGCTGTTTGACCGCGACCTGTAAATAATCGAGTCATTCAATTAATTGATTGATATTATGAGCATCGATCTACGGCATCCACGTACGATGACGCCATCGTCGAATCTCACCGATCCTCTTACTTGCCTTTAACAGGTTGTTGGAGACAGAAATATTATTTTAACCCGGAATCGTCATGGAATCATGGATCGTCTTGTAAAGGATCATTATGAACAAAAGTCAACAAAAATATACGAAAATGAAAAACATTTATATGAATTATGTATAGTAATCAACACGACGCTTGAGAAATCAAAGCTTTATTTTATTTATGTTCGAATAAGACACGTTGTAAGGGAAGCATGTGCTTGTGGCGGCGGTGTGAAGCGGTGCCGACTGGGATCCGTCTCAACTCACGAACATCGGTGTTATTGAGTGATTGACAGCCCGCAGGTTAATTTCATAGTCTGGTCCCGAAACAAACACTCGCTGTTGGCTAAATGGATATTAAAAACATTATGTATATTTGAATATTATTTTTTACCAACATAATCCTATAAACATACTCTGTTTTTGTGCGAAGTCTCACAGGAAATGAATGCGCCTTACAAAATTTTCCTTTTATCAGGTGTATTACGCGATGTTGCGCTGTAGGTTTTATGAAACAAGAATGCATTTTAACACGTGGATGTACAGTCCAAGAGCGCGGTCTGATATATTTGGAATATATCAATCGCGGCCTGTGGAATATTATCTTTCACATTCAATTTAGGTATGTGAGAGTTACCGCGTTATTTAAAAGAAACAATGCATTCGGTTCATTTCGTTTCGATTCCGTGTTCGTTTCCACAAGAATGTGTTAACAATTGTTTTTTCTTTGGCTGACCTATTGTCAATAAAGGCAACGTTTCTTGTGGAGTTTAAAACCCCCTGCCTTATGTAAAGATCAGATCTAAGTAAATTGGCGAGAACACGTGACTAGGAAGGAGACTGAACTGAAAATCGATCTCAAAATACCCCAATACACTAACCGGTACCCGTATTTGTCGCTGTTTTGAGCGCCGTAGTGTTTGTATAGACATGATATGAACGCCATCTCAAGCCCAGTCGAACCTATCCCATGTCTCGTTGGTTGAAATGCACTAATTAATATCAGAATGTCAGAGATGCATTATATACGTGACATTCGTGATATTAATTGATCTGGAAATATTTCACCAACGACATAAGGAAGGGCCTGTGGTCGAACGTCATGAAGCCTACAGAAATAGTTTGTGGCAATATAAAAAATAGACGAAAAAGTTGTTTCTATCATTAAAGTATACTAAAATGAATATGAATAAACGCGTCTGTGGAGTAATTAATTATTACAGTATGAATGAATGTAGGTAGCATCAAATAATAACACTTGCAGTTCGTTTTAAATGCATGCATTCATATTAAGATTATCACGGTCAAAGGGGAGACAACTCGTAATTGAAGCGTTCGTATAATCGTTCATGGAATTCATCCAGTTAATATGATAACAATACAATACATTGCAGCAGAACACAAGTACATAAAGCACAGTGTATATCTTCTCACTGTCGATATTGTATGGTCTTAAGAAATAACATACTCTATTAAATTATTAGCTGCATCTTTGAACAAACTATTTGTTTAAATGTTGTCATTATCAGGATGGAAATCTGTCAGAAAACTGCAGTATGTTTCTCATGTGTCAAATTGGGACAAAAGACTTTGTTCAAAATATGCCTTTGGTCTCCTATCAGTCAATGGGTACCAAGTGGTATGATATAGTAAGATTACTGTTAAACTTCTACCACTCTCAGTAGATACAAATGGCATTATTTCTACTTTCAGCCGCTGTGATGTTTGCTTTCCCAGACCATTCCACCGTAAAGAAAGTCATCAATGCCTTGCCCCGTGTTGGAGTCGGGATAAAATATGGACTTCCGCAGGCCAGGTTAGTACATCACATGACGTACAAACCACACAGGTATAAAACATGATAAACATCTAAACATTATTAACTAGATATTAGTATATAAGATACTGAGATTAATATTTATGATAATATGATAAACTGATTTTGAAGCACTCAGGTTTTGACAGGAAATACTGGAATCAGTTGGGCCTTAGGTGTTTGTTTTTTTTATGCAACCAACTGACTTTTGACAATTTTTGTCGGGTTGACTGTTTTACAGTTAGCTGAAATGAAAGCCATGGGGAATAATACCGGGGTACATGCAAAAATCTACATTCTAACTTAGGACCCAATCTAACATTTTTTTGTTTTCTTGCCTCATTAAATCTTATGGTTTTGTTTTTATTAGTAGCAGTCCTGTCTGGAAGTTGAATGTTTTTAGAGAAAATGGTCCATCGACATTGGTTTTTAAAACTTTTGCAAATTATTTAATAAAAGATATTATTTTACTTTCTGTAGACGGATGTCACTTGCATCGGGTAAACAGCTGTACAAGCTGTCCTCCATGACCCAGAAGTGGCAGAGGAGGGAGATTTCAAACTTCGACTACATCATGTACCTCAACACCATTGCAGGTATGTTGCATGTCCAACTTCACATTTACTCCAAACTTCATCTTTAGTATGTTAGAGATTAGTTTGTTTGTTTGTTGTTTAACGCCGCACTCAGCAATTTTCCAGCTATATGGCGGCAGTCTGTAAATAACTGAGTCGGGACCAGACAATCCAGTGATCGACATTATGGACATCGATCTACGCAATTGGGAACCGATGACATGTGTCAACCAAGTCAGCGAGTCTGACCACCCGATCCAGTTAGTTGCCTCTTACGATAAGCATGGGTTACTGAAGGTCAATTTGCATCTGGATCTTATTATTAGAGATTATCACTCAGCTCATGTTACGTTGTGTTGTAGGTCGGACATACAATGACCTGAACCAGTATCCGGTGTTCCCATGGGTGCTGGTCAACTATGACTCCGAGGAACTGGACCTGAGTCAGCCTGCCAACTACAGAGACCTCTCCAAGGTGACACTCACATGAACTTGCTGTTACATTCAAACCCACACTCAGGTCCTTACAGCCAAACCCACAGACTCACATTTTCTCACTGTCACACCCACAGACTCACATGTTCTCACAGACACACCCGCGGACTCACATGTTCTCACAGCCAGATCCATGTACATCTGCGTATTCAGTTGCCTCCTTTAGGAGTGCCAGAAGTCAGTGATTGTTCACTCTGAACTCTGCTCCCTTGTCAAGCAGATAACCTTAATATAACCAACATGCTTATAAAAGCATTAAACAAAATGCGTTCACACTCTGACACCCGAGTATGACATAATTTACACAGTTTTTATGGACCGTTTTGGTGACTGACAGCAGACAAAATGCATTTTATGTTGTTGGTACTGTTCATGTATAGTTATATTGTTTAAGTAAAACATCGTTTGACAACAGTTTGTTAGTGCTCTCCCTTCGTGAATTTCAAAGCTTGTAACATTAGAAAATATTTTGTGGAGCACTGTCAAGGGGAGGTAACCCCAAATCTGACTTATCAATGGATTGATAATGCCTTCATCTCTGTATTTCTGTGGCAGCCAATTGGAGCGCTAAATGAGACGCGGAAGGCGTACTTTGAGGAGCGGTACCAGAGCTGGGAGCATGATCAGATCCCCCCGTTCCACTACGGCACCCACTATTCCACTGCAGCATTCACACTCAACTGGCTGATCAGAGTGGTGAGTTGTCCGCTCCTGGTGACTAGCATCCTATACCTCATCCTTGTCAATCTCCATCAGCACCTTGTTGCTGCCTCTTAGCTCACCTGAATGGGTCATTTGCTTAAGGTGTCCTCACCGTTTAAGCTGTTGGGATGATCGAAGGAATATAGCTATTTAAAGTAAATACTTATTCTGAAATTTTAGAGTCTGATTTCACTGCCTCACAGTTTATAGTTTGGCTGAAGTGATTTAGTGTCTGTCAGAGATTTTATGAGAGCTTCAAGGTGTAGTATTATATTCAGCAAACTGAGCCTATTCTGGGCACCTCAAGTCTTGTGCAGAGTGGCCTCCCTTGGACACACCAGTAAGCTATGATTGTGGGTTAGAATCCTATTTTGCCCAATTATGTTTCTGGCACTATGCCCATGCTTGAGGGTTTCATGTAAGAAGTAAATGTGCTTCACTTTGGTGTTTCCTCCAATATCAGGCTGACAAGCCCTGATGTAACTAGAACATTATTTATGTATACCCACCTCACTTTCTCACTAGTACAGTGGGACCACCTCCGTGGTGTAGTGGTTAGAGCGTCCGCCCGGAGAGCGGAAGGTTGTGGGTTCGATCCCCGACTGCGTCATACCAAAAGACGTTAAAATATGGTACTTGTTGGTCCCTGTCTGGCTCTCGGCATTAATGGGTAAAACAAGGACTGGTCGGCTCGGAGTCAGTATAATGTGTCTGAGTGGGGTATTCATGCTTCACTGCGGCATGGTATCTCAGTGGGCTAGCACTATAAAACCAGCTTAAGTCTGGGCTAATACAAGCAGCCGCACATACAAATACACACGCATGCACGTCATCATATGAGCGAAATATTCTCCAACGCGACGTTAAACCAAATTTCACCTCACCTCACTAGTACAGTGCACTCAGTCTAATTCGGACCGGCTTGGGCTTGATCAGTTGCTCATCAATCACTGGTTTGTCTGGTCCAGATTTATTTAGAGAAATATTGTTGAGAGCAGCATTGGACAGCATTGGCTACAAAGGCACATCACAGACCGTTCTTTCACTAACTCCACATTGCCCACCTGTGTCTCCAGGAGCCGTTCACCACCATGTTTCTCAACCTGCAAGAGGGCAAGTTTGACCACCCCAACCGGATCTTCACCTCCATCAGCCAGGCCTGGAAGAACTGCCAGAGAGACACCTCCGATGTCAAGGTCAGTCTGTCCATTCTTCACATGATAATTAGGGACATATAGAATCACAACACTATCATAATACACAGTATTATTCATATGATGAACATTTCCTAACAACTTGTTATCAGATGCAATTACATATGCAGATGTGATTACTGTATAGCAAATGCCTTCATTCTGGAAAGTGTCGGTGCGGTTGCCTAGTGGGTAAAGCGTTCGCTCATCACACCGAAGACCTGGATTCGATTCCCAACATGGGTAAAATGTGTGAAGCCAATTTTGTGGTGTCCCCCCACCATGATATTGCTTGAATATTGCTGAAAGCGGCGTAAAACCAAACTCACTCACTCACTCATTCTGGAAAACAAATCTTATACTTGAACCTGGGAAGGGGAGACAACTGTTTCTTGTAGCGTGGTTTAAGTTGACTTTATTGTCACACTCCTATTGTAAGACAGTTTTCAGTTCACCATTTTAGATGTTACACAAGAAATGTTTTAGATACAGAATGCCTGTACTTATGAGTAAGCAATGAGATGTTCTTGATGTCTGCCATCTTCAGGAACTGGTCCCTGAGTTCTACTGCCTCCCGGAGATGTTCATTAACAGTAGCGGATACAACCTCGGCAAACAGGAGGATGGTGAAGTTGTCAACGATGTCATGCTTCCACCCTGGGCCAAATCTCCCCATGACTTTGTCAGGATATTGAGAATGGTGAGATGACCTAATTTTACACACCACTGACATTTTTACTAATCAAGGTCAAGGTTACATGTTTTAACATTATAGAACAAACTTTATGGATAACAACTTCTTTTATTTGGTGAGTGCGATGTTTCGATACAGATTCTTGTACCGTTGTGAAGCATAATGGAACATGAAGAAGGGGGAAGTGTATATATACTGGATGTAACAATGTAACAAAGAAAACAACATAATTAACATAATTGGCGAGGCAGAAAGCTGATGAAGCCAGAGAGTAGACAAAGGACAGGCGTGGAAGCCAATGATGTACCAGTAATAATGAGATGTTTATACAGCAGAATTTATACAGTAGGTTGGGCTTGGTGGATGAGTGCATCATAAGCATCCCTGTAATAATTTCCAAGTGTAATGAGTGCTACATAATCAAATTGTCCTCGTCATTTGGTAATCTATTTTTACTACACAGGATAAGGTTATATAAGGCTAGCAGACAAGCCATTCATATTTAATGGACAAGACTGAAACAATTTCAATGAGCCTGGCATCTCATTAAATTTCAGGTAGTGTGTAGTCTAATGGTTAAAGCATCGTTTCGTCACACTGAAGACCCGGGTTAGATTCCCCACATGGGTACAATGTGAAGCCCATTTCTGGTGTCCCCCACCGTGATATTGCTGGAACATTGTAAAAAGCAGCGTAAAATTAAACTCACTCACTCATTAGATTTCTCTGTTTTTACAGGCCCTGGAGTCGGAGTTTGTTTCCTGTCAGCTTCATCACTGGGTTGACCTCATCTTCGGCTACAAGCAGAAGGGTGAGTACTGGTTGTGTATCAATAAACAAATGAATAAATTTATATGTATAAAATAAGGCTCAGATATAAATCCTGTATTTTGCAGCTTCACAGTCTTTCATAGATCTTGATGATGAAATAGAAATACTTCATGAAATTGTGAAACCATTGATGTTTTAGTGTTTAGCTTCAGATGAGAATGCTAGAAGAAAACATACTATTTAAAGTGATGTACTGGCAAACAAGGATAAGTTGAGCACTTTCATTAGTTATGTAAGGAATGCTGTATTTGGGGTTGTGGATCTGTAAATCAAGTACAGTCAAATCCCGATGAGTCGAATGCGGTGTCTCGAATATTATGCATAACTCAAAGTACCTGTGGGTCCCAACCATTCCCTTGTCATCATTTGAATACCGGTTACACAAATTTGTCTCATAAATACACCACGATGACACAAGAAGAAAAATTTGGTCCCATGAGATTCAAACAACAGCAATCTTGTATACACAAACCGAAGTCAGTCAATGAGAAGTTGATTGGTGTAACAAACTGATCCAATTAACAAACCAGCTGCTTCACACCTTTCCGCTTTGACGGGTGAGTTCAAAGTCAGATTAGTGATTTTACGGAAATCACTGTCTGTGCTAATCAGACTGGAACTGATAAGGTGCCCCTATTAGTGATAGGGAAATCATCAGCTAAACAAATGCTTAGGCGGAGGAATTAGGACTGGATCTTCTTTTTTTCTACCCTAATAGACATACCTATGTCTCGAATACATCGATAAGTCGAATTTATTACTTGGTCCCCAGAGATTCGACTCATCGGGATTTGACTGTATTTCAAATACAAAACTTTGTGTCAACCACCTGTATGACTATGGTTTATCTATGTTTAACTGTTTGAATAGATGGGTTATGTGTTATATGAGGGACCATATCTGGTACTGAGGTCAGATTACTTTTCTTGTCCCAGGTCCTGAGGCTGTACGCTTCCACCAATGTATTCTACTACCTGACGATTTGAGGGTGCTGCCAACCTAGAAGCCATGACGGACCCAGTTATGAAAGAGGTTAGTCTGTCCTGAATGCAGACTGTAATGACCATAAAGACTTTCACGATTATAACTGGTTACTTCATTTGTTTGGGCTACTGCAATTACCTGTGAACATTGTTGCTTCCCTTGGGCACACCAGAAATCTATTACTTGGGTTCAAATTTCTGTTTTTTCCATTGATTATTATTTTTAGGTTTGTCAGCTCCAAACCAGTGTTCTTTAAGTTCAACAAAGTGGTCAATGTGTGAGGCCTTCATTACTTTAGAATATCCTTTCACATTCAGCTGACACGCTGTAAGGCAGCATTAGACCCAACTCACTCACTCACTCTGTTTAATCTGTCTATATTTTCAATTTACCGTTTTACTTTCAGGCCATTGAAAATCAAATCCAAGCAGTTTTGGTCAGACCCCAACACAGCTCCTTGCAGAGCCTCATCCACCTCGCAGCTCCGTCATGCATCTGGTAGGTGTCACTTCAGGACCCTTAACACAGGGGTCTTCACTCTGTCCCAGATACAACTCTATCATCACTAGACACTTGCTTTAGATTCAGGCTCTTTCCTGTGCATTCTCTAACATAAAGCTTTATCTGAGTCATGTATTTTTACTTTGTAGCAAAATAGATAAAACCCTAAAGCCTGGAATGAAATTCTTAATGACAAGATTTTAAAATATATTGCACTTTTTCTGTTGTTTCAAAGTGAATTTTTTGTATATTGTTGTTTTGTTGTTCTTTGTCTGTATTAGCATCCTTAGAGTCCTTGGATGAGATTTTATACCAACTCACTGTCTATATTGATTCTGTTAATAAAATGTCCTGTTGCTCTAATAATGGACTAGTTTCCATAATGTCTTCCTGTAAAATTATAAAATCTTGCATAAGTTTAGTGTTGTAGATTTAATAGATATGAGTTTCACACTTACCAAACTAAACTGGTTAAAAGTTCAAGTTTTATAAATCGTTCCTATTTTGAAAAAATTAAATAGTTTATTTACATGCGTTAATCTATTCCTCCTTTGAGCATAGTTGCGTTATGCATTATCAGAGACCATCTATTATATGGTCTCTGGCATTATGAAGCTATTCCTTTACTAACCTATTAAACTCCCATATATATACTCGGAGTGAGCTCCCTTGATTGCAGAGTGCATCTTGCTTTAGCCATAGTTACGGGAGATTTTGTCAAATTTCGTTAACTTTGACAGTTTTAATGATCATTGTCAATTTCAGATGTTGTTACATACAAATGTCACAAAATGTTAATCATTCATAAATTTTTTATGATGTTAAGTATGATGAAAATACTTTATTACAATACATGCTATTTGAAACTTAACAAGAAAAAATCATCAACATTTTGTGTGTATTATTTTGCTGTTAATAACAGTAAAATTTTGGGAATGTTTTTCTGTGAGTTTTACACGATTTGTGAAATTGTTGACATAGAATGTGCATGCACCCAATGATATTCCACCCTGTTTGAACAATTAGGAATGTGGTTTTGTTCAGAGGCTAGATATGAACACCTCGGTGAGTATACTGCCGGTCGTACGACTAATCATTAACAAGCACTGGTATATTTTATTGCAGCTAACCGAAAAGATAAAGGAACGCAGAAGTAGAGGGCTAGTAAAGGTCGATACTGCTTCATTAACCTGGCTTCTGAGACTGACGTTTTCATTGTTGATTATCTAACTTTCTTTTAATTCTTTTCTCTGAATTCTCTTTAGTTTACTTGGGAGTTTTCTTTACTTGACACTTCTGTGACTCATGTGAGTGTAACAGAGTTTGGGTTCTGACTAACTGTTCATGTCTAGACCACTTGCAATAAGGTATATGTACAGCGAAAGTGTGATACCTAGAGTTGATTCTATTTCCCTTGCCCTTGGTCAGGAGAGCTTGTTACAAAAATTTTGCCAGTCTGTATAATATTTTGATAGACCTACTTTACAGAGGCCAACATTTTCTGTTTTCAAGTTATTACATTAAAAGTCTGTACATTACTTAACTAGCTTGTTACTGTATGTCTTTCTGACATTTTTGCCGATTATGTTTCTTTTATATTTTGCATGTTCATGCATATCAGTCATAATTAGTATATGTCAAAATTACTGTTTCTTATAAACTAAGAAACTGAAATATCACATGATTTACTTTTCTGCTTAAAATTAAAGAGGAACTAAGTGATAAAATATTTGTCATATGACAACACAAATTTGGAAACAATTTTGAGTCTGATCAGTGTTTGCAAACTTGTGCGAAGCTGCCTTTAGACCATTGTGTATGGAGTCTATTTGGTGCAGACAGCATCTTGTATATATAGGGAGATGATTCAGACAGAGGTATCATTGTTTTGTTGTATGTACATAGTGCTACAAATCTCTCATAACTGGAGCACTACCATTGATTGGGGTCTATTTTTAATTTACTAATGGTGTTATCAAATGTTGTACAGTTTCAAGTTGTAGACATGATAGGTAGATTAAGTTCATATTCAGACAAAGCTTGCCTGGATTGTTACTGAAGTGTCAGTTTTGTAACAAGATTTTTCATTGGTCAGTCTCAGAAGTGAACTAGATGGTGATTGGCTAGGGTGCTTGGTTGTGGGATAAGATTCTATAATGAGCTCCACTTTGCTTGAATTTGATTTGGTGAGAGGAAGAATGGGTGCTTCTCTTCCTTCTGTTGTCTTGGTAACGTGTCCCTTCCCCTGGATTGGCTAACTGTGTGATGGTTTATAAACAAATTCCACATGGTGTCCTTCACCTTTCTCTGTTCTCTCTGTGTCAAAGCATGGAGTTATGATGGTTATCTTAGTGATGAGATCACATTGTAGAATGGTTTCCGATCCAAGTCCAGACTCATTGTATAGATTAATCTGTGTCTCTTTGATCTCCAAATATGACTGAACTATGTTGGTGCTGATTTAACAGTTGTTCAGTTTAAGGGTTGGTGGGGTAGCCTAGTGGGTAAAGTGTTCACTTGTCCCGGGTTCGATTCTCCACATGGGTACAATGTGGGAATCCCATTTCTGGTGTCACCCGCATCTGGAATAAGTTGGATACCATTAAATGAAATACTCATTCAGTATACCCTTCTACACAACATGTGGAGGATGTACTGTTTGATGTCTGTGATCATCAAGGGCTGAGTTCAAAGATGCACATTAGTCATGATTAGAAGCAAAGAGAAGTTTATGTGTGAGAATTTGAGATTCAACAGACATGTGTCTTTTGATTAGTCTAACTAGAACTTTGTGGATTGGTGCATGCATAGTTTTGGCAGGTGTAGCTTTTCTTTGTGGACTTCCATGATTTGTGTTAAAGCAGGAGAAACAATAAATTAAGTGGAATCTGTTCCAGCATGGGTCATGTTTTAGGTGGTGTATCCCTTGATATTCAAAGTCTGTGTATTCCCTACCCTTTTGTACATAACATAACTTATGTTAACTTGTTTCTCATTGGTGGATTGAGACATGTGACACTAACACGTTTTATCAATGTGTTGTTGTCTGTTGACAGACGCCGATGATGTTCTCCAACGTCCAGGATGATGTCTGCATGATCATGAAGTTCCTGTCCAACTCCCCCGTGACTCACGTCGCCGCCAACACCCATCCAGCCGTCCCTGTCCCAGCCGTCATCACCATCACTTGCAACCACAACTACGCCATCAACCGCTGGAACAACAACTACCATCGTAGGCTATCATTTGACTTGGCATAATATATGTAGAGGAGGATGTTACTTCTAGCATGACAGGGCTTTGGGTACCCTAGTGGTTAAAGCGTTGGCTCGCCACGCCGAAGACCGGGTTCAATCCCCACATGGGTACAATGTGTGAAGCCCATTTTTGGTGTCCCCCTCACCGTGAGTTTGCTGGAATACTGCTTAAAGCGTCCGTAAAACCAAACTCAGTCAGTCAGTCAGTCTAGGATGACATTGCATGGAGAGAACTAGGCCCTACTGCCCAAAGGGATCTTAGGACTAGGACTCTCATATGCCTGTGTTAAAGTATGGGGTTACTGTCACCTTTGTGTGTCATATGAGCTTAAAATATTCTCAAGCACGACGTTAAACCCAATTTCACCTCACCTATCTTAGCCCTAAGAGAGCTTGAAAATCTAGGCCCTGGTCTGGTGTGAGTCAGACAAGGCTTGCCTATCATACTTCCACCACCTGTAGTCAGGGATTCCATAAAGCCCCAGGTTTCTCAGTAATACCCATAGCTCAGTCCATGTCTCTGTGTCCCCTGAGTCTAGTCTGTCTCACAGTCACTGAACCACATTATTTTCCCTACTGCCAAGCCCTCTCTGTAGTGCTAAAGCTCTAAATAAAGCAAGTCTAGATTTCCTCAGGTTCAGGCTGAATCTCTGGTCTCCCTGGGGCTCCTTTTCAATTTTAATGGGCTTGTTTGTTACTATCATGATGTACATTCAGAGACTAAGCGTTAGTCTACCCCCGAGTCCAGCCACCTGAGTTGTGTTTGTTGTTTCAGCCCAGAGTGCCAGCACCAGCTTCTCCTCTGACAAGCAGGACCCCCAGAATCACCCCCAGCTGCCCCTCGCCATGGACCAGTTGTTGGGTACGTTGATCAGCAGGGCTGAAAATATACGCAGATCATATAAATAGCCTGTTGGGATGATATTCTGAAGAGTTTATATCCATGCCTTTTAACCATTTCAGTCCAGTTTTGTGACCATTCCTTGAAACTGAACATGAGAGTCTTACATATTTCTTACCTTTCCTCTACAGTCTTGTTTTCAAAGTCAAGGAGGCACAGAAGCCCAATTCTGTTAGAAGCACAGATTATCTTTATGGAATTACAACCCTTACCTGTGGCAGGATCTGCTGTTAAGTGCAGGAATTCCAGATTTGTACTGACTGAGATCCTTTGCTTGCTGGCATAATAACCTTTATGATGGGTTTCACTAAGGTGTTAAACAACTACAAGCAGTATCACTTCAATTTTTCCTTGAATGATAAGACTACATGACATCATCTAACCAAGATACTGTTCGGCGCAAGTATACTCATTCAGTTGCTGCTTCATCCCAACATGTCTTTAATTGAAGTAAAACTGTTCTGTGTTAGTGATCATCCTGAAAATGAGCTACAAGATTCAGATGGGCTGTGATCTTGAGTATTTAACAATTCGTCCAGTGGAAACTGATGCTGTAGGGAGGGTTCTTGTTAGCAGGTTAACGTTATGATGTGTCTGTTGCAGTGCTTAACACAGGCCTACAGCGGCGCATATTGGGAGACAACTTTGATCAGAGACAGAAGGTGTCCCACTCAAGTTTCATCACCACAGCAGACAACAGGTTCATCTTCGCCAGCGGCTTCTGGGACAAGAGTTTCCGACTCTTCCAGTCAGATATAGGTGCGTGAAGGTGGTCTAGGAATGTCCCTGTTCAGTGTTAGCAGCCTCCATAAAACACAGTAGTACATTTAGTTGAGTCTGAGGTATCGACAAACCTCATGCTGAAAGAATGTTTTATAAGCTACATAAGCCATTATAGTCAGGTTGCATAATGTTCTACATTGGAGCTACTTCTTACTTGGTTTGCTGATTACCCCCAAAAAAAATTCAGTTAAGGAAAACTGTTGATACAAAATATGCGACCACAATACAAGATACCTGCATACGGCTGGAGTTACTGCCCCTGACTGTCAACACTGCATTGTCATGTAAATCATTGCAGAACTGGGCGGTGGGGTAGCCTAGTGGTTAAAGCGTTCGCTCGTCACGTCGAAGACCTGGGTTTGATTCCCCACATGGGTACAATGTTTGAAGCCTATTTCTGGTGTCCCCCGCCATGATATTGCTGTAATAGTGCTAAAAAAGCGGCGTAAAACCATACACACTCCCTCACTCATTACAGAACTGGGGCGATGGGGTAGCTGAATGGTTTAAGTGTTCGATCGTCATGCCGAAGATGATGTATAAGCAAATTCTTTTGAGACAAAGCATTGATATGAAACATCTCTTAGAAAGATGATTCAAAGCAGCATCTCTTCAAAGTAGCAACTATTCATAGCAGTGTTTTTAAGAGCAACTATTTATAATAACTATTCACATCTGCAGCTATTCATAGCAACTATTCAAATCTGTAGCTATTCATAGCAACTATTCAAAGCAGCATCAAAGGTAACACTGTTTCTTAGCAACATGCTAATGCTTCAAGATTCCGACTTTGAAATACTATCCCGGAATATTTCTTGCAAGATGTCTACCATGCATTAAATATACACGAGTCAGTTAACGTCTATGTGATCAGTCCGTTGTCTGTCTCCAGCTCGGATCCTGCAGGTTGTGTACGGCCACTTCGACATCGTGACGTGCATCGCGAGGTCCGAGTGCAACATGAACCAGGACTGCTACATCGTCACCGGCTCCAAGGACTGCACCGTCATGGTGTGGATGTTCAACTCCAAGAACCAGGCAGTCATCGGGGACAACAGCAGTACGTACTTCCTGTGTTTGGTTAATAGTGGTTGTTTTCTTTCTAACAATCCTGGATGGAACTGCAGAATAGACCGATTGTGATGTCTCTGTTTGTTGATGCTATGTTCGTGGGAGGTGATCTTATGTGTGACTTGATGTATTGTGTGTGTTGATCTGATGTGTGACTTGATGTGTTGATCTGATGTGTTGTGTGTGTTGATCTGATGTGTTGTGTGTTGTGTGTTGACTTGATGTGTTGATGTAATGTGTTGTGTGAGGTGAGCTGATGTGTGACTTGATGTGTTGTGTTTGATGATCTGATGTGTTGTTGATGAGGTGATCTGATGTGTGACTTGATGTGTTGTGTGTGTTGATCTTATGTGTGACTTGATGTGTTGTGTGTGTTGATCTTATGTGTGACTTGATGTGTTGTGATCTGATGTGTGATGTATTGCTGATGATGTGTTACTTGACTTGATGTGTTGTGTGTTGTCTGAGGATGTGTTGTGTTATTGTTGATCTGATGTGTTGTGTGTGTTGATCTGATGTGTGACTTGATGTGTTGTGTGTGAGGTGATCTGATGTGTTGACTTGATGTGTTGTGTGTGTTGATGTGTGACTTATGTGTTGTGTGTTGATGTGTTGTGTGTTGATGTTGATCTGATGTGTTGTGTGTGTTGATCTGATGTGATGTGATGTGTGTGTGTGTGCTGATGTGTGTGACTTGATGTGTTGTGTGTGTTGATCTTATGTGTGACTTGATGTGTTGTGTGTTGATCTGATGATGTGACTTGACTTGTGTGTTGATGTGTGTGTGTTGATCTGATGTGTTGTGTGTGTGATGATGTGTTGTGTGTGTGTGACTTTGATGTGTTGTGTGTTGACTGTGATGTGTGTGTGTTGTGTTGATCTTGATGTGTGACTTGATGTGTTGTGTGTGTTGATCTTATGTGTGACTTGATGTGTTGATGTGTGTGATGTGTGTTGATGTGTGTGTGATGATCTGATGTGACTTAATGTGTGATGTGTGTTGTGTGTGTTGATCTGTGTGTGTGTGACTTGATGTGTTGTGTGAGGTGAGCTGATGTGTGACTTGATGTGTTGTTGATCTGTGAGGTGAGCTGATGTGTTGTGTGTGTTGATCTTATGTGTGACTTGATGTGTTGTGTGATTCTGATGGTGAGCTGATGTGTTGTGTGTGCTGATGTGTGACTTGATGTGTTGTGTGTGTTGATCTGATGTGTGACTTGATGTGTTGTGTGTGTTGATCTGATGTGTGACTTGATGTGTTGTGTGAGATGATCTGATGTGTGACTTGATGTGTTGTGTGAGGTGATCTGATGTGTGACTTGATGTGTTGTGTGTGGTGATCTGATGTGTGACTTGATGTGTTGTGTGTTCCAGGTGTAGAGAACCCCACACCCAAGGCTATCCTGACCGGCCACCAGACAGAGGTCACATGTGTGGCTGTTCTAGCAGAGCTGGGCATGGTTCTCAGTGGCTCCAAAGGTGAGTGTGCCAAAATTAGTCCTGGGCCCCGTTCCTCAAGGCGATTGTAGCGCTACGACAGTCGTAAGTCTATGTTAAAATATGGGAGTTACGATCATCTTAGCACTACGACAGTCGTAAGTCTATGTTAAAATATGGGAGTTACGATCATCTTAGCACTACGACAGTCGTAAGTCTATGTTAAAATATGGGAGTTACGATCATCTTAAGCTATGTTAAAATATGGGAGTTCACGACAGTCGTAAAGTCTATGTTAAAATATGGGAGTTAAGATCATCTTAAGCGTAAGTCTATGCAGTCGTAAGTCTATGTTAAAATATGGGAGTTACGATCATCTTAAGCTCGACTCACGACAGTCGTAAGTCTTTGTTAAAATATGGGAGTTACGATCATCTAGCGCTACAATCGCTTTGTGGAACAGGAGCCTGCTGTGTTCTTCAGGATTAAGAGATTATTCTCAGCAGCAGCATTAAACAGGCCTAGTTGAAGGTTTTGTTAGTGTTGGATCACCATCTGTGGATAATTTTACATAAAGATTAGCCTCGAAAGAGGACATCCTCCTCCACTGACTTCTTCCAAATGACTCGCTAGTCTGTCTCACAGTCCCTGAAGACCCTGTGAAGGTCCAGGTTAGAATGTACCTTCAGTATCCCATGCTTGTCGTAAGAGGCGACTAACGGGATCGGGTGGTCAGGCTCGCTAGCTTGGTTGACACATGTCATCAGTTTCTAATTCGATGATGCTCATGCTGTTGATCACTGGTTGGCTGGTCCAGACTCGATTATTTACAGACTGCGCCATATAGCTGGAATATTGCTGAGTGGGGCGTAAAACTAAACTCACTCACTCACTCTTCCAAATGGGCCTGGGTCATGAAAAGGTCAAACTTCAGAGATCTTGCTTCAGAATGGTTTTGGTGAGGATTAGTCGAAAGTCAAGGTCAGCCTTCAAGTGTTTTTTTTAAACATTGTTATATCATTGTCAGTTTCTGAGACATTAGTTTCAACAGGCATGAAATGTCTGATTTCCTCCAGTCTTGCTTGTGGCCATTGCAGGTTTCCTCTCTAGTCTGTTAACACAATCTGACGTACTGTTTCCATGATCTGACGTACTGTTCAAACAGTGTTAACCCAGCTATTCTCTGTTGTAGATGGACCCTGCCTGGTGCACACCCTCGGGGGCGACCTGCTGAGGTCCCTGGACCCCCCAGAGTCCTGCTCGACCCCCAATCAGATTGTGATATCCCGAGAAGCTTTCATCCTTGTCAACTACGACAAGGGCAATCTGTGCAACTTCAGCGTCAATGGACAACTTCTACGTTTCCTCAAACACAAGGACAATATACATGTGGGTTCACTTGGCAATAGGAGAAAAACATGTGTTCATGAATGCATAATGCCATTTAGAAATTTGACAAATGTAAAATGTGTTATATAGGATTACACTTTCTCAGTGAATTACTGATTCTAGTACTTTTAATAGGTTGAATCCAATCTACATTTATCAGAGGGGTACATAAAGTCTGATGTCTAGACTTCCAGTTGTCTGATTTCCATTTTCCTGGAAGCTGCGTTGGCTGAGTGGGTTAGATCACTGACTTTGTGTGCTGGAGATTAGGTGCCTGACTCTTTGTGGGTTTGAATCCCGGATGGACTCAACCTAACAAAAGTACTAAAATCTGTACTTTACTGAGAAAGTGTAATCCCAAATATAACGTGTTACAACATATGTTTACTTGAACATGTCCAAGGTGCGTTACGGATGTCGAAGTGGTCAGCACTGGTATTGGGGGTGTCCCCAGTTTGCCAGCAGGTATTATTTAAAGGTTCCAGGTCACTGGACCATGCTAATCTCTTAAAACAGGTGATGCACTTTTTAGTTACCCCGTAGCTTACCACCTTACCACTGGGCAGAGCTGGTGAACACAGTTCACCTGAACTGACACTAATACACAGCACATGTGTTTCCTTGTGGAAATAGCTTTGCTTGTAATATGCCTCTGTTCACCTAGCAGTAAATGGGTACCAGGAATGATGAGAATGTAGTGAGACTGTTAAGATCATAGCACCTGACAAGGCAGCTTGGGTTATATACTGCTCAGGGAGATCAGAATGAAAAACACAGTTGGTTTTACCAGGGTAATAATTTTCAGTGTGCTTTGAGAATGATATTGAGGACCAAATAGTTGTATTATCATTGTCATCATCATCGTTGTCAACGTCGCCATCATCATCATCATCATCATCATTTTATTTATCATTACTATTGTAATTTTGTATGTAAATTGTACCTGTAACATGCATGGATGGCTCTACTGTGGAGTTTTCAGAACTAAGCATGACATAATCTTTTTTCAGTCAATGATCCTGAGTCGAGATGGCCAGTACTTGATGATGGGCGGTGACGAGGGCATGGTGGAGGTGTGGCGGTCACATGACTTCACGTTACTGTACACGTACCCCACCTGTGACAGCAGTATACGCTCATTGTCGCTCACACACGATCACAAGTAAGTTGCAGCAGAAACTCATACACAATAGCAATGATTATTTACACCATTTTGATTTGTTGCAAGAGGTGACTAGGTGACAGGTTTCTCTGTTTCTATGTTGCCATAGGGGGCGGTGGGGTAGTCTAGTGGTTAAAGTGTTTGCCCGTGACACGGAAGACCCGGGTATGATTCCCCACATGGGTACAATGTGTGAAGCCCATTTCTGGTGTCCCTCCATCGTAATGCTGCTGGAATACTGCGAAAAGCGGCGTAAAACTAAACTCACTCACGTTGCCATAAATGTCAATAATCTTGTCATCATCTTTGAGGGCTGTGGGGTAGCCTAGTGGTTAAAGCGTTGGCTCGTCACGCCAAAGACCCGGGTTCGAATCCCCACATGGGTACAATGTGTGAAGCCGTGATGTTGCTGGAATATTGCTAAAAGCGGCGTAAAACCAAACTCAGTCAGTCAGTCAGTCATCATCTTTGAAGCTTAGGCAATGTGATATATGTACACCGTCCTTATTCTGAATGCTAAACTTTTCCCTGTGGCTTTTTAAATCCTAATTCTTCGATGTTTATTCCAGGTTCTTGATAGCAGGATTAGCAACAGGTTGTTTACTAGTATTCAACATAGATTTCAACAAATGGCACCATGAGTACCAGGACCGATACACATAGTTCAGCCATTATGGAGTACACCACCGCTGACCCTGCCGACTGACCTGATGTGTGACCTGTGACATTAATCTTGACCTTAATGGATGACGTTCAAGGTCAAATGGAAGGGATTACATGCATGATCAAATGTGTCGGTTCGTCTTATAATGCCGACTCCGAAACATTGTCAAACATATCACACGGATACTGCGGTTCCAGAAACCAATAGAACGGTGTATAACGGAAATACAGCATTGGTAGAACTGTGTGTGAGCCAGTGCAGAGAATGTACAGGCTAGGAAGAGTAGATAAACTAGTTAAAATGGGATTTCCTGTTGAAAAATATTATGAAATGTTATGATTTTTTTTTAATTGCTTGGTTTGCAGATCCAAAACCAACATCAGTTAAAGTTCTTGATTTGAAAACAAAAATATATTCTTTTTCCAAAAATTGAATACAATGGGCATTACAGGACAGGAAGTTGTCCTTTACTTCATCAGTCTAGTAGCCTAGTGGTTAAAGCGTTGGCTCGTCATGCCGAAGACCCGGGTTCGAATCCCCACATGGGTACAATGTGTGAAGCCCATTTCTGGTGTCCCCTGCCGTGATGTTGCTGGAATATTGCTAAAAGCGGCGTAAAACCAAACTCAGTCAATCAGTCATCAGTCAAAAAGTTTGGAATTTTTCTATTTTACAATTTGTTACAGAAAATCTGTTACGGCTTCACTTTATAACAGTATGTCTGATGTGGGTTTTGTTTCTGAAATCTGTAAACCCGTTAATTAAAAACATAATCCATTATCCTCTGTTAACAATTAAAATACTGGGAAATATCTGCTAACGTGACATGTTTCTCAAAGTCATGTAGCACTGGTGGGGTGTAATGAATTTAAAGAAAATAGCAAGAATTCCGAAACTCTACTTGAAAGCTTTAAGGAGTAGATTGTAAAAAGTTTCTATATTCCTTTTCTTGTTAAATATGCTATGTGACTCTGTCCACGGTCTGTGTAAAGATTCCTCCCCAAAGACTATTTTTATATGGTTGTCCACACTATATCACTGTACTTCTAGACTGCATGATGTTGAGATGAGCTATGATGCTTGAGATGAAGTGCATTTTCTAAATTATCAGTTGCTTGTGTGCAGTGAGACATGTTTTTGTGCAGACACTTATTTCCAATGCAATGTTTATGATACTGGGTTATTTTTAAGTTGTAGATGTTGCTGATAATATTCATAGGGTGGTTACTATTTATGGCCTGTTTCTGGTCTCGTTGCCATGGTTACCTTTGTACAAGATGGAGGTGTATTGATCAGTAAACCTGTTGTTGTCAAGGAAAAGAAAGAAGTTCTTATATGCCTACAGTTTTCATTGTAAACAACAGGGCACAGAGTTTATACAATCCTTCATAAGGGAACAACAGTTACTACGTTCAGCCCCAATGGTGTACAATCATTGTGCTGTAACGAGAAGGTGCATACCATATTGCTTTAGCACTGCTTGCAGACCAGCAAATGGAACATGTTGAACCCGCAGCGCATGTGCAACATATATATGATGTGCAACATATATCAGATGTGCAGCATATGGAAGATGTGCAACACATATGATGTGCAACATATTTTGATGTGCAACATATGTCATGTGTAACGTAAGATGTGTAACATATGTCAGATGTGCAACATACATGATTTGCAACACATGTCAGATGTGTAACATGTAAGATGTGCAACACATGATGTGCAACATATATGATGTGCATCACATACGATGTGCAACATATATAAGATGTGCAACACAGCCGAGTTTACAAGCCTCACACCGGAGTGTTTAAAACAAAGGTCTAACAGGGTCTGAATGTATGAAGGTTCAAAATAAATACACTGAGATTTACTCAAACGGAAGAGGGGTATCAGTAAGTTATAGCCACCCTTACTTGGTGTATATGTTAAGACTGTATGGATATTGACATACACACCTTGGAAAGGTGGAATATTTCACTATGTATGTGACAATTTGACCTATAGTCAGTGATTCTCAGCTTCACATCATACTGGCAACAGACTGGCTTAAAGTAGGCCATTAACGCATCAGCCAAACACCAATAAAGTATTCCATTAAAGCATTACCAAAACACTAATTGTTGAACACGAAACTGTGTCTAATATCCTAAGCGGTTTCACATTAGGCTCAAATAGCTTTGATGTTATATTCAATAAAATATGTATCATTGCAGAATATTCGACAGAAATATAGCTTTTTTTATTGGTGCAACGACTGAAATGTTTAGTTATTGGGATTTGTTGGTGTATTATTGAGTAGTTTGTTTATGCAATTATATTTCAAATGTAAAGTGTTTAACATAGGAGTAACTCTTGTTATGTGAATGAAATCTAATATCTAATATAAAATTAGTTGCAGTATATTATAGTATATGTAATTGAATTAGTTAATTTGTAGTCTGTCCTACAGATTCTGAAATAAATATACCCAATACAGCCCCTGCAAGTCTAGATAATAGTTTCAGTATGATAATGATGAAGGTGACTGGGCTCCTTTTTAGTATATTTTATTAATCTAATTTAGGTACAGATTTGTCAGTAAAATATGTTCATTTCAGAGACTAGATATTAGTTGAGTTGTGTATTTACTCATAAAAAAAGCCCACCATGATTGTGATTATGCATAAATTGTTATGATTATTTCACTTTTAGAAATGTCTTGTCACATGCAACAGCTATCTCAGTTTTTGAAAGTTTGGAGTGAATAACATGCTTAAATATTAAGATTTTGATGTGAGCAGTCTCAACATGTCAAAACATGTATTGCCATGTCTCTAATACATGTACTGAATCAACATCATGAAATTAGTACTTGAGAGCGATGTCTATCTCAGGTTCGTTATGTCACAAGAAGTTCTAAAGTGTTACCATGTGGTAGGACAATAGTATTTAATACACATCTATCCAAACAGCTTGTATAAAAGTAAAAAAATATTTATAAATTATTTATATCAAACTGTTGAATAGCCGCTGTGTATATCAATTGCTTTTTTGTTTTTTAATGAATATTTTATTGCTGAAACTCTGTCACAAAGAATGGACCCTCACCAGGGTAGTTAAGGGCCAAATATCACTTATATTTCAACTGCTTTTGTTAAATTCTAATATTTTAACTTCTTTGCCTGTATCAGCTGTATGGTCATGCTTTAATCCTACTTGTAAAACAACTAGTTCCAATTAAATTCCAGACATTCAACAGCTTGAGGGTAGGGCTTTTTAGTTGAAGAAATATATATTACACATATATAACTGGTCTATTTCAATGCATATTAGGTTCCCATTTACATATTTTATTGTGTCTATCTGTATTCTCCCCATGAAGCTGAGAATTAAATTTGAATGCACAGTGATCCACTGATAGAGGTATAAGGTAGTGCCATGAGTAGTCATATACTGAATGGAAGCTGATGTGTTATAGATGGTCTAATATAATTATTATAAATATTATTAATATTATAGCATATCTAGTCCTGGAGATCTTGTCCCTCTGTGGTGTAGTTTCACACAAGCTGTGTAATATAACTTACATATAATACTCTATAAGTATAACCTGTGGAATAATTTTAGAAACCAATGTTGACACAACCCCCATGAAACATGTTTCAAGCTAAAAGTTTTCAGTGAATAAGTTTTGAATGCTTTTCTGTACACATAGCAACAAATTGATGAGCTTATTGGAATGAGTGAATTCAAATAACAAAATCTTGAATCGTGCAATTTTCAGATGATATGAGGTCACGTGTCAGTCTAGACAAACCCTAAAATCACAAACACAGAATCAAGCCACGACAGTGAATCAATTGGTTTTCCGCTCCAAGCTATGGTTAGATTTTGCCTATGCAATTGTAGACTAGAGGTCTGCTCGCTGCCCATGTTAGACGTTTACCCTTCATGTGTGAGTTATGCTATATATGTGTACCGGTACTAATGGTAAAGAGGGAGTTCTGGAAGTCTTGGACTTGTTCTACGTCTTTATGTTCCAATATCGGTGTCCAAATCATTATTGTTCAATACTTCAATTTATTTCTGCTTAAGAAATATAGTGTTTGGTGTTTTCTTTCAACTAAAGCAATGTGAAACAAGATATTTCTAGGCTGTATTTTTAAAAAAGTATATCATATATTCTTGAATATTTGAAAATTACATGAATTTTAGCTAGTGTACATTCCTTCAAAACCTCAATTAATTCACAAATCCTAGCTCAGAATGATTAATCTTTGGTAATCCTGGTTGTGAATTAATAGCTTAACATTCCTCTACTAAACCATTTTTCAGAGTTCTATTTGTTGTAAAGTCTTTTTTAAGAGATTCAGTTGACTGTTGTATTTCTGAATCTCATTTTTTCTTTGTTATTCTTAACATTTAAGGGCATACATCACCTCCAAATTCTGTAAATGAAAATTTCATGTTAGTTTGGGATAGTTTGAAATGAAGATATATGTACACCAGTACAATATATTTACAATCAGTTGTAGGAAAGTAGCGTCGCTAAGGGATATGTGCCCTTAGATGTATAAGAACATATTCTCAAGTTCATTCCAGTGTTGTGGTAATGTTGTTCATAACTGTTGAGCAAAGCTTGCAGTATATTTTGTCAGTTTTCTGTTACTTACAATGGATGGTTTCAGTTGATGTGGTTAAGTTTATACCTGGTTGTATTGTTGATTATTATAGGTTTATTTTGGTGCGCATGTTTGGACTAACATTCCTAGCTTCTCGTTGTTGAAGAGCGGAGTCCCAAGAATCACTTGCGATGAAATGAGCGCCAAGACAAAACGCATGCAATTGTAGCATGCAAGACTGGCCGTATACTACCATATTAATTTCCGCATTTCAGTATTGCCGCTGAGGTAGGAACTGTGTGAGCTCAATATACTATTACTTGATTGTGGGTGATTGAAATGTAACTAGATTCATATTTAGTTTGATTGTTTGAGAATCATGTCATCGATTGTTTTCATTTATTCCTTAAGTCAGTTTTGTGGAAATATGTGTGCAGTTACATTGCTGTTATGTGTATATTGTTTTTGTGCTAAGGAACTATTTTGTCATCAAAGACAGTCATTTTTGTTTGCTATCAGCAGTAAGTGGGTTTCTCAGTATATTGTGATTGGGATGAATGGTAAATGGCTGCTTGTGAATGGAGGTTGCCTGTTCATGTTGTTAAAAGTGCAGGTCCAAGTATATATTGCTCAAAATGTTTCCTGCTGAACTGAAACTATGACGCATGATATTGTGTGTATTAAAAAATGAGTTATCTCCCATTAGCAGATTTATTTCAATGGTAGTATTGGGGTAAACATTGTCTCTGAGAGTTACCTCCCTTGATGATGTAAGTAAAGGGAGATAAGTCCTTGAAGCTATCAAATACAGGCGTGTAATATGGACTTGTGTAGAAAATACATCATATATTTCAAAATGTGAACATCTTAAGGGGAGATAACTCATTTTACCCTAACATGGCCTCTGTGAGTAGTGTACAAGTGGTGGATTCACTGCCACTGCTAAATGGGGTTGTACCCTACAACATAAGCAATTGTATATATATTGTACAAGCTGATAACTTGCTGTACATGTCCGCAGGCTGTTGCTCTAGTTTTCAAATAAGGTTGTGTAATGGACAGGACTATAGTATTTATTTGATAATGGGGCTGGGATGAGCGCTTCTTTGTAAGTTATTCAAAGTGTACATTCTTGATTATATCGTGCAAGTGTGGAATATCTTATACAAATGTTGATACAACAGTTATTTGGTTCTGTTATTAATCAGATGAACTTACTGCACAACATATCAACTTGAATGATTCCAGTGTAAGATAAAGCACAATTGGTATGTATGGTCACTGGCTCAATTTTTGGTTGATTTTTGGTTCTGTGAATCAAATTTTGTTTCAGTTTGAAGCATGTTTCACAAATTGATTAACATTTCAGTTGTAAAAAAAAAGGATCCATGTTGGGGTTTAAGGAAAATATGATTCACATTTTTGTTTGACATGTGAAGCATGATTCACAATTTGGGTTGTCATGTGAAACATTCACATTTTTTTGGTTGACATGTGAAACATGATTCCCATATAAATTCACATTTTATAGTCACCCGAACCATAAGATCCTCATGATGCACCTGAATAAATTTTGCTGTATTCTTTGTCCTGCTAAAATATTTCTTCATATCCAGTGACTTGTTTTTGATCAAGCAATTGTGATCATTCATAGATTTACATGTGATGTTATAGCTGAGTCAACAATATCCACAAACAATGAATGGCAATAGACTTCAACAGCAAGTGACCTTGACATCCAGCTGATGACAATTTTCTTTAGTTGCAAATCCTCTTGATTCAGTGTTTGTACACACGCCATTGTAACAACATCACCACCTCGGAAAGATGACCCTACTGAGGTATTGCTTACTTGCTTCAATTTCAATAGCACTCATTGCATGCATTCATTTGTTGATAGTGACTGCGGTCACCAGATTAGTATGTATACAAATCTATATAAATATATGTTCCAGCTTCTCTTCTGTAATGCTAGTAGCAGTTTTAAATAATGTACTCTTATCTAGAAACAAGTTGTCATAATAAAGAATGAAACAACTAATAGCGTGCTTGTCTTTAGTAACAACATTGCCTGTGAAGATGTGAAGATCTGGGCTAGAATTGGTCTTGACCTAAGAGGCAAACCCCATGAAGGTCGAGGTTAGAATATTGATCATCAGTAACCCATGCTTGTTGTAAGAGGCGACTAGCGGGATCAGGTGGTCAGGCTCACTGGATTGTCTTGGTTGACAGATGTCATCGGTTCCCTCACCTAAGAGCGACTAACAGGATCGTTTGGTCAGCTGACTCAGATCGATGCTCACTGGATTTGTCTGGTCAGACTTATTTATATTCGATTATTTACAGACAACAAACAAGGTAACGCCGCCATATAGCTGGAATATTGCTGAGTGAGTTCCCTTGTATGGACTTCAACATTCATGGCATCGGCAGACAGTGTGGAAATCCATATTGCCTGCAGATTGGCACAACCAACTTTTGTCAGGTAAACCACAAGGTTTATGTCCTTTATCCGTTGATGCAAAAATATAGCTCACCTCGCTTGTCTGACACCTGCACATTTTGTAGGCCATGTAAATAAAGACTCATGGGAACAATAGACGTGTTTGATATGGGTGAAAAGAAAATGTGCACAGAACCCAAGAAACAATGACAGACCACTGGATGACTTGTAAGATGTCTGAAAAGAAGCATGAAAGTATATTCCTGACAATGATATTTACTGTTGAATACAACACCATGCTCTGGACACAGTGTGAAGAACATTGGAAACAGGTGTATTCATTCCCCCATTTGTTTCAGTGACATTACAACAAAAATAAACAATAATGAAAAATTCAAAAGTAAGAATTAAGTTGCCTACTTAGGCCAGACCAATTTTATTTCTTGTTTAACGGTTTTACTGCATTTTGTTCTCAGAAAACCCTAAAGGCAGGAGGAAAAAAGAAAGAAATTAAAATCATCAGTCAAGTAATATTCCTTCCTTTTAAATACTACAAAGTATAAAGGCAATTTATGAAGAGCATATGGGGCAAAAATCCCAATCTAAACAAAAATTTTCATTTTGGTTAATATTACATTAGGATTTTTATTTTTTGAGTGGGGAATATTAATTTTTATTTTTTATCTTATTCTTGATAAAGTACGACCAGCAGATCTGTAAAACAAGAAATAAAATTGGTCTGGCCTTAATAAGAAAAAAACGTTTCATCAATGGTTCATTGAACGGAATTTGGTAATAACAACATATTCCTTATATCATGATCATGACTAGACTGAAATCTGGGCAGATTTTGATCAAGTTTTGGAGTCAAGCTCCAGAAACCAAATAGCAGACAGACAGATTGATTAGGGTTTCAATCGCTTCCCTTGCTCACTCAATACAAACAAACGGCAAATCTTTAAATGTTTATTTTTTGTATAGCTTGATACAAACCATCTGTGAATAGAACCCTCCCAGTTGAGGCTTAGAGATGGAGACACACAGCTGTACAAAATTTACAAAGCGTCTTCTTCACATGTACAATATTCAATATTTACATTTGCTGAGCACAACAGTTTCACACATCAAACAAGGCGACTACATGTTTCTTGATTTCATCTATCAAAGAAAATGGTAAAACCGGATGAGCTTTTTCAAAAATGACAAAATTGTTACTGTCCCAGACAGACGAAAATATTTTGATTTGAAAATTTGTGCACCAAAGATGAGCTTACTGATGACATGATTATGATCCCAGCCATACAAAACACTGACATGGGTCTGATACATAAGATGGAACTTGGACCCAAATGGTACACAAATGGTACAAAAGTGGTACAATTGCTAGCAACAATAGGACTCTTGAAGAAGTAATGTCAGACTCAAATACAACCAGACAAAATGGGGCTTTCATGATGAAGTACAATTCACCTATAGATCCTAATATGCTCAAACTATTCAACATTTTCTTTAAATACTGGTGAAATTAATTATTTAGAATCAGTTTACCACATAAGTTGTTCTGATGTTCAATAGATATTTAATGCAAGTCAACATTGTAGCTTAAACATTCAGAACTATGTATTCTCCTGCTATTTTCCTAAAACAAATAACATGTTTACCAAACAGTGAAGTAATTTGACTCATTAGACTATAAATAATAATTTTGATGTTTAATGCTGCACTCAGCAATTTTAAAGCTTTATGATGACAGTCTATAAATAAGCAAGTCTGAACCAAACAATCCAGTGACTAACATCACGAGCCCCCGTTGTGTAGTTGTATGACAATCCGATCATGTTTGGCAGCTCTCACAGACAACAATTAGAATCCTGACAAGTACTATGGTTTGTATCTGGTGCTGGCACCACAACTTCAAGCAACAAAGTTCCAGTGTGTTAGTTTCGAACTCTCCATCTGAGAAAATGTTAAAGTACCTCAAAATAATTTAGTTTTAAACTTGATTGTTAATTATTTTTAACTTCAAAAAGGAATAATTTGGATACAAACTTTATGACTACCAACAAGTTAAGTCTAAGTGAAATAATTAATAATTAACAGTTATCAAATATAAAAAAGCAAATACTTTTCAAAACTATTTTTGCGAAAAAATATATGTCTTTTTTATGTAGAACTGTCAACAGAATAACTTTTCTCAAATAAATCTACTAATATATACAAAGTATACAAACCTAGGGGAATATAACTGTTTAAATACAATACCATATTGCTCAATTAACAGACTGGCTTTTCATCACAACTCAACTTAAAATTCAACCTCAATACCATGGAGAGAAAAAGGGAATCTTATAATCACAATCACAAACCAAAATTTCCCACTGCATAACATTATCGCAAACTTGATCGACACCCAATCTCATTTCCACTGTTAATGAATACATTACCACCATGTTCAAACTGTAAAATTCACATAAAACCTGATTTTCTAAGATGATTTATAGATATTAGTAAAAACCTTCTGGTGAAAAATAATAAACTTCCAATTTGAACTATTTTTACAGGATATATACATACAAGAGTAAAAACACTAAAAATCCCACGCTGAACACAATATTAGCATCTTCTTACCCACCACACTACATCTTAATAACATTCATGCCAAATTGCATTATTTCGACTGACCCAAACTAATTTTTTTGGAAAATTTGTTAACCATAGAATACAAATGAGTGGCACCAGATAATCACCATTGGTAGCATATGCTGTAAGCCACTTCAGGAATTCATCTGAATCAATGAGTGAGTATGGTTTTACGCCGCTTTCAGCAATTTTCCAGCAATATTGCAGGGGACACCAGAAATGGGCTTCACACATTGTACCCATGTGGGGAATTGAACCCGGGTCTTCATCATGACTAGCGAACGGTTGAACGACAAGCCTACCCCACTGAATCAATGTGGTGCAGAACCACATCTGTTAATTGAGCATTACGGTATCCTTCCGCATACAAGAGCACAAGCACATTGCGACCAATCACACAACATAAATTAAGCACCCAAGCTCACTGACACATACATATCACAATAGTTGTCTTGGCATGTTAGTAATGACGGCATGGCGAATGTCTTTGCACTTACAAAATGTTCAAATATCGTCACATATTTGATGCTAAGAAAAAACACTGAAAAGAAAAAAATTATTTGTCATCAATATTATTACTAACTAAAGTATCATGTCTTGTGAGGCAGAGGAATTTGTTAATTCACATACTTATTTAATTAATTAATGTATATATGTATTTAATCAGGACCTAATGTTTTGTTCAACAAATAACCACCAAGAATAGGCACCAACAATTCCCAAAACAGACTTTTAATCTTTCCAATGCTTTATATCTTATTAGACCAGTAAATATTTGTATCTGGAAAATATCGAAAATTAATTTTTCCTTCAAAGTGTGACCTTATTTAGTTTGATGATCAGTTCCACCACAAAAAACAGCTCTACAGACAACAAGCATAGCTGACCAGAAGCATTAAAATACTAACAAAACTAAAATGAAACTGACAAAAACTAATTGAACTATCCCATAGAAATTCCGAAATCAGCATCTATCCCTGGTAAGGTAGCTTCAGTAGTTTCACGACACGATATGGTAGGAGCTGATATATTAAGGAGATATGTATACACGAACATGGTATTTTATTATCTACAAATATTTATAAAAAATGGTGCTTGGTATTAATTCTTTATTTACTTTATATCCAACTCTCATATGAAAAAGTTATGTAAATTTTTTTTCTAAAAACAAAACATATATTTTTAAGATCATATTTTAGTTATTCTGATTAGCTGTGCCATGCAAGGCTGTGTGATGGGAACTCAAGAGAAGAAGGAAAAAGCCCTTGTGCCTACCCTGATGTGTTTAGTGAGCGAGAGAATTTAGTTTTACACCGTTTTTAGCAATATTTCAGCAATGTCACGGCAGGGGGCACCAGAAATGGGAATCACACATTGTACCCATGTGGGGAATCGAACCCAGGGCGTGCGAAGTGAACGCTTTAACCACAAGGCTACCCCATCACCCCTCAGCAAAGATTAAATCTGTTATACAATATATCAGTATTTTTCATGAGACACTGTTGTAAAAGCTTCGATGACCCTGATATACAAGTTACCAAAGCCAGCCTATATACAAATAAATAAGTGCATAATACTGTAATTTGAGATTGAGACAGTATTCTTTAAGTATTATGAATACTAACAACTCACCAGTATTACAAAATGCCTCCCGATTTACAAATATTTTAAAGGTGGTAAAGATGGCAATGTATTGATTTGTCGCCATGTTGACTGCAGTAAGCAAACTTACAACTAAGATAGGAAAAAGACTGATATGACAATCTAGATAACCTCCTACTAATCCAAATTATTGTTGAAAATATGACAACATGTCCTACTGATACATTGTGTTGGAGTCATTCACTGCAAACTGTCTTGGTTGTCTCCCTTTACAAGATGGCAGCCATCTTGAGTTGAGTTTCAGCTTTCGAAGTGTGTGATCACATGACTGTGTTCACATTTGACTGATAAAACTAATCTAAAACAGTAAAGTACAAATATTGCAACCATGACAAGCAGTTGGAGCATAAACATCTACAGAGCCTTGACACATTTGGAAGGTGAATAAGTTTTCTTAGAAATCTGGTTTCAAGCTGTCTCCTGTCACAAATAACCTGGATTCCATATCTGTTGTTCAATCCATGATAAGGGCCTCCCTGCATCGAAAGCCCTAACTATGGACTGAAATAATCGTATCACAGTCTTGCAAAATAATTATCAATGCAAATCTGGTATGGTTATCCATACAAAAATATTCATCCAGTATCTAACAGGTTATTTCATCATTCTCACAAAAATGTCACGGATGTTGTCCTGATTGGTTCTCAATGTAAATATTGAGTTAAACAATGGGTCCAACATTATATCAAATGTTGAATCAAACCATCGTGTCAAACACGGAGTCAAACATAATGTTGAACAATGTCTGAAAAACACGTGTCAACCATGTCAAATATTGTGTCAAACACGAGTAAAAAATCATGTTAAACATCGTGTCAACCATCGAGTCAACCATCGTGTCAAACATGAGTCAAACATGAGTCAAACATCGTGTTGAACAGTGTTTCATGTAAAGCATTGTGTCAAACATCGATTACAAAATCGATTGACACATCATATCTAACATTGTATCAAACATTGAGTCATACACCGAGTCAAACAGTTTCCAATTCTTCCAGAAACCATCAAGTTCAGAACATCTACATCATATTCAGGAAAAGCTAACTTGCGTCTGAATCAACAATCTCTCCTTCACTCTCTCCACTATCAACATCATCAGTGTCGTCGCTGGCCTCGGGAGTGTCATCGTCCATGACGTCGCCAGTCAGGGCAACTCGGGCATAATCGTCTGTGTCGATCGACTTGCAGAAGTGGACAGCATACTTGAGTTTCTCCCTTAGTACAGTCTTGCAGGAGTAGCGCGGCATCTTCAGTAGGAAGAAGCAGGTGTAGCTCTCGGGGAGGAAGTGGTCCGGAGGGTTGTACTTGTCCAACACCTGCGGAGTCAACATGGACAGATGAACATCCACATCGATACTACACACAGTCACCGGGTAAAAACTGTACACCCTCAACTATCCAGTGTATCATAGCTACTAGTTTGAGTGATGCAAATATTAGCGAGAGAAATTCAATACAAAGTTACTGATAATATCATTCAAGGCAAACTAACCTGCAAGACAAAGTCTCTTCCTCTGAAGTCGGCGATGGTTCTAGGTAGTCGTGTCCGACCCCAGACGAACCGGAGGAACAGTGACCGCTCAGCGTTGGTGAATTCCTCCATGACCTCCCAGAACCACTGGATGAGTGGCGCCGTGGCATCGATGCCCTTGTATGTCGCCACTGACTTCAGGAGATTTAAGGGAATGTCTGGGCTGCCACACACCTGCAAAATGTTACACAGATGTTACCCGGATGCTACACAAATGTTACACAGATGTTACCCGGATGCTACACAAATGTTACACAGATGTTACCCGGATGCTACACAAATGTTACACAGATGTTACCCGGATGCTACACAAATGTTACACAAATGTTACCCGGATGCTACACAAATGTTACACATATGTTACCCGGATGCTACACTAATGTTACACAGATGGTCCCCGGATGCTACACAAATGTTACACAGATGTACCCGGATGCTACACAAATGTTACACAGATGTTACCCGGATGCTACACATATGTTACCCGGATGCTACACAAATGTTACACAGATGTTACCCGGATGCTACACAAATGTTACACAGATGTTACCCGGATGCTACACAAATGTTACCCGGATGCTACACAAATGTTACACAGATGTTACCCGGATGCTACACAAATGTTACACAGATGTTACCCGGATGCTACACAAATGTTACACAGATGTTACCCGGATGCTACACAAATGTTACACAGATGTTACCCGGATGCTACACAAATGTTACCCCGATGCTACACAAATGTTACCCGGATGCTACACAAATGTTACACATATGTTACCCGGATGCTACACAAATGTTACACAGATGTTACCCGGATGCTACACAAATGTTACACAGATGTTACCCGGATGCTACACAAATGTTACCCGGATGCTACACAAATGTTACACAGATGTTACCCGGATGCTACACAGATGTTACCCGGATGCTTCACAAATGTTACACAGATGTTACCCGGATGCTACACAAATGTTACACAGATGTTACCCGGATGCTACACAAATGTTACACAGATGTTACCCGGATGCTACACAAATGTTACACAGATGTTACCCGGATGCTACACAAATGTTACACAGATGTTACCCGGATGCTACACAAATGTTACACAGATGTTACCCGGATGCTACACATATGTTACCCGGATGCTACACAAATGTTACACAGATGTTACCCGGATGCTACACAAATGTTACACAGATGTTACCCGGATGCTACACAAATGTTACACAGATGTTACCCGGATGCTACACAAATGTTACACAAATGTTACCCGGATGCTACACATATAGATGTTACCCGGATGCTACACAAATGTTACACAGATGTTACCGGATGCTACACAAATGTTACACAGATGTTACCCCGGATGCTACACAAATGTTACCACACAGATGTTACCCGGATGCTACACAAGTGTTACACAGATGTTACCGGATGCTACACATATGTTACCCGGATGCTACACAAATGTTACACAGATGTTACCCGGATGCTACACAAATGTTACACAGATGTTACCCGGATGCTACACAAATGTTACCCGGATGCTACACAAATGTTACACAGATGTTACCCGGATGCTACACAAATGTTACACAGATGTTACCCGGATGCTACACAAATGCTACACATATGTTACCCGGATGCTACACAAATGTTACACAGATGTTACCCGGATGCTACACAAATGTTACACAGATGTTACCCGGATGCTACACAAATGTTACACAGATGTTACCCGGATGCTACACATATGTTACCCGGATGCTACACAAATGTTACACAGATGTTACCCGGATGCTACACAAATGTTACACAAATGTTACACAGATGTTACCCGGATGCTGCACAAATGTTACCCGGATGCTACACAGATGTTACACAACTGTTACCCGGATGCTACACAAACGTTACACAGATGTTACCCGGATGCTACACATATGTTACCCGGATGCTACACAAATGTTACACAGATGTTACCCGGATGCTGCACAAATGTTACCCGGATGCTACACAAATGTTACACAGATGTTACCCGGATGCTGCACAAATGTTACCCGGATGCTACACAGATGTTACACAACTGTTACCCGGATGCTACACAAACGTTACACAGATGTTACCCGGATGCTACACAAATGTTACACATAAATTGAAGTGCCTATAACTTAATCAAGTTCGTTAGTTGAAGACTACAGGAAACATTTTTGCTGTCCCTGGAAATGCTAATCATGTTCTAATTAGTGAAGCCAGAAACATGATCATTTTGATGGTACACATTTTTTGGAATATTTTAAATTGTTATACAGCTTCTCTTCATAGTCCATGTTATGCAACTGCCTCCGTGGTGTAGTGGTTAGAGCGTCCGCCCGGAGAGCGGAAGGTCGCGGGTTCGATCCCCGACCGCATCATACCAAAAGACGTTAAAATATGGTACTTGTTGCTCCCTGCCTGGCGCTTGGCATTAATGGGTACAACAAGGACTGGTCGGCTCGGAGTCAGTATAATGTGTCTGAGTGGGGTATTCATGCTTCACTGCGGCATGGTATCTCAGTGGGCTAGCACTATAAAACCAGCTTAAGTCTGGGCTAGTACAAGCAGCCGCACATACACATACACACGCATGCACGTCGTCATATGAGCGAAATATTCTCAAGCACGTCGTAAAACCCAATTTCATCTCACCTTACCCATGTTATGTGGCTGACGTGTTACTGTGTTGATGACACTCATTATCTGTGTAACAACTGTGTAATATTTGTGAAATGTCTGTGTAACATGTGCAACACATGGGTCTATCCGTGTAATGTCAGTGTAACAATCTATGTAATTCCACTTTCCCTTATAAAAACAAAGAGGAAGCTGAACAAAAGGTAATGTGCCCTTTCTATCTGACAATGTTAATCCAATTTTGGAATACAGAAACTGACTGAGTGTCCTATAACGCCCAGAGACAGACATAGGATATTAGTTGAAGTCTGACTCACCATCGTCTCGAGTTCGAATCCGGTGAAGAGCGACAGGAGCGGCACCGGAATGACCTTACTCATCCCCTCCCTCACCCACTTCACCTGCAGGTCGAACTCGTGCAGTCTGGAAACGGCACAGGGGATGAGAAAACATTATTGAGATGGACATCATATACACTGTATACAAGTATAGGAACATGTAGAAAGTGAGTCACTTGCAGCAGGTGCAACATTCAATTTTCTCTCACTAATTAACCAGCATGTGATTGAAGAATGATCAAAATGACTGCTTCTTAGCTGATGAAGGCATAGTACACAATTGTGTCAACCTCCCACAGATCAGGGATGAGAATGGGTATGAGTGAAAAAAGAGGAAAATGAGCTGGATGTCTTTCTCCTCGGATTTAGACGATTCACAAGAATGACCCTTAGCCTTATGAAATTCCCGGAATTCCGCGAATTCGCAGAAAATTCTCATCCCTGCACAGATGCATATTTTATATTGGAAAATTATAATGACAGTTGAAAAGGGGAGGATTTCAATTTTTGACAGAAATATCACATACCTAAATAAAATTTAGAAGCATAGAAATAAACTGCAAGAGATTCTGTGTCATTTGACAGGGCAATGTTTGCACTGGATCATACACTGAACAATGTTGCTGATTTTGTGCACATTGTCCCATTTTTTTGTGTGCTGATAAATATGTTGTTCATCAAGTGACTGACTGACTTTATTAATTTTTGTGACTATGGGGATGAAAACAAAAAATCTGTGCATACTTTGCGATTAGTATAAACAAAACAAACTCGTCGACATCATTTAGTGCAATACAAGCCCTGCATGTATAATTATTACACAAAGGTAATAAACACAATGTCTGCATGCTGTGTACCTGTAGTTCATGGCCAGCTTGATGTACTCGGCCCGGTTGTCGGACATGATGCGGGTGTACTTGGAGCTGAGCTGGATCTCCTGGCCAGTGGCGCTGGGGATGCTGAACGGCATCTCGTTGATCTTCAGGGTCTCCTCGTCCATCTCCTTGATGCACATCAGCCCTAGGGACACAACAACGCACAGGTCACACTGTGTCAAGGGGAGATAAACACGAGGGAGGTAACAATACACTGATCCACCAGTTCGTAGTGAGAATTCATGCCATGATACAGTATACCCTTCCTAAAGTCAGCATTTAATATTCCCGCCTGCCCAACCGTCCGGAACGGTATATTTACATCTCGGACGGTCAAAGTAGCCTGTCCGGTGGTCTGGTAGATATTTTTACCCCTAACAGTACAGTAAATATTTCATAATATCAGACAGGTTCTCTTGTCGTCAGTTTGAGGTGTTTACGGTATTATGATGATTATGTTAAACTACTTACGATTGGACAGTTCATGTTACGATAACCAATCACAACATGTGTACTTTCAGTTTACCTAAACTCGGTGCATTGCCTGTTAGTGCTATGTAGTTCATTGCGATGCCTACAAACAGTAACCTGACTACTGATTTTGTTTGTGTTTCATTGTTGAAAACCGGACAGGCAAGTCTGTATCCGGGCTGGTAATTCTTTAAAGTTACAAGTCCGGCTGTCTAGCTTGGAATTTTGGGAGTTTTAAACACTGCTAAAGTACTCATTTAATGGCACTCCCCACTCAACATTTTAGTCTGTCATAGCGAGACAGAGACCTGGCATGGTGACTTACCTGGAACAAAGTCCTTGTCTACCTCGGTCAGGTCGGAGATGGTCAGAGGCAGACCGGCCAGTTGTTTCCAGGCAGGCTCGGCTATGTTGAGACTCAGGGGGCTTCCACTCCGGATTGCAATACCAATCAGGATTCCTGTAACAGAGAGAACAGAGGAGTGAAGTCTTGAACAAAGTCAATCAGGTTCTGTCTAACATGAGCAGAAACCATCCCTTCCCAGCCCAGAGAGACACAATAATACACAAGCACCTCTTGCTTCTTCACACTCGTCATAAGAGCTGACTATAAGTAACATTAACAGGGTACAATGACATACATCAGCTAAGTTCCAGTTCCAGTTTATGCCCAAGATATTTGTGTGTTCATGTTCTTTTTTCCTTTGCCAATTCCAGTGGAAATTTAGCTTAATAGGCTAAGATATATTTTACACTTCAGACTAGTGTCTAAGGTTCAGTGGAACATACAATACTCTATTCTACTCTTGAATTGCTGCAAATGAATTCCTAAACAGAACAAAATAGAATAAAGATCAGGGAATGACTCTTGGGTGAGGGTGGAAGAGGGTGTGGGTGAGGGTGTGGGGTGTGGGTGTGGGTGAGGGTGGCGGGTGGCGTGGTGAGGGTGAGGTGAGGGTGGGTGAGGGTGTGGGTGAGGAGTGAGGGTGGGGTGGGGTGAGGGTGTGGGTGTGGGTGTGGGTGAGGGTGAGGGTGAGAGGGGTGAGGGTGAGGGTAGGGGTGAGGGTTAGGCTGAGGCTGAGGCTGAGGGTGTGGGTGTGGGTGTGAGGGGTGAGTGTGTGTGTGAGGGAGGGGGGTGTGGGTGAGGCTGGGAGGGCTGAGGCTGAGGGTGTGGGTGTGGGTGAGGGTTTGGGTGAGGGGTGAAGGGTGAGGGTGAGGGTGAGGGTGAGGGTGAGGGTGAGGGTATTGGTGAGGGTGAGGGTGTGGGTGTGGGTGTGGGTGAGGGTGTGGATGAGGTGTGGGTGAGGGTGTGGGTGTGGATGAGGTGTGGGTGAGGGTGAGGGTGAGGGTGAGGTGTGGGTGTTTGGCTTGGATTTTCATTGGAGACTGCACATTTCATATTAAGAGCTGAACAGTTTTCGTTTTACAAGACACACAGCATGTCCAGTGACCAACATTTTCTCAATATCTTACAAAGCAGGCAAAAAACCCCAATTACTTCACACGCTCTCCAACCCACCAACACATCCCTCCCTCCTACTATGACAAGGCAAGTCCCTTAATAATTACTGATATATAGCAGGGTATCAAGCGACACATAAGTTAACAGAGCTACTCATGCTCTGACTCACCTAGGAAGCGGAACATATTCTGGTGTAGCATCTGTTTCATCATGGGGTTGAGAAGGAAGCAGTCACGGTTGGCTCCAGACTCATCCCGGCCATTCGGTGTCACAATCACAAGAGGTAGGGAGCCGTTCTGGAGCTCGTCACACATCTCGGCGATAGACTCGCTGTATCCACCTCCGCAATCATCCACACTCTCACCTACATGGGCACAGAGTTCACTGTTATCCGACATCAATACATTACACTAACATCAATTTCAAGTTTCCATACATCTCACAGTGAATTTGAAGAATAAAAACACAATCAAGGCCAGATTCAAGGATAAGGCTTCTTGATTAATTACAAGATAGACATTTTGTGTTTTGAATGTCAAGCAAGGTTTACCATAGATTCAATCACATTGAAATTTGAAATTAGAACAAAATGTATAGCCAACAGTTATCCCTTAAAAGAATTTCATTTAAATATCACCTTCTGCACTGATGGGGCTATGCTTTCATCTCTTTCACTCTAAGGTGGTTATTGTGATTTGAAACTCCTGACCAATTTGAATTTAATGTTTTCCAAATTCATAATAGGAGCAATGTATTTCAGTCGTGCCTCACAGTCTATATTTCATTCTAAGACCAACATGATTCACAGTACATCTAGCACAACCATTGTTCAAGCAGGTGTACACATGTCAAGAACTGGTATGTCCTTAAATAAGACAAGAAAGGAGGAATACACCATGGTCCCCCCACTGAGATTCTGCCTCCCTACAGCATCTTCCACTCACCAACAAACTTGACCTTCCACACTCTGTGTGGCAGCATGAGACTGTCTGGTCCAAACACGGCCATCTTGGCAGCCATCTGGCCAAACACTGACTTGATACCGTCAGGACCGGCATAACCTCCCTTGCTGCGCGACCGCTTCACCTGGGACGACATTGACAAACTTCAACTCAAATACATCAATGCTCTTGGGTGTTCATAGTAATATCTTTGCCATGAAGAAAGCTTAATTCATTCTCAAGGAAAGACCGGCACAATATAAGGTTAACTATGCCACAGGATTTACTGGCCATCAAGAACAGATTAATCTGTCTCAATATACAGGCTATCTGATTAGGCAATTATCTGCATAATGAAGGAGTGTGTGAATTGATATTTTAAATACTGCAGTCAGGGTAATTACAATACATTGTCGTAGCCTGTAAATCAGCAAGACTGGACCAGGCCAACAAGGGACTGAAAGCTTGAGCAACAGTCAACAGCTTATGACAAATCAACATCCATGTCTGTCACTCCTTGGGAATGATGAGGAACTGACTACAGCTCACAAAAGGGAAGATGTGTGAGAAGCTCACCTGTATTCTGTTGAGCTCCACCACAGGGCCGTGTTGTTTGTCTCGAACCATGGTGGCTTGGACTACTTTGCGGAAAGACGTCTCCTGGAAATACACGTCACAATACAGATGTAGTTTTCTCCACCACACAGAATATACCAGAATTCCTCAAGATTCACTAAGTCAAAGATTATTTTAATTTTATAAATTGTTTGTTCTTTAATGACACTTTCAGCAATATTCCTGCTATATGAGAGACAAACCGGTGATTGATATTATGAGCATTGTCCAATGGTTTATTAAGTCACCTCTCATGACAAGCATAGATAACTTGGGAAGTATTCTAATCCAGAGTCCCCAAGGAACTGTCTACATCTATACTCTTTCAGATTGATCTATGTATCCATGTATCATTTATCAAAACATTCTTCAATTTATCCATAAGTTCAACACCCATTTAACTATAGATTCATTCAACCATTCATTCAGGCACTCATCTATCCATTCAACCATTCATTCAGTCACTCAACTATCCATTCAACCATTCATTCAGCCACTCATCTATCAATTTCTATCCATTCAACCATTCATTCAGTCACTCAACTATCCATTCAACCATTCATTCACTCATCTGTCCATTCAACCATTCATTCAGCCACTCAACTATCCATTCAACCATTCATTCAGTCACTCATCTATCCATTCAACCATTCATTCAGTCACTCAACTATCCATTCAACCATTCATTCACTCATCTGTCCATTCAACCATTCATTCAGCCACTCAACTATCCATTCAACCATTCATTCAGTCACTCATTCTATCCATTCAACCATTCATTCAGCTACTCCATCTATCCATTCAACCATTCATTCAGTCACTCATCTATCCATTCAACCATTCATCATTCAGTCACTCAACTATCCATTCAACCATTCATTCATTCAGCCACTCATCTGTCCATTCAACCATTCATTCAGTCACTCATCTATCCATTCAACCATTCATTCAGTCACTCAACTATCCATTCAACCATTCATTCAGCTCAACTATCCATTCAACCATTCATTCAGTCACTCAACTATCCATTCAACCATTCATTCAGTCACTCATCTGTCCATTCAACCATTCATTCAGTCACTCATCTGTCCATTCAACCATTCATTCAGTCACTCATCTGTCCATTCAACCATTCATTCAGTCACTCATCTGTCCATTCAACCATTCATTCAGTCACTCATCTGTCCATTCAACCATTCATTCAGTCACTCAACTGTCCATTCAACCATTCATTCAGTCACTCAACTATCCAATCAACCATTCATTCAGTCACTCATCTATCCATTCAACCATTCATTCAGCCACTCATCTATCCATTCAACCATTCATTCAGCCACTCATCTCAACTGTCCATTCAACCCATTCATTTCATTCAGCTCAACTCTCCATTCATTCAGTCACTCAACTATCCATTCAACCATTCATTCAGTCACTCATCTGTCCATTCAACCATTCATTCAGTCACTCAACTATCCATTCAACCATTCATTCAGTCACTCATCTGTCCATTCACCCGCATCATGTATCCATTCAACAATCCATTCAACCATTCATTCAACCATGTACCCATTCATTCAACCATCTAAACATCTTCCCATTCAAACATTCATGTCTCCTCCAAGTTCCAGCCCTGACCAAGTCCAGCAGTGAACTGACCTTGGCTGTGGACACAAGGACTCCTCTCAGAGCATCCAGACCTGTAGCAGCATCTCCAATCTCCTCATCCCTTCCTCCATCCTGCATGTCAAACATGGGGATGGATGGACAGAAGAGGTCAGAGAAGTGGTGTAGGAGTACCAGCCTGTTACGGAGCGTGGTGACCTCGAGGCCCATCAAGTGGTTGTACTCCATGGGGATGACAGTGGGCAGCTTCCCTGCACTGACCGGCTTGTGTGTGGACCAGGCCAGGCTGTGGGCGGACCCACACGCCACACGGTTGATCTTCTTGCCTGCAATACAAAGTCAGCATGTGTACTATTTTCTACATCTTTAACGGCATTTTTGCACTTATGATCCCCATGTTACACCTGACAGTTCTGATTCTGATTAATGTAGGTTACACTGGAAAATCTGAAACCAACCTACTCTTAGATGAAAACAGATCCTAAAAGATGAAGAACTTAGGTCCCTACTGTCTCAGAATACAGATGATCTGAAAGCATTCACCGATAGAAAGTATATATTCTGACTGACTGAATTTAGTTTTACACGGCTTTTAGCAATATTCCAGCAACATCACGGCGGGGGACACTAGAAATGGGCTTCACACATTGTACCCATGTGGGGATTCGAACCCGGGTCTTTGGCGTGACGAGCCAACACTTTAACCACTAGGCTACCCCAACGCCCCAGAAAGTATAAATACTTGCATTTAAGATACATATCCATCACATAACAGGGCCAGTAGTTGGTAGGTGGCCATTTTGTGTGATTTGTTTACTTTGGAGGAGTTTTTACTTTGACTTTGACATAACACATGGTGGTCATAACAAAGTGATAGCAAGTCATTGGACCATTCCTTTTTCTTGCTTCATGTCCTTGTATACATAGGGATGATGATATGTGAGCTCACCTTGTAATGCTGCGACTAGCCTGGGTCTCTGTATGGCGTTGGTGGTGCCATCTCCCAGCTGCCCCTCATCATTGTCTCCCCACGTGTACACCTCACCTGGACAGGTCAGACACATATCAACAACAAATCTTCTTCAACATCACAGGATATACAATTAAACAGTAGCAGCAGCAAACAGATCTGAGTGCAGCCACAGATTAAGGTACCACCACAGAACTTAGTACTGTCACAGAACTGAGTACCTCAACAAACATTTGCACCTCAAAAGAAAGGAGTACCAGTAATGGTCTAAATATTGCAACAAATCTGAGTACTGCAGATGAACCATTGGAAAACAATATCAAAATGTATAGCTATTTGCTAAAAACATAGTATCTAAGACTGACTGACTGACTGAGATTTGGTTTTACGCTGCTTTTAGCAATATTCCAGCAACATCACGGCGGGGACACCAGAAATGGGCTTCACACATTGTACCCATGTGGGGATTCGAACCCGGGTCTTCGCCGTGACGAGCCAACGCTTTAACCACTAGGCTACCCCACCGCCTCGAGTATCTAAGAGTGAGTGAGTGATTGAGTATGGTTACACGCCGCTTTTAGCAATATTGGGCACACCAGGAATGGGCTTCACACACTGTACCCATGTGGGGAATCGAACCCAAATCTTCAGTGTGACAAGCGAACGCTATCACCACTAGGCTACCCAACCGCCTCTTGGTATCTAAGAACAGTATGACAGATAAGTGCTGCAGATACCTACCAGCATCAGAGCAGGCGACACAATGCAGAGATCCACATGCCACGTCTATGATCTTCTTGCCCTGGAGTGCTGACACGCGGCGAGGTCGTCGGACGTGATCGTCTGTGCCGTGACCCAGCCGGTGGTAATCTCCCTTGCCCCTGGAAATCAGTTTAGTCAAATAGAGTAATGTTCAACACTGTGTATTTGTTCTTCTTATTATTTACTTTGTCGCTGAAAGAAGTGTTGTGTATCTAAAATCATAATAATAATAACATCTCATCACTAAGTTAAGTACGTAAATTCTCCTTGATACCCTAAACATTCATCAAGTCTTGTACTGTGATCACACATACTGGCGATACACTCATGGGAACAGACTTTTGATAATGTCTGATTATCTATATATCACACCAAGCAGTTGTTCCACTATAGCCATCTTGTACATGTCCAGTACTCACCATGTATAGACAGCCCCTGACTTGGTGAGAGCCACGGAGAATTGGGACCCACACTCCACCTTGATGACCCCCAGGCCCTGCAGGGAGTCAATCTTCACCGGTACCTTGCAGCCGTCACTACCCCCACGACCTGAAACACCCACACCCACGCTGAACTTACAGATACACAGATCAACAGTTTCTTGCACCCAATCAGGCTCAGACACATTGACCACTTCAAATATTATACACTGCTGAAAATGTTTTGAGCCATTGAGTATTTACCCACATCTTCAGCATGTAATATGAATAGACTTCTATAACTTGAAATTTGTCTGATGCGCAAAGGTCTTACCAAGTTTTCCGTAATCTCCATCTCCCCACGACCAGACACAGTCATCCTCCGTGATACACAGACTCTGAGCGTCCCCACTCCCACAAGCCACATCAGTCACTCGCGTCGTCTTCAGAGTTTCAACCTATGGTTAACAGATTATCCAGAAAGTGTCGTAACACAAACACTACCTAGCATTGGGGTATCAAAGCGGACTATAGAAGTACAAAATAATCATTGTTTTAAAACAGCAATAAAATGTAATGGTTTTCACACAAAAATCATATGTTATATGTTAATACCCACCGAAGCAGATTAACCAGAGAACGTACACGAATGTCAACCTTAACCACAGGGCCACCCCAACTGCCCCATGTCTCTAAGAGGTAAAACTATAAGGAATTCGGAGACTGAATTGGCAGGATACATACTTAAGAACTAGTTTGCTCTCCCCCTTGTCATAGTGTACTAAAGTACATATTTGACCTTAACTATATAAGTTTTCACATCGTGTCTCGGGAAATACGGGGTTTTATCAGTCCCGAGTAAGGTGGTATTCCCCTCGCCGAAAACAAGGGAAATACAACCTTACGAGGGACTGATAAAACCCCGTATTTCCCGAGACATGATGTGATAATGCATTTATCTAGCCAAATGTTTTTACTAAATCAAAAGAAAACAATACGCATCAATTTCATTCTCAGTTGTTGTGGCAAAACGTTTCCTTGCTGCCATGTTGACAACAGCTGATAGATTGACCTCAATGCAGCGCACGTGACTAAAGGCTTGGCGATGCACGCTTTTCTCACTTCGCGTGGTCACCGAGGAGTGGCGGGATAATACGACTTTTGTACTCCCTGCTCGCGGATCGTGATGGGTGTACATGGTATTTTATCAGAGTCATGTGATCCAATCAAAACTCGACATTCTTACATGAGGCTGGATAATTACAGTTAAAGCACAAGGATGAGTTGTACTGTAGAGGACTGCAAAGCATCTTAGAAAGTTCTCGCATTACAATTACAATGAACTAATAAAAACATCAACAGTTGGCCTGGACTAATATCTGACTTACCAGCCTCGGTCTAGGTTGGTCTTCACTGTCTCCATGTCCAAGACGTCCATAACGACCTTTTCCCCAGGTGTACAGTTCTCCGTTAGACGTGATGCAGGCGCTGTGTGCTCCACCTGCTGAGATGTCGATCACCTCCTTCCCCCTCAGAGACTCAATCACACGAGGCCGGTCACATGGGCTATTACAGAGAGCGGAAACGCTGTTCAATATTATCGAGAAAACAAAAACACTATCAGGGTGCATGACATCGTATCCCAATTGCGTAGATGGATGCTCATGAGGATGATCACTGGATTGTGTGGTCTAGACTTTATTATTTACAGACCACTGCCATATATAGCTGGAATACTGCACAGTGTGGCATTAAACAAAACAACCAACCAAGCCTTGATCCCCAATCTTATAATAAATCTCCACATCCTGACCATCAGACCCCCCACAACCCAACTCCACCCCATCTCCTCTCACCTTCTGTTTCCGTGTCCCAGCTTGCCATCTTCTCCCTCCCCCCACGAGTACACCTCGCCCTCAGAGGACAGCGCCAGACAGTGTTTGCCTCCAGAGTTGACAGCAACCTTCTTGATGAACACATGTTGTATTGACTCCAGTAGTGTAGGAGTGGACACAGACTCGGTGCCACCGATACCTAGACGGCCGCCAGCACCATAGCCAGTACCATACACCTGTCACAGAGAAATACAGTCAGTACCATACACCTGTCACAGAGAAATACAGTCAGTACCATACACCTGTCACAGAGATATACAGAAAGTACCATACACCTGTCACAGAGAAATACAGTCAGTACCATACACCTGTCACAGAAAAATACAGACAGTACCATACACCTGTCACAGAGATATACAGAAAGTACCATACACCTGTCACAGAGAAATACAGTCAGTACCATACACCTGTCACAGAAAAATACAGTCAGTACCATACACCTGTCACAGAGATATACAGACAGTACCATACACCTGTCACAGAGACATACAGAAAGTACCATACACCTGTCAGAGAGAAATACATCTCACTCAGAGCCATACAGGCAATAACCATTCACCTGTGACAGAACCATATACTCAGTATTAGGCACGTGTCAAATAACAAAACAGTCAGTACCGTACACTTGTCACAGAGCTATGCAGTTAGTACCATACACCTGTACACAATCCATAAAATCAGTACCATACACCTGTATACAATCCATAAAATCTGTACCATACACCTGTACACAATCCATAAAATCAGTACCATACACCTGTACACAATCCATAAATTCAGTGACATACACCTGTACACAATCCATAAAAGCAGTGACATACACCTGTACACAATCCATAAAATCAGTACCATACACCTGTATACAATCCATAAAATCAGTACCATACACCTGTATACAATCCATAAAATCTGTACCATACACCTGTACACAATCCATAAAATCTGTACCATACACCTGTACACAATCCATAAAATCAGTGACATACACCTGTACACAATCCATAAAATCAGTGACATACACCTGTACACAATCCATAAAATCAGTACCATACACCTGTACACAATCCATAAAATCAGTACCATACACCTGTACACAATCCATTAAATCAGCACCATACACCTGTATACAATCCATAAAATCTGTACCATACACCTGTACACAATCCATAAAATCAGTGACATACACCTGTACACAATCCATAAAATCAGTACCATACACCTGTACACAATCCATAAAATCAGTGACATACACCTGTACACAATCCATAAAATCAGTACCATACACCTGTACACAATCCATAAAATCAGTACCATACACCTGTACACAATCCATAAAATCAGCACCATACACCTGTACACAATCCATAAAATCTGTACCATACACCTGTACACAATCCATAAAATCAGCACCATACACCTGTACACAATCCATAAAATCAGTACCATACACCTGTACACAATCCATTAAATCAGCACCATACACCTGTACACAATCCATAAAATCAGTGCCATACACCTGTACACAATCCATAAAATCAGTGCCATACACCTGTACACAATCCATAAAATCAGTGACATACACCTGTACACAATCAATAAAATCAGTACCATACACCTGTACACAATCCATAAAATCAGTGCCATACACCTGTACACAATCCATAAAATCAGTGACATACACCTGTACACAATCCATAAAATCAGTGACATACACCTGTACACAATCCATAAAATAAGTACCATACATCTGTATGTGGCGATACAGCCAGTACCATAAACCTGTGACAGAAAGGCCTAATCCTCTATAGCACAATTATCAGCAATTCCATTTAAATGATGCCACTTCAGTCTTAGAAAACAAATACCTAATGTCACCTAACATGCATGCCAGGCTGAGAAAATCGGAACAGACAACACTACGACCTTCACATACCTTCCCATCAGCTGTGACGGCAAACAATGTCTGCTCTCCTCCAATCAGCTGCACGGGGCGGAGACTAGCCAGCGACTCGCAGCTGACCGGGAGCTTGACCTTGGCCCCCTCGACCCCACCCAGCTGACCTCGGTGGTTGTGACCCCACACCCAGATCTGGCCACTGCCACCCCAGCTCAGTGTCCAGTCATCAGGCTTCCTGGAAACAACATGAGTGTGTATGTATCAGTGAAGGTGCAGTAGATACTCATCTCCATCACTGACAATGCGATATAATTTACTTGTTCTTATTATGGCTGTAGCCTTTGAGACCAATGTAAATACATTTTCCAAGTTATGAGTATGACAGTTAATTCTTTGCATGAAAGACTCTCCAGTTACATTAGTTGAGAGATACATAAATATATATGCCTGTCCCAATGCTTGCTCACTTGTACAAACAATTTAGGAACTCTGACACTGATTGGCCAATTAGAAAGTGTAAGCTGACACAACCTCCAGATATGTACGCATATCTTTAACCAGAGAGGTATCATGTCAGGGTGAGTTTTGATAAAACTGGTTCTCCAGCAGGTTGATGGACATACTAGCCATGGTAGGCAAAGCAATTAGTTTGCTAAAATAATTAAAAGGTGGAGATACATAAAACATACAACTGTCACTTGGTCTGCCAACTGTCAAAGCCGAGTCAATACTGACAGCATACCTGTTCATCCACATAAGAAGCTGCTCGTCCTGCATCTGTTTAAAGACAGCGTGAGCCTCGTGGTCCCGTGTGATTTTCTCGCCTTCAGCAGCGATGTCCTGAATCTTCTTCATCACTTCCTCCGCAAACACCACCGGGAGCTGCGTCCGTTTGACGATTGCAGCAGCCACGCGGGCGGCCATGCAGTAGCGGCGGAACCATGCCCATTTGTGGGCCTCAGCACAGCATTGTAGAGTGTCCATACCCAGGTCACACGCCAGGGCCACAAGCACCTGCAAGGCAGAGGTGAAGGTCACATGAAATGCTGTATATGTGTGCATCAGTGTGTGTATGAGTGCGAGTGTGAGAGAGTGAGTGTGATTCTGTCTCTTTACTAGTGCAGGCTATGGCTCGTTTTATTGTAGCCCACACGGACACCCTGCACAGTTTAAAATGGATATGCTACTCCAACACATGATACTACTGTTTTATCCCATCATACCTAGTATCAAGCAGGTAACAAAGGATTATAGGATTCTGTCACAACTAAGGGACACAACTCTACAAGGCTCCTAGGACGACCCATCACCCTTCACACACAATCCTAAAGTGCAGGTAGTGCATCTACATACAAACTTTTGACTTCAGGTTGACTAAGAACAAATAAATCAAAATCCTTTGATCTCTAAATTAAGAAACAAAACTGAATCTATACTCTGCATAATATATGTAGCGGACATAAAATTTCCGAGTCCCGTGGTGGGATTCGAACCACGGACCTTATAATCCTAAGTCGGACGCCTTGTCCACATGACCAAAGAGGTTAACCCCGTCAGCAACCTGACATGGTAATGATGTCATCTGTGGGATGACTCCACGTCCTGCTACACATATTTAGCAGAATATCAGTGAATCTTGACTGACCTTGAAGAACGGACTGTGCATGAGATGCTTGCCACTGCGGACGATGGGGTCCTCGTACTCGTACTGTCTCTGTAGCGCCTCCGGTAGCCCCCTTCACCAGGGAGGCCAGGGCCGACCCACTCAGACACTGTGTAAATGAAATGCAACATGTATACATAAAAGCATATCTTATGGTTGACACAAAGACCCCACCTCCTCATTTTCTTAGGTTCATGTTATCACTACATGTGCTATGAAGTTCAACGCAAATGGAAATGCAAATGTACACACAGCTACATTCAAGTTTGAAACCAAGGAAACATTTATAGATATTTCAACATACAACCTATTATATACAAGACTATATTGAAATAACCTTCCTGAGACACTGATACTGACCGTCAGTGGGTCTGATCTCCATTCTGTCATGGCCTGGTCAAATGTACTTCAATCTCAGTGAACAAAAAGAATGCATACATAAGGACCCCTTCCTACATCACCTCTACACTTACCACCTCCCCACCAACAACCTTCCCCATCCCATCAGGTCTACCTACCACTGAGTATGTCCGGGGCATCTCCTGGTCTGGACTCTCCGAGGTGGGGCTGGCTAGAAGGGCGTTGACGTTGATGGAGGGGCCGAAGTTGCCGGCCATCAGTTTCCTCAGTTTGTGTAGAGCCCACATCCTCTGGTTGGCACCTGAGTCAGAGCAAAACTTAGGTTGCTACCAGGGTTGTAAAGCTTCAAATCAAATCACATCATACAAGTGGGAGAATGAGTGGAGTCAAGGAGCCTTATTATTCGCAAATGGTTCATGAAACAAACTTGGTTTAAAGCCTAGTCACCAATACATCAGTAACATTAGGGGGGCTCAAAATGTGTCTGACCATCTAGGTGTGAGGACAGACGTGCACTCTGGATATCTGTGGTGAAAAAGCCTGTATCATCATTGTGGTATACTTTGGTATCTAACTTTATCTCAGTCCATACAAGAATGGGTCACAGAAGGCAGCCATCACAAGATGAGTAGGAACATCAGAAATCTGAGTTTATCTATTTCATGACTGAACAGAGGAACTGCCTCCAAACATCACTAATCTCATGTATAACCCCAGTCTCCTCCCATATAGGGTACTAAGGACTGTTTCTGCCTCCAAATATCAACAACCTTTATCAAGGACCATCTCATACCTGGAAGGGGTACTCCAGACTCTTTCTGCATACTCATATCTATTCCCAATCTAGCTTCAGCCCCATTCCGCATCCAAATACCAATAATCCTAATCCAGGACCATCTCATGTTTCAAGGGGATACCTCAGACCCACTCTGCCTCCTGGTCTCAATAATCCCAATCAAGCACCATATCCTACTTCAAGGGATGCCTCAGACCCACTCTGCCTCCTGGTCTCAATAATCCCAATCAAGTACCATCAAGGGGAACCTCAGCCCAATTCTGCCTCCTAGTCTCAATAATCCCAATCAAGTACCATATCCTACTTCAAGGGGAACCTCAGCCCAATTCTGCCTCCTGGTCTCAATAATCCCAATCACGTAGCATATCCTACTTCAAGGGGAACCTCAGCCCAATTCTGCCTCCTGGTCTCAATAATCCCAATCAAGTACCATATCCTACTTCAAGGGGAACCTCAGCCCAATTCTGCCTCCTGGTCTCAATAATCCCAATCACGTAGCATATCCTACTTCAAGGGGAACCTCAGCCCAATTCTGCCTCCTCGTCTCAATAATCCCAATCATGCACCATATCCTACTTCAAGGGGAACCTCAGCCCAATTCTGCCTCCTGGTCTCAATAATCCCAATCACGTAGCATATCCTACTTCAAGGGGAACCTCAGCCCAGTTCTGCCTCCTGGTCTCAATAATCCCAATCAAGTACCATCAAGGGGAACCTCAGCCCAATTCTGCCTCCTGGTCTCAATAATCCCAATCAAAAGTTACCATCAAGGGAACCTCAGCCTAATTCTGCCTCCTGGTCTCAATAATCCCAATCAAGTACCATATCCTACTTCAGGGAACCTCAGCCCAATTCTGCCTCCTGGTCTCAATAATCCCAATCAAGTACCATCAAGGGGAACCTCAGCCCAATTCTGCCTCCTGGTCTCAATAATCCCAATCAAGTACCATATCCTACTTCAAGGGGAACCTCAGCCCAATTCTGCCTCCTGGTCTCAATAATCCCAATCAAGTACCATCAAGGGGAACCTCAGACCCACTCTGCCTCCTGGTCTCAATAATCCCAATCAAGTACCATATCCTACTTCAAGGGGAACCTCAGCCCAATTCTGCCTCCTGGTCTCAATAATCCCAATCAAGAATCAAGTACCATCAAGGGGAACCTCAGACCAATTCTGCCTCCTGGTCTCAATAATCCCAATCAAGTACCATATCCTACTTCAAGGGGAACCTCAGCCCAATTCTGCCTCCTGGTCTCAATAATCCCAATCAAGTACCATCAAGGGGAACCTCAGCCCAATTCTGCCTCCTAGTCTCAATAATCCCAATCAAGCACCATATCCTACTTCAAGGGGAACCTCAGACCCACTCTGCCTCCTAGTCTCAATAATCCCAATCAAGTACCATCAAGGGGAACCTCAGCCCAATTCTCCCTCCTAGTCTCAATAATCCCAATCAAGCACCATATCCTACTTCAAGGGGAACCTCAGACCCACTCTGCCTCCTAGTCTCAATAATCCCAATCAAGTACCATCAAGGGGAACCTCAGCCCAATTCTGCCTCCTGGTCTCAATAATCCCAATCAAGTACCATCAAGGGGAACCTCAGCCGCATTCGGCCTCCTGGTCTCAATAATCCCAATCAAGTACCATATCCTACTTCAAGGGGAACCTCAGCCCAATTCTCCCTCCTTGTCTCAATAATCCCAATCAAGTACCATCAAGGGGAACCTCAGCCCAATTCTGCCTCCTAGTCTCAATAATCCCAATCAAGTACCATCAAGGGGAACCTCAGCCCAATTCTGCCTCCTCGTCTCAATAATCCCAATCAAGTATGATATCCTACTTCAAGGGGAACCTCAGCCCAATTCTGCCTCCTAGTCTAAATAATCCCAATCATGTACGATATCCTACTTCACGGGAAACCTCATCCCAATATACCTCCTAGTCTCAATAATCCCAATCAAGTACCATATCCTACTTCAAAGAGAACCTCAGCCCATTTCTGCCCCCTGATATCAGTAATCACAACTGATGACTATCTCCAACCAGAACGGGGTACACAGGAACTATTCTATTTCAGAATGTCAGTTGGGTACAAATTATCCAAAATCCACTCATTTTAAAAAACCAACAACTGCAATAAAAGGTCTTGTCACCTAGTGAGCTGAGCTGGGCACACGCTGCTAGTGCAGCCGCCAGTCTGGGGATGATGTTCCTGTCCATCGTGAGCTCCAGTTTGAAGTCCAGCAGACAGGTGACCAGGTCAATGGAGGGTCGGGACAGGATGGTGCGGTCACTGAGCATGTCCAGGGGAGCAGCTGCTGGCATGACGGGATACACGGTAAACAGCCAACCCCAGCCGTTGACGGAACCATCGCTAATGAACTTCCATCGGAGCTTCGTCACCCTGGACACGAGTTCTTATGCACCAATCAGACCATTCCCGCCTGAAGAAAAAAACAGACTCATTAACTCACACAAGGCTGAACAAGTGAAAGGGTTGTAAGTGATAAAAAATGAATGAATATTATTTCGTATGACTGTCATACAAGACACTGTGATGACATCACAAGGTACGACAACACACATTGTGGCTACTCAATTCCCATGTAAATTGATAGATGTGGGTCTTCGGGACTTGGAAAGATAATTCTCACAGTTCAAGACTTGGGCTGACAGAAAGCAGGTTGAATTCTGATCTTGATAATGCCTGATTAAGACATACTACATTGATAGTTGACATTTTGAGCATCTATGCATGCATCAGGGACATTGCTGACGTTGGTTAGTGGGTGCTTATATTTTTACTCAGAATTCCCAAGTAGCGGTTCAAACATGCAGTGTTGACAAGACAGTAGACCTGTGTAAAACTCACCTGATCTAGTGGCTACTGTCCTTCCTGACCCGTCCATGATGGTGAGAGATCATGCCATATAATAATCCCAATCAATTACCATATCCTATTTCAGGAACCTCAGCCCAATTCTGCCTCCTGGTCTCAATAATCCCAATCAATTACCATATCTTACTTCAAGGGGAACCCCCAGCCCACTCCTGTCCCTTGATATCAGTAATCCCAACTGATGACCATCTCCCTACCAAAGCGGGGTACACAGGAACCTATCCTGTTTTGGAATGTCAGTTGGGTACAAATTATCCAAATCCACTACCATTTCAAAACCAACAACTGCAATAGAAAGGTCTTGTCACCTAGTGAGCTGAGTTTCTATACCTGCAGCTGCTAGATGCAGCCGGCCAGTCTGGGATGATGTTCCTGTCCATCGTGAAGCTCCAGTTTGAAGTCCAGCAGACAGGTCACCAGGTCAATAGAGATTGGCGGGACAAAGGATGGGAGTCGCGGTCACTTCAGAGGCTACGTCCAGGGAGGCAGCCATGAAAGCCCGAAGCCGAGGATGCACGTAGTAAACAGCCAACCCAGCCGTTGGCCCAGGAACCAAAGTGGCTAATGAAGACTTCCGTGAGGCGCAAGTCACCCTGGACCCGCGTAGTTCAAAGCTACGACCAGAAATCAGACCATTCAGTACAGAAGAAAAGAAACAGACTCAGTAACTCACACAAGGCTGAACAAATTGAAAGGGTTAATTATGAGAGTGATAGAAATATGAATGAATATTTATTTCGTATAACTGTCATACAAGACACTGTGATGACATCACAAGATGCGACAACACACATTGCGGGCTACTCACCTCCCATGTAAGAATTGATAGATGTGGGTCTTCGGGACTTGAAAGATAATTCTCACAGTTCAAGACTTTTGGCTGACAGAAAGCAGGTTCGAATTCTGATCTTGATAATGCCTGATTAAGACATTACCACATTGGATTCGTTGACATTTTGAGCATCTATGCATGCATCAGGGACATTGTTGACGTTGGTTAGTGGGTGCTTATATTTTTACTCAGAATTCCCAAGGAGCTTGTTCAAACATAGTGTTGACAGGACAGTATGACCTGTGTAAAACTCACCTGATCTGGTGGCTTACTGTCCTTCCTGACCCGTCCCATGATGGTGAGAGGATCATGCCGTCTCTCGTGGAGCAGCCGGTCAAACTCTCTACACGCAGTGCCTCAGCTCCTGAAACAATATCAATAACCATCAACTGGGAATCACACTACATTAATCATAATCACTCACTGGGGTAGTCTTGTGACAAAAGTGTGAAGCCCATTTATGTGTGTAATGTTGAAATACTGCTAAAAGAGGGGCAGTGGGGTAGCCTAGTGGTTAAAGCCGTCCCGGCTTGTCACACTGAAGACTCGGGTTTGATTCCCCACATGAAGCCAATTTCTGGTATCCCCTGCCGAATATTGCTGGAATATTGCTAAAGCGGCAAAACACCTAAACTCACTCACATGAAACAATCCTCAGTCACCTAACATTTATCGCAGACAGAACTGTTTTTGGGCAGAGATGCTTCACATATTTCATTTCGTTTACTAACATAATCCACCACACTCCAGTCCTGAGAGTGGAGACGCAGACACTAACCGGTATCTTGACGCGTCCCAGCTGTGACGGTCATCGGTGTAGGGTGGGGACTCTCCTGTATCACTGGCTGGGCCGTAGCACGTCCGAGTCCTGTGGTCCAGAGAAACATCCTCCAGCTCTTGTCACACACAGCTCCAGCACCATCTCCGCGAACCTGCAACATCAACATCACACAACAAGGTCAGTATTGATAATAAAATGAAAGATAATGAGTTGTTATTATTTCCCTTAATCTGAAAGAACAGTATATTTCTCACAGGTTGTTTCTCCACACGAAAGTGAAGGACAGAGTACTAGTTAGCATCTCATCAGAAATGTTGGGGTTGGGGGTTGGGAGATTGGGGTTGGGGCTGGGCTCGGGATTGGGATTGAGGTTGAGGCTGGGTTAGGACTGGGTTTGGGGTTAAGGTTCTGAGGCTGGGTCCAGGGCTGGAGTTGGGATTGGGGGGTTGATGTTGGGGTCAGGACTGAGCTGGGGCTGAGGCTGGGGAGTCAGGGCTGATGCTGGGGTCAGGACTGAGCTGGGATTGATGCTGGGGTCCAGGACTGAGTTGGGGTTGAGGTTGGGGTTAGGACTGAGCTGGGGCTGAGGCTGGGGTCAGGGCTGATGCTGGGGCTCAGGACTGAGTTGGGGCTGATGTTGGGGCTGCTGGGCTGATGTTGGGGTCTGGGGCTGATGTTGGGTCAGGACTGAGTTGGGGCTGATGTTGGGGTCAGGACAGAGTTGAGGCTGATGTTGGGGTTGGGGCTGATGTTGGGGTCTGGGTTGATGTTGGGGCCAGGACTGAGTTGAGGTTGATGTTGGGGTTGGGGTTGATGTTGGGTCAGGACTGACTTGGGGCTTGCTGGGGGGCTGATGTAGGTCAGGGTTGATGTTGGGGTCAGGACTGAGTTGAGGTCAGAACTGAGCTGGGGTTGATGTTGGGGTTGGGGTTGATGTTGGGGTCAGGACAGAGTTGAGGTTGATGTTGGGGTTGAGGTTGATGTTGGGGTTGGGGATGTTGGGGGGCTCAGGACTGAGGGGCTGGGGGCTGATGTTGGGGTTGGGGCTGATGCTGGGGTCAGGACTGAGCTGGGTTGATGCTGGGGGTCAGGACTGAGTTGGGGTTGATGTTATGGTCAGGACTGAGTTGGGGGTTGATGCTGGGGTCAGGACTGAGTTTTGGGTCAGGGTTGAGGTTGGGGTCAGGACTGAGTTGGGGCTGATGTTGGGGTCAGGACAGAGTTGAGGTTGATGTTGGGGTTGGGGTTGATGTTGGGGTCTGGGTTGATGTTGGGGTCAGAACTGAGTTGAGGTTGATGTTGGGGTTGGGGTTGATGTTGGGTCAGGACTGACTTGGGGTTGCTGTTGGGGTCAGGGTTGATGTTGGGGTCAGGACTGAGTTGGGGTCAGAACTGAGTTGGGGTTGATGTTGGGGTTGGGGTTGATGTTGGGGTCAGGACAGAGCTGGAGGTTGATGTTGGGGTTGAGGCTTGATGTTGGGGTTGATGTTGGGACAGGACTGAGTTGGGGTTGATGTTGGGGTTGGGGCTGATGTTGGGGTCAGGACTGAGTTGGGGTTGATGTTGGGGTCAGGACTGAGTTGGGGTTGATGTTATGGTCAGGACTGAGTTGGGGTTGATGTTGGGGTCAGGACTGAGTTTGGGTCAGGGTTGAGGTTGGGGTCAGGACTGAGTTGGGGTTGATGTTGGGGGTCAGGGCTGAGTTGGGGGTTGATGTTGGGGTTTGGGGTTGGGGTTGGGGTTGATGTTGGGGTTGGGGGTTGATGTTGGGGTCAGGACTGAGTTGGGGTTGATGTTGGGGTTGGGGTCAAGTCAAAGATGTTTATTGTACAAATTATACATATGGTGCAATAAGTAGAACTTAGTGATCCAAACAGCAAATCATGATACAGGCAGTAAATTATGTACAAGAAGTGAAATACGATGGACCTACAACACTTTTTATCAGATTGTTACGTTTAATAAGAGCATAATTGATATAGTACGACAGCTTTATTATTACATGCTGGTCAGTTGATGAAAGAAGTAGTTTAAATGCTAATGTAGGTGGCTTACATAGATAATATTCAGCTATATATTTCGTACGCAAATCTTTATACAAAGGACATACAAGTAAAAAATGGATTTCATTTTCCACATCTATATTACACAGTGGGCACATTCTCTTGCATCGTTCAATATAAAAACGTCTTCCTTCGTTTACCATTATGTTGATGTTGGGGTTGGGGTTGATGTTGGGGTCAGGACTGAGTTGGGGTCAGGGTTGATGTTGGGGTCAGGACTGAGTTGGGGTTGATGTTGGGGTTGGGATCAGGGCTGATGTTGGGGCTGTCAGGACTGAGTTGGGGCTGATGTTGGGGTTGGGGCTGATGTTGGGGTCAGGACTGAGTTGGGGCTTGATGTTGGGGCTTGGGGTTGATGTTGGGGTCAGGACTGAGTTGGGGTTGATGTTGGAGTCAGGGTTGATGGTGGGGTCAGGACTGAGTTGGGGTCAGGACTGAGTTGGGGTTGATGTTGGAGTCAGGGTTGATGTTGGGGTCAGGACTGAGTTGGGGTTGAGGTTGGGGTTGGGGTTGGGGATGAGGTTGAGGTTGATGTTGGGGGTGATGTTGGGGGTGATGTTGGGATTGAGGTCGGGTCAGGACTGGGGTTGGGGTTTGAGGTAAGGTTGGTGTTAGCATAGGTGTTGGAGTGTCTGAGGCAGATACGTACAATAGTAAAAGACCCAGGTAAGTGGTTAGGTGAATGTGGATGTGTTTGTGTTAGGTGAGGTGAGGTGAGGTGAAATTGGATTTAACGTCACGCTGGAGAATATTTCGCTCATATGACGATGTACATGCGTGTGTATGTGTAGGTCTGAAGCTGGTTTTATATTGCTAGCCCACTGAGATACCATGCCGCAGTGAAGCATGAATACCCCACTCAGACACATTATACTGACTCCGAGCCGACCAGTCCTTGTACCCATTAATGCCGAGCGCCAGGCAGGGACCAACAAGTACCATATTTTAACGTCTTTTGGTATGACGCGGTCAGGGATCAAACCCGCGACCTTCCGCTCTCCGGGCTGACGCTCTAACCACTACACCATGGAGGTGGTCTGTTTTAGGGCTGGAAGCAGGTAATCCAATTGAAAAATTTATTCCACAAACAATGAAAAAAAAACACCCTTTGTTTCATTTCAAAGTTTAAAACATTTACCTGAGGGTACGCCTTGCCCAGGGCAGTGAGGACCTCAGACAGTGTCTCCTTGCCCTTCTCTCCGACCCTGCAGGCTACAGCCAGCTTGAGGAGGTCAACCAGGATCCGGGAGTCATCTGCCGAAATTCTGCTGGTGAACTCGTCCAGTCCAGGGGGATACGCCGTGCTCACACTGTCCATGGTGCGGGTCACCTCGTCCGGCGACGTGAAAGTCTCTGCAATGATGCTGGTGGCAGGAGACACCTTCGCCGCGAGGCTGTGCATGCTTCGGAATGACGACATGTCCATGGAGAACTGACTCTGCAACATCAGATAGAGAGGCTGATAGAAATACGTAAAAACATCATGCTTGCTCACAGCTGACCTAGTCACTGTGTAGAGAATAGTGGAGAGCAGCATAGAGGTTAAATGTTTGCTAATTCATTCTCATTCAAAACAAATACATTCACTGCATATTGAATAGACATGGTGGTGTACCCGTTCACATGTTATTGCAAACACCTTGTTCTACTCCTCACAAGGTACATGTGAGATGACCATTTCTGAGGTCCCCTGCTCCTGGTGGGACATTGCTGGAGTAATTGACAAAAGAGTCTCTATTAAACTAAGCATACAGAACTAATTATGGTTCCTGACAAAACAGTTCAGATGTGTGTCAAAATGCAGTGGCATCAATGGTAAACTTAGATAAAAAGTCTCTGAAGAAGCTTCAAATCACAATTCTTCGATCATACACAATAACATGTTATCATTCATATTCAAATGATATTGAGACACTTCAAAACTGGTTTGATAATTTTCAATTGTACTCAATCACACCCAAAAATGAAAACATCAAAACCACTTACATGTCCACTCTGTTCCATGGTGTCAACGATGGAGACGTCGATGTCTGTGTGGTCGACTACCCCTTCTGATGCCGTCATGAGGGTACTGGTGTCGGGGCTGGGTGTGACGGTGACTGGGACACAGGACTTGGGTTCGGCCAGCACCTGAATCTCCTGGGCCAGGGACCCAACTATAGCATCTCTACAACATACAGATACATGCCAAGTGAGGAGGGTTTTATGTCATCACTACTTGGATAAAGGAAACCACTATCTGATTGTGAAAACATATCTACACTTGTACAATGACACACTACACCAATTATATGCCAATACCTCCATCATATGCAAGCTGGGACAGCTGCCTGTTAATAATCGAGTTTGGATCAAACAATCTAGTGATTGTCATTATAAGCAACTTTTCAATGTTATCAGGGTAGGATAAAATCCAATAAGTCCCTGAACCTTATCACGTGATCTATTAATTCGTTAGGTTGATAGGGTCAGAATCACAGCATCATTTCATAATGAGCCTCACATCCAATCACGAAGGTTGTACTCATGGTCCAACATACGCTAAAAGAAAAGACATCAGTACAGTGGTATTCCTGGAACAGGGATACTTTCGATCTAAACTGTCTGTGACAATGATTCCTGGATACGGAGGCGTTAACTGTTCCAAATAAAGATAATGTGGAGGAGACAGATTTATGATGGAATTTATGAATAAGTGAGTGAGTGAGTTGGGTTCTACGCTGTTAAAACAATATTACAGCAATATCTGACAGGGGGACACCAGAAATTGGCTTCACACATTGTACCAATGAAAACCTGGGTTTTCGGTGTGACGAGCGATCGCTTTAACACTAGGCTACCCCACTGCCCCTGCTGATCATAAGGATCTTGATGGAACTCTCTCAGCCGGCTTGACAAGTATGAAGCTGACGTGTTGGTACATCAGTAGGTGATGCTGATAGGACCTAGTATTCAAAACTGGATGGGACAGGCAACCAGACAATGCTTAACAAGGCTGATGTGATGTGGAGTGAGTTAGAGAGCAAATATTGCTGCATTCCTCATAAGCAACCTGGCAGCCATTTGCAATGCCTGACTGACTGAGTTTGGTTTTACGCCGCTTTCAGCAATATTCCAGCAACATCACGGCGGGGGACACCAGAAATGGGCTTCACACATTGTGCCCATGAAGGGATTCGAACCCGGGTCTTTGGCGTGACGAGTCAACGCTTTAACCACTAGGCTACCCCACCACCCCGGCAGCCATTTGCAATGGTCATGATTTGGGCAAGAGGCATACCTGGCATAGAGAATCTGGAGTGCCGTCAGTACGTGCGCCAGCGCCTTCTGTTTCTCCACATCCGACTCTAACGACAGGAGGATCTTGGACAGCGACGGACGACTGTTCTTGTTCTGGAGCTGTGGAGCCATCACTGGCAGAGTTGATTCATCACCCTGGGGTTCAAACATCCCTGTACGGAGGAAGACAGCAGGTTATCACACAGGGTAAGGAGGCTGATACAGCAGGGCTGACAAAATCTATAAAACATATCACAACCTGGCAACTACCAGGAGGTCACACTTATACGCAGTCACCTGTTCAGTATAGAGGGTCTTCCCAAAAATGGTGTCTATGCATACCGGTATTTTCTAAGAATGTCATAGCAGTAGGACAAAGGTGGTTCCTTGGCATCAATATCATCAGATCATTATCTGACTGTTCATGTTATTATAGGATAAGACTCCATTCCTTCTGTAGTCCGTTTGGCTCAAAAGCAGACCGATGAATAGCAATCTAACTCAAAAACTAGTAAACATAAAATACTCAGTGAAACGCTGATCATAATCAAAACATCATACCAACTCTGTGAAGTTTTTGCAGAATTTTTGTCCTAAAAATAATAAAGTTGTTTAACAATCTATCATTAAAATATTGACACAGTTCACTATTTGTTACTAGGGAGGAGGGAGGAGTGCAGAGAAAGGGACAGCCATGTGTTCGAGACGGCACAGCACAGGTTAATGGCTGTCCCTTTCTCTGCAACTCTTTCATATATACTACAAAAATTCCTTCACAAATTAATTAAAGTAATATGAAAGAATGAGAAGGTCCTTAAATGTTTTGACTAGTACATAATTCAACTATATATAAGGATGGGAATACACAGAAACCTTCCTCAAACATAACCTTCAAGTTACAAGGAATCAATTTGGTGTACTTCTGAGCAACATGAATATCCCTTTCAACTGTTGAGTAGTATATCTGGACTATTCCTCACCTAGCAGTGTAGCACCAAGAGCATCCTTAGATGCCGAGAACAGAACTGGCTCGTGTGTTGTTGGTGTGGACAAATCGGTTGTTGCCCAGGCAACGCTGTGAGATGACCCACATGCCACACGTATGATCTTGCTTCCCTCCAGACCTTGCACCAACGCTGGCTTCCTGTTGACTGTTGTGGAGCCGTTACCTTGCTGGCCGTGATCGTTGTCGCCCCACGCATACACCTACACAGGTCATATGTACTGTCACATATAGCTCACTTTGTCAGAACAGTCTGGATTTTTTTAGTCCAGAAAAACATCACCCTATTCATGATATGAGACATATTCCTGGAGCCAGATACTAGTTTAGTTTGAGTAAGAGCATGTTATCATTCACTTTCAGTATTGAGAGGTTCATTGGGTATTCCTTGGGTCTAGTCTACTGGGTCTTTTTAAACCAATAAGTGAACTGTTCTTAAATATGATTCTGCTTGAAACCCTGTGACGGGTTTGTATGCATTTTCAAATATCCATCTGATGTCTCACGTGCGCTACATATCACGTAAGTTCTTAGTTTGGAATCGTAGACAAGTCCCCTCCTGTATGGAGGCAGAGAGTGGTCCAATGTTATATTATCCAATGTGGATGTTATCGACAAAGACACACAGACAATGGTTCACATCCTGGCTTATTTGTCAATGAAATAACTGTTTCATTTTTTGCTCAGTCAATAAAAACAATTAGACATGATATATGTGACCCTAATGAGGGTTGTACGTACATGTCCCTGGTCTGTGACAGTGAGACAGTGGAGGGCCCCTACAGCTACGTGGATGACCTTTTTGCCCTTAAGGCCTTCCACCAGCTGGGGCTTCCGAACATGTGCGTCTGTCCCGTGGCCCAAGCGAAAGTAGTCCCCCTTACCCCTAGGAATTGGAAGAGAACACAGAGTTGACACAACAGCTGATGGCGTTAGTTCTCTACATCAGCAACAACATCATTAACCCACTCAAAATACTACCAGTTGTTTCGAAACAAAAATATGACATAAAAAGAGTACCAAACCCTCACCCTACCTTCTTAATTATCACTACATTCTAGTTATGTAAATAATTACAGTTCATTTACAATCTTAATAATAATGACATCATAATGCACCAACTCCACATTGTCAAGAATTATTATCCTAGTCAATGAAATGGTGAACAACAGGGAGAGTTCTATTGATATACAACTTTTTTATTATTAATACGAGCACAACTTCATTATTATTGATATTGTATATCCATAGAACTCTCCCCGTTGTTCATCACACCAACTTCCTTATGCCACTCTAAGAAGTATTGCCACTCAATTAAATAAATCGATGTGCACTCCATTTTCACTCTCAGCTCCCTGAGGAGTATGTGCAACCCAAGCTACTTGGGAGATGCTAAGTCAACAGTCACATTCCCACCTCATAACACCAGACATGTAGTTAGAGTTGTGTGAACTGACATGATAGACATTTTAGCTGACCACTGACTCACCACGTCCAGACTTGACCCGTCTTGGTGAGAGCAAGAGAGAACTGAGCACCACACTCAATCTGACACACCCCGAGTCCCGTCAGCCGCTCGATGACATGGGGGGAGTTACAGCCGTCACTGCCGCCTCTCCCCAGCTTCCCAAAGTCCCCGTCCCCCCAGGAGTACACATGACCCTCGTCTGTGAGGGCCAGAGTCTGGGCGTCCCGACTCCCACACGCAATCTGGATCACACGCTGACCAGCCAAGGCCTTGACCTGTAGGGGGAACATTTACATACACAAAACTCATGTCCACAGGAGATATAGCATAGACCCAGGCATATACATTTTACTGAAAATGTACATTCTATGAGGCATTAATATAACAGAAGTTTGTCAAGGCTTATGTATCTAAAACACTTACTCTTTCTCAGTAGCAGTCAGCAAGTAGTAGTACACAGGGGTGGAAATAACTATAAAATTTAACCAAACCTGCAGAGGTTTTCAATTCTTTGAAGAGAGTCGTCCTTGGGGTACATATTATGCATTTTCCGGCTGAAAAATGTCCTGTGACAGTTGTATCAATGTTTTTTGAATAAAAAGATTGAACAATAAATAAACTCTTTTATTTATTATACGGACCCTACCTCACGGAGTTACCTCCCTTAGCGCATGCGCACCAACTAGGTAGGCTCCTAGACCCGAGATCATCATTCCTTCTGCTGAATTCTTATCAGTGAACAGAATTATGGGAGGCGGGAGGCCCTACCCCAGGGCGACTCTCTTCAAAGAATTGAAAACCTCTGCAGGTTTGGTTAATTCTTTTCAGAGAGATCGTCCTTGGGGTACATATTATGCATAAACACAGACACCCAAAGACCGGAGGCCAGGGAGGAGGGAATTCTGTCCAAGCACACACAAACATAGCGATCGTATCATGGAAAAACTGAACAGACGCCATAACACTCACCTGTCACTTGTCCCAGTTTAGCCTTCCTCGAGAGGCATTATGGGAGGGGAACTGACAGGAGGAATTGTGCTCAAAGGCGACCTCTCTAGCATAATGAGACATTGCACGTGAAAAGCGAAATGTCAATGAATCCCCACCCACTAAGTGGCTACATGAGAGCACCGTGGGGGAATGCAAAATACCACTCACTAACGATATAGTAACTCGTAGAGAATCGAAAGGGGTACAGGTTCTCTGAGTGAGCTCACAGTAGCAGACATGTCAATAATGGAATTATTGTACAGTAGCGTCAAAACAAACCAATAAACCAAGACTCACTTTCGGTCAGGGTGGCAGGACACTGTCCACTGGAGAGAACAGTACGGCCAAAGCTCGCACGATTACGGAATGCGATCGAGCTGATAATGCCGTATAAACGCGTGTGGCGGCTCCAAATAGCGGCGAGCAGATCTCTTCAATGGGGAGTGCCGATGCAAAGCTTTTGAGGCGCTACTGCCCTGACCGAAAGTGAGCCTTCAACCCCTCAGGGGAGGCTTGCCCTTAGCCTGATAAGCGCAACAAATACGAGAGACTAGCCAGCGAGACAAAGTCTGCTTGCTCGCTGGCAGACCAGCCTTCCCGCCACCGTAACAACAGAACAGCTGGGTACCCGCACGCGGATTCCCTGCGTTAGTTTGATATAGACTTTGAGCGTCTTACGGACATCCAACGGGTGAGTGCTCGTGGGAGTGGTCCCCGATGTGGAAGGCTGGGTAAGAGTAGGAAGTTCGATAGGAGCTGTCACATGGAAGCGTGATCGACCTTCGGTCGGTAAGTATCTGGGAGGCGAATACTGACACGATCCGCGTGAAACACAGTCAGCGCCGGTCGGACGACATAGCATGTAAATCGCCGACCCTACGACCAGATGTTACCGCCACCAGAAAAACAGCTTTCCAGGTCAACAACTGAATGGAAATAGCCGATAGGGTGTGAGAAAGTAGGGACCGGACAGCCAATCGAAAGCACGATCGACAAATCCCAAGGTGGACTGGTTCGCCTGAGAGCAGGTCGAATCCGTTCAGCCCAGCGAAAAGCGCTTGTATGCGAGAGGTGCTGCCCCAGAAGAGCACCATCGACAGGGGTGTGAAAAGTGGAAATAGCGGTGGAGTAGCCAGCGAATGGTCGAAGCCGCCAGGCCTTCTTCCAAACGAAGCTTGCAAAACTCCAATACTGGACTAAATCCGCAGAAAAGGATCTGCAATCCCTTATCTGAACACCAGCGCATAGCGGGACCACCTATCCTCGTACTGAACGTTTGTCGAATCCGCCGAAGCCAGAATTGTGTCTGCAATTGCTGCAGGAATTCGCGTGCCTCGAGGTTAGACCTGACAGAGGCCGCCACCCACTGAATCCGTGGATTTGGGTGGGCGCTCCGTTCTGGAGTGAGAATGTCCGGTCGCAAAGGTAATAGAACAGGAGGCTGAGCCAGAAACCTGAGAATTACCGAAACCAGCTCTGTGGACGGCCAAAGCGGTGCCAGTAGCACAAGTAGCCGAGCTGGCTGGGTGGACAGCTGTGAAAGGACACGGGAATGAGTGGTAACGGCGGGAACGCCCAGAGCACTTTGCCCGTCCAATCCAGCAGGAAGGCGTCGGCAGCCAACGCCCTGGGTCGGTATCCGAGAGAAGAACATCGGAGGTGTCTGATGCGTCCCGCCGGACGCAAACAGATCCACCTGGAGCGACCCGTACATTGCCGGGAGATTACTGTGAATATCTGCCTGTCGAGCATCCACTCGTCGCGGGGCCAGGATCCGGCGAGAGAGCGCATCTGCTCGCATACGTTCTCCAGCCCCGGAGATAAACAGGAGTACCTGACAATCGCACTGGTCGCACCAGAGAGAAAGTCCCACGCTTCCCGGAGGAGCTGGGGACACCGTGCCTCCCTGCTTCAGGATGTGCGACATGGCCGTCTGGTTGTCTAACTGAAGACGGACTACCTGGCCACCGGACATGCTCTCTGAAGCGCCGAATACCAACCGCACAGCTCTCAGTTCCAACACGTTGATGTGAAGGTGGGCTTGCTTCGGACCAGAGTCCGAAGCCGACAGACTGCCCAGAACACCCCAGCCCGTGAGGGACGCATCGGTCTGAACTGTGAGAGCTGGCGTCCGGGATTTCAAGGAACCCCTGGTGAGATTCCCGACATTTGTCCACCACTGAAGGTGAGGTGTCAACCACTCGGGACTGTGAGACTGCGCTCCAGATCCTCCGTGTGAGTCCACAGCCGAGCCAAAGCTTGCTGTATGGGACGCGATCCTCAACATGCCACACTACAGAGATCGTCGCCGCCATATGGCCCAGTAGACGGAGCCTCCGTGCTTGGTGCCTGGGGCTGGGAGAGGAATGAAGATACCATCTCCCGAACTCTGGTGACCCGGTCGGGCGACAGCGAAACGAGATCCTTGTTCGTTTGAATCGCTCCAAGAAAACCAAGTCCTGGGTGGGTACCAGGTCGGATTTCTTGAGGTTGATGATCCACCCTGAGTCGAAGTTAGAATGTCTATCACTGTGTGAGTAGCATCTTGACTGCGCTGGCTGTGTTAGTGCTCCGAGCAACCAGTCGTCTAGGTAAGGGTAACAACGCCTTCCTTGCGGCGAGCTAGGGTAGCTGGGACTAACATGAGCTTGGTGAACACCCTTGGGGCAGTCGATATGCCGAAGGGGAGCACCCTGAATTGGTAATACATCCCGTCGTAAAAGAGAACCGAAGGTACTGCTTGAACGATGGATGTATGGGTACATGTAGATACGATCCTTTAGGTCGATTGACGTGAGCCAATCGCCGGGCTGAACAGATGAGATCACCCGAAGCGCAGTGTCTCCATCTTGAAGGATGGTACTTGAAAGCATGCGATTCAACCCCTTGAGGTTGAGAATCGGACGGAACCCGCCGTCTTTCTTCGGACGAAAATACGTGGAATAAAATCCCGCCTGTTCCTCTCCGGTGGAATGCTTCGCTGCGGACTTGTCCAGCAGAGCCTGAACTTCGTCCGCGAATATGTCCGCCCTGGCTTGACATGACGGCACCGAGTGCGGCGATGCCGGTGAAGTCGGGCGGACCTCGCCCATAGTGGAGATGGCCTATGCTGACCGTGGCCAGCACCTGCTGTTGTTGGTAGCCTTCTCCCATTCCGGCAGGAATAGAGAGAGGCGCCTCCCACTGGGATATGGGGTAGGAGCGCGTGTAGACCCGGTAGCGGAGCTGACTGGGCGCGACACACGGCTTCGAGCGCAGCCTGATGGGTTAACGGAGGTCGGGGCAGACCTCCCGCCGCCGCTGGTGCTGGGAGCTAGTCGAGGACTGCTCCTTGCCCCTACCCTTTGGCGGACCCTGTTCCTCCGCCTACCCTACCAAGCGGCCGGCCAGCCGGCAGACTCGGTGTAGGCTGCACCCGGCGGAGGAAGGTGGCACGGAGCGCTGGGGCGAGACACCACCGGGTGCTCCAACAAGGCCTTAGAGTCCTTGAAGGAGGTAGCTGCAGCGGCAGCCTCCATATGACCTGCTGGGCCCTGGAAAGAGGGTCGCCCCAGACGGAAAGGAGGGCCAGCAAGGTCTGCTGTGTTGCTGCCGAGTACCTGGACGTCGACAGCCACAGCCTGGCGATCCCCATGACTGCGCGACATCACCGCCGGCGAGCAGCAGACCGCCAAGACAAGCCGCGAGGTGAGCCTGAACTTCCGAAGCTGACGAGCAGCCGCGACATGCGGCGACACGTCGAGCATGCCCTCCGCCTCAGGGCCGACCTCTGAACCGAGGAGAGGTAGGCCTCATGGACCACCACCGCACCTGCTGCATCGCATTCGGTGAACCTCCTCCGTAGGTCGGTATGCGTGCGTGCCGAGGGCGCTTATGAGGGCAAAAGGTGGAGTAGGCGCCCTTGCCGGCAGCCGGAGCTGCTCGGGAGGAAGCCGAGCCTCCCCAGGGCGCGGAAGTGAACACACATTCGTCTACAATTGGCACAACGAACAGGGAATCCTCCCCAAGCTGGTAGCGCCGCACGAGATCCGGTAAGTCAAACCGTACTCGGGCACCAGACAAGAGGGGATCGACCACGTCCGAGACCAACGAAGGCAGAATGCGGAGCTGCGTCTGCGAGGGTTGCCTAGGGGCAAACGCCTCGCCTGGCAAGCGGAACTCAGTCGAGTCCACGCAACCAGCAGGCACCGCGGCTTGGGGTAGGCCCTCGGCAATTCTCTGCCGGACCTCCCGCAAGGCCGAAGCAAAACGGAAGCCTCCGTCATGCTCCTCAACCTCCCCAAGCTCCATTGACTCGGAGGACCCTAACCCCGACCCGGTGGGCTGCCTAACGCTAGGAAGCACAGAAAGGGAAGAGCAGACAGACTGCTCCACGTCGGCGCCAGCAGGCGTGCGTGGACCCCGGTCCCGAGACGCTGGAGGCAGGCCAGGCAGAACTGGTGCCTCCACTCTCATGGGGCGGGTGTGCGCAAGGACCGGAATACCAGGAATACTCAACGGTCCCTGCGCTAACTCCGAGAGGGGGACTGGGAGCACCTCCCTCTCCGGAGCAGCTGAGGCGTCCGGATCCAAAGCCAGAGGCAACGGATCTATAGACGCCTCAAGGCTGAGGGATCGAGCCGAGCCCGGCGATCCCACCCCCGGACTCTCCGCCCCCCGTCCGGAGTGGGTGAGGAACTCCTGCCGGAGACCTCCAACCGACTCCCGAATGAAGGACTTCGACGGAGGCCATATGCTGCTGAAACATAGATTCCATTACCGACATGTCAAAACCACTTTCGGAAGTGGCAGGAGAGGGGAAGGGCCTCGGATTTTTTTCCCTTTTGACGTTCGTTTTGTTTTAGACGGGGGAACCTGCGTCAGGTCCCCTCCGCCTCGCGCATCTCCGATGATAAAACAACGTGTCGGCAGCCGCCTCTTCTGGGCCGGGGAAAAGGCCAGACAAATAGGGCAGGAATCAGCGCCGTGTCCCGTCTTTTCCAGACAGGCAACACAGTTTGTATGACTGTCGGCCCGGGGATACTACCCCCACAGACCGAACAGGATGAAAAGGCCTGAAAACAAACACGCAAGCATGTTAGTTAACGGCGGCCAGCAGCATATAAACACGTAGAAAACATTGAAAAATACGTGAAGGTTACCAATGAAAGTAATAGTTGGTTTTAATACGCAATATTACGACCACATGGCACGCTAAACTTCCCGCCATGGCAGAGCAACACGCATGCGTAAACCACGGGAAAGTTCGGCTGTATTTTGTATTAATACAAAGTCACAATTATGAAACAACCAACTGTAAAGCTTTACTGTCCTTGTTTTAGGCAAATAAAGACCATACATACAGGTGGTGTCTCAGACATAGCGGTATTCAGCGCTGTGCGGCTCATGAATGGTTACATATAACGTCTGTTCACGGCAGTGACAGCAGAAGGAATGATGATACGGGTCTAGGAGCCTACCCAGTTGGTGCGCATGCGCTAAGGGAGGTAACTCCGTGAGGTAGGGTCCGTATAATAAATAAAAGAGTTTATTTATTGTTCAATCTTTTTATTCAAAAAACATTGATACAACTGTCACAGGACATTTTTCAGCCGGAAAATGCATAATATGTACCCCAAGGACGATCTCTCTGAAAAAGAAAGCTAGTGTACTCCGGTACAGTGGCACATGTAAAATCACTTGCCCTGATAAGTTTTTCCACTATACCGGCCGTTTTCTTGTTGATTTTTTAAATAAACATTATTAACATTGGAAAGTCAATTGGACACCGGTACAGCATGATATACAAATTTGCTTGACCGACAGAAAAAAACACTGGACTCGGACGTCGGGAAATGGGTTATTTCCACCTCTGGTACATGGTACATGTGGATAACATTAACATAAATAACTGCAAGGTAGTCAATGCATTTGATAGGTTACTTAAGCACTTTGTTTCAATAACTGCTACATTCCCTGTAACCTACAAAGTAAGACCACATCCACAAACAGACTACTTTTGTAGACTATATTGCATTATTGCATTGAAAGCTGTCATTGATTTTGCATAATCTAACATATTTTGTTTTAATGATTAAGATAGTGGTCTGTAAAGAAAGAGGAGAAGATGTTTATTCCGTATATTACATTTCATAACAAAAAAACATTAAATGCACAGAGCTGATGCCGGTTTGTTCCTTGCTGCAGTCTTCACTCACCTGTTTGGGCTTCAGCTGTGTGGTGTTGTCACCGTGTCCGAGACGGCCGTAGTCTCCCAGGCCCCAGGTGTACAGGTCACCGTTAGATATGATGGCCGCACTGTGGGAACTACCACAGGATATGTCCCGGACTCTCTTGGACTTGAGAGCCTCGATCAGCTTGGGAGTATCACAGTTCCTGGTGTCAGACACAACATGTTACAATGTATAAGTCATCCAGATGACGAAGTGAGGTAAGGGGAGGTGGGTCAGGTGAGGTAAGGGGAGGTGGGTCAGGTGAGGTAATGGGAGGTGGGTCAGGTGAGGTAAGGTGAGGTGGGGTAAGTGAGGTAAGGGGAGGTAGGTCAGGTGAGGTAAGTGGAGGTGGGTCAGGTGAGGTAAGGGGAGGTGGGTCAGGTGAGGTGGGGAGGTGGGTCAGGTGAGGTAAGGAGGTGGGTCAGGTGAGGTAAGGGAGGTGGGTCAGGTGAGGGAAGGGGAGGTGGGTCAGGTGAGGTAAGGGGAGGTGGGTCAGGTGAGGTAAGGGGAGGTGGGTCAGGTGAGGTAAGGGGAGGTGGGTCAGGTGAGGGAAGGGGGAGGTGGCTCAGCCGGGTCAGGTGAGGTAAGGGGAGGTGGGTCAGGTGAGGTAAGGGGAGGTGGGTCAGGTGAGGTATAAGGGGAGATGGGGTAGGTGAGGTAAGGGAAGGTGGGGTAGGTGAAGTGGAGCAGGTGAGGTTAGGAGAGGTGGGGTAGGTGAGGTAAGGGAAGGTGGGGCAGGTGAAATGGAGCAGGTGAGGTGGGGTAGGTGTGATGACGTGGATAGGTTAAGTGAGGTAGAGCAGGTGAGGTAGGTAAGTGAGGTGAGATGAGGTGGGGAAGATGTGGTAAGGTGAGGTGAGTTGGGATAAGTGAGGTGAGGTGAGGTGAGGTGAGATGAGGTGAGGTGAGGATACACGCTATTGCATAGTTTATTCCAGGCTGATAAACAAAAGAACTCCTGGTACATACCTTTTTTAAATTTAAAAAATGTTCATAGTTCAAGACAGCAATATTCATATGACACAACATAGAGGTAGGGCCTGTGCATGTAAACTGTAAACATCATGGTCATAGAAAGCAGTTACAGTTACAGAGTGAGGGGCTCTTATTATGTTGATGATGGTACAGATAACGCTGTGGTCCACCTACATCCTGCTGGAATGTCCCAGTTTGCCATCATCCCCCTCCCCCCAGGAGAACACCTTGCCATCCACTGTCAGGGCCATGGCGTGACGCCCACCTGGAACACACAATAAGAGGATACTCTCACTTTCACACGGACATATGTGACAATACAAGCCCTGTCTATTCACTGAAACTGATGAAGCTTGGGGTTTACACTGAGCATCAGTTACACTTGCCTCTCCATTTCCATCAGTTTTATCACAATTATTTCTTTCTTTACAACCAAGTGTGAATACTTTTTTGATCCCCATGTTAAATATAGGTGTAAAACAGCCACAATACCTGAGTGAACAGCCACCTTCTTGATGTGATACTGACTGAGAGAAGTGAGCATTCTGGGTACCGACACATTGCCTGCGTTCATACCAAGGCCGAGACGTCCATTGGTGGCTTCCCCACAGGCATACACCTTCCCGTCCTGAGTCACTGTAGAAACATGGAATATCAGCACCAAGCAACAGAGAAGTTTGTTTGTTTATGGCTACTTAATGATGGCCTGTCTGTTTAACACAATCCAGCAATTGGTGTTCTGAGCAACAGGAGACCCACCAGAGATCTACAGGAGACCCACATAGATCTACAGGAGACCCACATATATTTACAGGACATCCACCAGAGATCTACAGGAGATCCACCAGAGATCTACAGGAGACCCACCAGAGATCTACAGGAGACCCACCAGAGATCTACAGGAGACCTACCAGAGATCTACAGGTGATCCACCAGAGATGTACAGGAGACCCACCAGAGATCCACAAGAGATCTACAGGAGACCCACCAGAGATCCACAGGAGACCCACATAGATTTACAGGAGACCCACCAGAGATCTACAGGAGAACCACCAGAGATCTACAGGAGACCCACCAGATATCTGCAGGACACCCACATAGATTTACAGGAGACCCAAAAGAGATCTACAGAAGACCCACCAGAGACCTACAGGAGACCCACCAGAGAGTTACATTAGGCCTACTGGAGATGTGGTGCATCAACTTTACATGTCTAGTGCTAACAAGGGAGCAGCTTCAACTCACCACAGAACAGGCTCTTGGAGCCCCCTGCGATCTGGACACACTTCACTCCTGACAGACTCTCATTCAGGACAGGCATCTTGATCTGAAATCATCAGCTCATCTTAATTCACATTGTAAACCAAAAGTCACTGTGTTCTTTAATCTGATTGGTTGAAAATCATGATCATATGGTATTCGATTCCCAGGAAATTCACTGCGTATTATTACATACAAACATCGCTCACACCATTGAATTGTTACGTCTTCAGTGTGATGACGTCATTCAAATCATATTGTGATGTAAAGTCCGAATGACGTCTAAATTGAGCAGTTCCAGATGCTACCATGGGAGACAGATGAAACGGCTGGCTGATGACATTTCACTGCTGTACCCGTACTCGATGTCAATGAGTGTAGACACAAAAACGTGTGTGGACCTTTGGGTTTACTTTTGTGTTTACAATGTCGATAAACATCATGTGTTGGCCAATTTCTGTGTGTTATTGAGTATTTGAAGCACAGTAATATTTCATTTGACGCCGTCGGTTCCAAATGAATTCCCATGCTTCAAATACTCACTAACACCCGGAAATTGGCAAAACATGATGTTTATCTCCTAATTCAAACTGAAATTAAAGTGAACTTTTTTCAATATTAACTTGTCACTTAATGCAGTGATTGAAAGATAACTATGTAAAATCTATAATTATTTCTAAACATCAGACTCAGTTTCTAAACTGTTATCCTTCAATAGCCCAGTGGACACTCAAATTGGTGTGTACCTTTGATCCTTTGGGTCCCCCAAGTTGGTCCTTGTCATTCAGCCCCCAGACAAACACGTGAGTCTGGATGTCCTTGTTGCCGAATGCCCTCAGCTTCTTCCTGCCAGGCTGTGTAGCTGGCCGCTCATCATCATCCTCCTTGTCTGAGGCCAGGAACGAGAAGCTGGCAGCAGAGTCCTCCTCCTCTGACCGGTGACGTCCCACGATCTGGAGGCCGTGGACCTTGCAGTCAATCCCGCTGCTACGACACTGGCGGATGTCTATCTCAATTAGGCGGTAGTACTGAAAGTACATGGTCAAGTTCAAGCACCATGGACATATATCTTCAACAATCATCTTAGGACACAATCTTTGGCAGGTATTTTTAAGAATAGATTAATAACAGCGGCATTCACTACACTGAAAATGGCCCTGGACTCTGGCAGATGATGCAGATTGAAGTAAGTCTTCAGGAAGTCAACATTTTCAGAAGAGTTCACTCTACACGGCCATAACACGGAAGTATACACCAATATGAACATTCCATCTCAGAACCAGGGATAAGTGTAATATTGAGACCTGCAGATTCAGAAAGATGTATAATATGTTCACAAATACTAGTGCTATGCCTGTTCATGAAAAATAGAGTACGGCTTAACAGCTCACATCATCTCCTGCAGCACTATGACCAATGAGTCAAATGTGTCTAGGGGGAGATGTGTCAGTTTGAAAGTGTGTTTGCGGGAAAGATGGGTCAGTCAGGGAGATGTGTCAGTTTGAAGGTGTGTTTGAGGGAAAGATGGGTCAGTCAGGGAGATGTGTCAGTTTGAAGGTGTGTTTGAGGGAAAGATGGGTCAGTCAGGGAGATGTGTCAGTTTGAAGGTGTGTTTGAGGGAAAGATGGGTCAGTCAGGGAGATGTGTCAGTTTGAAGGTCTGTTTGAGGGAAAGATGGGTCAGTCAGGGAGATGTGTTAGCTGGGATGATGTTTGTGTGTGGGGACATGTGGCCTGTACTCACCTCTGTCATCTCCTGCAGCAGAGTGACCAGTGTGTCCGTGGGTGAGATGTGGACAGTGCGCAGCTCCTTCATGTTGTGGATGGACTCCCCACCGAGGATGTCCACCGTAGAGGGCATGTAGCTGGAGTCACTGGGGTCCACACGCATGTACAGCCGGTTGATGAGGATGTCGGGCTGCATCTCCAGGCGGATCCAGTGCTGAGGGAAGGGAAATTATAGGGAAATTACATGGAGATTGTTAAAGCTGTCATTTTTGTCTGTTAGTTTGTTGCTTAATGCTTCAAGTAGCAATATTCAACTTGTATGACATCAGCCATGATTCACACACCCTATTATCAGACGAAAATAATCAGGTCTATTCTTGGATATGAAGACGAAATTAAAAGATAGTGGTGAGGCACCCAACCACTATGACACTGGATTATATTCCATAATGCTATGTTTTGTTTGTTGTTTTTTTGTTTAACAATACACTCATCAACATTCCTGCTGGCGGTGGTCTGTAAATAATCAGGTCTTCACCAGACAATCCAGTGATCAACAGCGTGAGCATGAGCACTGGATATGATGACATGTCAACCAAGTCAGAGAGCCTGACCACCTGATAATGTTAGTTGCCTCTTACTACAAGCATGGGTTGCTGAAGACCAATTCTAACACGGTTCTTCACGGGTCTTTCACAATGCATGCTGATGGGAAAAGTATGCCAAGATGTTTTACACTTTATCTTACTGCCCCTATAGATGAGCTACCTTTCCTTGAGATCCGGAACTCTGCCAGTATCCGCTGTTTCCGTCGATGAGTTTGGAGCCCTGGTTGTCACGGGAGGACACATGGATGGACTTGCAGCACATGTGCCAGTTGTCCACTAGAGAGCCACTGGCCACTCTGGGTGTTGGGCGATGGTGCTTCCCTGGCTTCCCTACATACACCGGCTCACCACCTGGGGGATACAACGACAACACCATGACAACAACATCAACTACTCACACTCAACCTGAGACAGTGAATGTTGCATTACTCTAGCCAGCTGTATTCAAGCTAACTCATGACAGCTTGATAGTAATCTGGAAGTCTGGACGGAAACATTAATTACAATCCACACAATCAGGTCATGACACACAATCCACACAATCAGGTCTTCACACAATCCACACTATCAGGTCATGACACACAATCTACACTATCAAGTCACAACACACAATCAACACTATCAGGCCATGACACACAATCTACACTATCAGGTCATGACACAATCCACACTATCAGGTCATGACACACTATCAGGTCATGACACACAATCCACACTATCAGGCCATGACACACAATCCACACTATCAGATCATGACACACAATCAGGTCATGGTGACACACAATCCACACTATCAGGTCATAACACACAATCCACACTATCAGGCCATGACACACAATCCACACTATCAGGCCATAACACACAATCCACACTATCAGGCCATGACACACAATCCACACTATCAGATCATGACACACAATCAGGTCATGGTGACACACAATCCACACTATCAGGTCATGACACACAATCTACACTATCAGGTCATGACACACAATCCACAATATCAGTTCACAACACACAATCAGGTCATGACACACTATCCACACAATCAGGTCATGACACACAATCCACACTATCAGGTCATGACACACAATCCACGCTATCAGGTCATGATACACAATCCACACTATTAGGTCATGACACACAATCTACACTATCAGGCCATGACACACAATCCACACTATCAGGCCATGACACACAATCCACACTATCAGGCCATGACACACAATCCACACTATCAGATCATGACACAAAATCAGGTCATGGTGACACACAATCCACACTATCAGGTCATGACACACAATCTACACTATCAGGTCATGACACACAATCCACAATATCAGTTCACAACACACAATCAGGTCATGACACACCATCCACACTATCAGGTCATGACACACAATCCACACTATCAGGTCATGACACACCATCCACACTATCAGGTCATGACACACAATCCACACTATCAGGTCATGACACACAATCCACACTAACAGGTCATGACACACAATCCACACTATCAGGTCATGACACACAATCTACACTATCAGGTCATGACACACTATCAGGTCATGACACACAAACCACGCTATCAGGTCATGACACACAATCCACACTATCAGGTCATGACATACTATCAGGCCATGACACACAATCCACACTATCAGGTCATGACACACTATCAGGTCATGACACACAATCCACGCTATCAGGTCATGACACACAATCCACACTATCAGGTCATGACATACTATCAGGCCATGACACAGAATCCACACTATCAGGCCATGACACACATTCAGGTCATGGTGACACACAATCAGGCCATGACACACAATCTACACTATCAGGTCATGACACACAATCCACAATATCAGGTCACAACACACAATCCACACAATCAGGTCATGACACAATCCACACTATGAGGTCACAATGAGTCAAGACTAAACATTGAATTTGACATCCAATTTACAGGCATACTTTCCCGCTCTGCACTATCAAAAACCTCTGGTTCAATAGCCGGATGAAAAACCGACAAAAACATCTTGATTTACAATCACAGACACAAGCCTCACCTGGCTCAGTGATCCTGTTGAAGGGGTGTTTGTGGGTCTTGTTGTTCTTGAAGCAGTTTTCACAGAAGTCAAAATCATCACAGATCTTACATTTAAACCTCGGCCCTGTCAGTGGAGACACTTGGCACCCATTACATCTGAAACAACAATAGTAATCCTACAGAAACAGGTCTCAGTGAGCACAGTTTACCTCATCATACCTCAATCCAGGATCGTGGCCTGGGTGGATGAACTAACTACACTGCTGGAACTTACAAGGATATTGCCATCCCCATCATAATGGTTAGGAAAACATATCTATTCTGAAACATAGTTGGAATTATTTTAACTTGAATTTGGCAAATCATAGTTCATAATTGTGAATATGTCCTGATATTTGATGGAGGCATTGGGCCAAGAGAAGCTTCCAAGCAGGTCTACATAAATTGGCAGAACTAGCAATGATAACAAGAATGATGATAAACTTGACTGACGAGATTCTGGGATGTGTGCTGGGCACGAGCTCCATCTCCTCGATGACCCCAGTCCAGTGGGCCTGCTGTGGGAAGTCCACTGTGATGTCGCGGCCGTTAGGGTTGATAGCTGGACAAGAACAAGTATTTCTATGACATTTTGAAGGTATACATATATATATATACAGCGGGAATTTTATAGATGTTAACTTCCTATAAGCAATTTAAACCCCTTGAGAGTACAGAGCACATCCTTACTCCCTTAGAACCTATAAAAATTAGACCACAAATCATACAATCTAGACCAATTTGGATCACGCAATAAAGATCTTTTTCAAACTGTGTACACTGGTCCTTGAACAGATTCTGTTATTTTTCTCCTACTTTTACATCCATATAACTTACAGCGTAATGAATCCTATCTACTGAGATACAATACTTTACATCGCTACAGACATACTGTAACACGTGGCTTGTGTACCTGTTACAGTCCCCACACTGCCGTGAGTGACAGATCCCCACTTGTACGTTGGTGTCGACACGGACGGCTTCACTCGTACCTTGTCACCAACCTTGATATTCTGGCTGCCAACTGAAATCAAACATCAAACCTATTACTTATTTGCCTCCAAAAATAGGTGCTTCCAAAACAAACAGAATATAAAAAGGTTCAACAACTTATTTTAAAGAAATCGATAAATAATTCAGAAATGATTCACAAATTTTTGCAAAAAGGGAAATAGCTACAGCTGAAAATGAACATGTTGCAAACATAACAAAGAGAAACGAGGTGCGGGATGAAAGGATGAAAGGGAAATGAATAAAATCAGAGCCTGTTATAGAAGAGGTCCAGGTCAAGGTCACATAAAGCCAAGGTCGGGTCAGGTCAGGGTTCAGGTTGTGTCACGGTCAGGTCAAGTCAGGGTCCAGCTCCAGGTCATGTTCAAGTCGGAGCAATCAGCTACAGAACTGATCCCAATTCTGATCCATGTCAGTGTATTGTCTAGGTCAGGGCCTCATTCCACAAAGCTACGACTGTCATAAGTCTATGTTAAAGTATGGGAGTTACGATCATCTTAGAGCTATGACTGTCATAAGTCTATGTTAAAGTATGGGAGTTATGATCATCTTAGCGCTACGACTGTCGTAAGTCTATGTTAAAGTATGGGTGTTACGATCATCTTAGAGCTATGACTGTCATAAGTCTATGTTAAAGTATGGGAGTTACGATCATCTTAGAGCTATGACTGTCTTAAGTCTATGTTAAAGTATGGGAGTTATGATCATCTTAGCGCTACGACTGTCGTTTAAGTCTATGTTAAAGTATGGGAGTTACGATCATCTTAGAGCTATGACTGTCATAAGTCTATGTTAAAGTATGGGAGTTACGATCATCTTAGAGCTATGACTGTCTTAAGTCTATGTTAAAGTATGGGAGTTATGATCATCTTAGCGCTACGACTGTCGTAAGTCTATGTTAAAGTATGGGTGTTACGATCATCTTAGGGTTATGATCACTTTGAGGAACTGCCCTGGTCAGTTCCTGGTCTGGTGCAGATGCTGTTCATGCCAGTACAATATGATATAGGGTAGGTCAAGGTCATGGGCTGATCCAAATCAGGCAAAGGTCGGTTCAGATACAATCCAAGCTGAGTTCAAGCGATACCGTCATTATTACACAGAGCAATCTGAGTCCTGCAACTGAACTTTCTGAAAATTCTCAACTTCATTTATAAGTAGAAAGCTGCACTTGAAGACACCACTTTAATAAGTTTAACCCCCTTGCCGAAAATTTCTGACATCTGTTTTCTCAGTCAAATGATTCTATTTCTTATCAGTATCACCTGACCCAACCGTATCCCATATACATCCAAATTCCGATTAAATACCATGGACTTTAGTCCCAGGGCTGAGAGTGATGTGTGGGTGGGGAGAGGCAGGAGGCATGGAAAGAGGCATGAAAGGAGGCGTGGAAGGAGGCATGAAAGGAGGCGTGGAAGCAGGCATGAAAGGAGGCATGGAAGGAGGCATGAAAGGAGGCGTGGCAGCAATGAGTAATGCAATGACCCCATGTGTGGGAGGGAGGAGCCACCTCGCCTGGCAGCCATGGTTGAGTGCTGGTGCAGCAACAGAAGATTGTCTCTACTTACACTCTGTGCGGTTACCTGACGATATGTTAGTGAAGCCAAGTAGCTCCACGTGGATGTAGCGCACCCAGTACGTCCCGTTCTTCCGCTGCCAGTCCGCCTGGATGTTCAGGTCATGGAGGCCATCGCGGTCCAGCTGAACAACAAGAAGGTTTTTTGAAAGGATAAAGTGTCAATACATGGTGTTTAAAGTTTTACAATGATTCTCAGACCAAAGGTATTGGTTACAGATGAAGTTTAACCTTGTAAAATCCTGAATGGATAACAAGAAAGTTTTTATTAAAGAGACTGATTATCTGATAGTTAGGGAAGTATAACAGATACACTATTAGAGAGACTACTTCAAAAATAGTCAGACTGTGATTTGAAAAGATGATATAAGAGAGACAATACAAGAGAGACAACTTTCACAGGCTTTTCACACTGGGTTACTGACTATTAGGTTGAATGAAGCCAATTTGTAATGAAGTAATGACACCAGTTTGTGTCGAGGCTACGAATCTTGTTGTATCTTGTTACATCTTGTTCTAGATGAAAGTAAACAGGGACCAGTTACTCACTTTGATGACTTTGCCGATATCGCCTTCATGAACTTCTTCCTATGTGCGACAACATCGGACCATCATGCCCACCTGGATGTGGTCGCGGACAAACATGGCATACTCGTCGTTGCTGAGGAAGTCTGTGCGTTTCTTGAAGGGCGTCGGAGGCCCGGAGGCACCACCTCGGTCGGAAGGTAGGAACTGGAAAATACATCAGCTTACATAAATGGTTGTTTCTTTGTTTGTTGTTTAAAGCTGCACTCAGACATATTCAAGCTATTTGGCAATAGTTTGTAAATAATCGAGTCTGGACTAGATAATCCTGTGATCAACAGCACGAGTGTCGATTTACATAAATATGATGGCATGTGTCAACCAAGTCAGCGAGCCAGACCACCCGATCCCGTTAGTCGTCTCTTACAACAAGCAGGGGTTGCTGAGGACCAATTCTTACCAGGATCTCCAGGGATAGCTTGTTTCTGTTTCACAGCTTCATTGAGAAGTATTCTGATATATCATGGAACCATGTTCCAGAGAAAGGCATGTGTCATTACAACAATGACCACCTTAACTCCTGCATAAAGTTTGCTACTGTTGAAATCCTACACAATATGCAAATATGTCCAGCTCACATCATATGTGTCGAAGTCATCAAAGTCCTCTGACATGGAGTCACTCTCGGAGTATCCATCGATGGAGGACAGACTGTCTGTGTCGGACTCTTCCTGTCCTGGAACCTCCTGATGTTCGATCAGCCAGCTCACCAGCGCCTCAGCACTCCGAGAATCAGCCGAACTGAGTGCTGAACAGCGAACAAACATTTTATACTCTTTATTAAGTTTAGTCTGAAAATTCATGAACACCTTCAATATGTCCTGATAAGCACAGGGGCTTGTAATACTAAAAACTAGCATCAAGGTTCACCTGTATAGTCCTAATACCAAGTCACCGACTACATGAGTCTTGATGCTAGTTTTTAGCATTACAAGAACCTGTGCTGATAATGAACCATATATACAAGGCCACATATTCAACAACTGCTTATTTGCTGAAAAATCCATTTGTTCAGGATTTCATACCTCCATTGCCCAGCACCTTGATGGCAAACTCCACGTTCTTCCTGGGGGAAGCCCATCTCTATGATCTGCTGCACCAAGGACGACGGTGGAGGCTGTGAGGGCTTCATCTTGCGTGGGCGTGGCACCCTGGGCACAGGGGCTGCAACCGGTGGGGTGTTATATGACGTGACGGACGATATCCCAGAAGCCATCATCTGGTCGTCATCAGAGCTGGTGTCTTCGTCAGAGTCACACGGCTGACCTGCCTCAGCAGTCAGATACTGACATGTGGCCAGGGCAGCAGCCTGGAGCAAGAAAACAGTCAGCGGCCATGTAACTAGAGAAAAATTTACATGCAAGGAATTATGAGAATAAATTATTGAATGCTTGAATTTCAACTTTAATTCAAGACAAATTATCCATAATCCCCTAGTGAAATATCTTCTACAGAATAGTCAGCCAGCCAACTTGCTGGACAAGTCAAGATGGCCATCTTGCTAGACTAGTCCAGAAGGCCATTATGCTTGACAAATCAGTATCAGTTATCTTGCTGGGCAAGTCAGTAATCCCAAATCCATACTGAGTACTGACCTCAATTTCTTCTCTGCTAAACATGGCCTTGAGTGGTGAGGGTTGAGTGGCCGCCATCAACAGCTGCTGCATCAGCGACGTCCCCTGCGACGTTTCCGTGTTCACATCCTCCTCGATAACGCCAAAGCCGTCATGGAGAAATTCACTTGCAACCGGTTGAGACAAGATCTGACGCAGGTTGTCTTGACGACTGAACAGGACCCGCGCTGCACGGAGCAGACTGAGTCTGATCTGCTGCTTCCGCAACTCCTTTGGGTTGATGGTGAATCCTCCTGACAAGGTGAAGGCCAAAAGTTAATTTTTTTTGTCCTCTCAATATGTGTTGACACAGACTCTACAGAACCTACCAATGGACGTTGTCCCAGACACACACTCTACATAACCTACCCACAGACATTATCCCAGACACAGGCTCTACAGAACCTACCAATGGCCATTGTGCCAGCCACAGACTCTACAGAACCTACCCACAGACGTTGTCCCAGCCACAGACTCTACAGAACCTACCCACAGACATTGTCCCAGACGCAGACTCTACAGAACCTACCAATGGCCATTGTGCCAGCCACAGACTCTACAGAACCTACCGACAGACATTGTCCCAGACACAGACTCTACAGAACCTACCCACAGACATTGTCCCAGACACAGACTCTACAGAACCTACCAATGGCCATTGTGCCAGCCACAGACTCTACAGAACCTACCCACAGACGTTGTCCCAGCCACAGACTCTACAGAACCTACCCACAGACATTGTCCCAGACGCAGACTCTACAGAACCTACCAATGGCCATTGTGCCAGCCACAGACTCTACAGAACCTACCGACAGACATTGTCCCAGACACAGACTCTACAGAACCTACCCACAGACATTGTCCCAGACACAGACTCTACAGAACCTACCGACAGACATTGTCCCAGACACAGACTCTACAGAACCTACCAATGGCCATTGTGCCAGCCACAGACTCTACAGAACCTACCCACAGACGTTGTCCCAGACGCAGACTCTACAGAACCTACCAATGGCCATTGTGCCAGCCACAGACTCTACAGAACCTACCGACAGACATTGTCCCTGACACAGACTCTACAGAACCTACCCACAGACATTGTCCCAGATACAGACTCTACAGAACCTACCCACAGACGTTGTCCCAGATACAGACTTTACAGAACCTACCCACAGACATTGTCCCTGACACAGACTCTACAGAACCTACCCACAGACATTGTCCCTGACACAGACTCTACAGAACCTACCCACAGACGTTGTCCCAGATACAGACTCTACAGAACCTACCCACAGACGTTGTCCCAGACACAGACTCTACAGAACCTACCCACAGACGTTTTCCCAGACACAGACTCTACAGAACCTACCCACAGACGTTGTCCCAGACACAGACTCTACACAACCTACCCACAGACGTTGTCCCTGACACAGACTCTACAGAACCTACCGACAGACGTTGTCCCAGACACAGACTCTACAGAACCTACCGACAGACGTTGTCCCTGACACAGACTGTACAGAACCTACCGACAGACATTGTCCCTGACACAGACTCTACAGAACCTACCCACAGATGTTGTCCCAGACACAGACTCTACACAACCTACCCACAGACGTTGTCCCTGACACAGACTCTACAGAACCTACCCACAGACGTTGTCCCAGACACAGACTCTACAGAACCTACCGACAGACGTTGTTCCTGACACAGACTCTACAGAACCTACCCACAGACAGGCTGTCCCAGACACAGACTCTACAGAACCTACCCACAGGCGTTGTCCCTGACACAGACTCTACAGAACCTACCCACAGGCGACGGTGTCCCAGACACAGACTCTACAGAACCCCACCCGACAGGCGTTGTCCCAGACACAGACTCTACAGAACCTACCGACAGGCGTTGTCCCTGACACAGACTCTACAGAACCTACCCACAGGCGTTGTCCCTGGCCACAGACTCTGCAGAACCTACCCACAGGCGTTGTCCCAGACACAGGACTCTACAGAACCTACAGACAGGCGTTGTCCCTGACACAGACTCTCTACAGAATCCTACCCACAGAGCTGTCCCAGACACAGACTCTACAGACGTTGTCCCTGACACAGACTCTACAGAACCTACCCACAGACGGTGTCCCAGACACAGACTCTACAGAACCTACCCACAGACGTTGTCCCAGACACAGACTCTACAGAACCTACCAGCAGGCGTTGTCCCTGACACAGACTCTACAGAACCTACCCACAGACGTTGTCCCAGACACAGACTCTACAGAACCTACCCACAGACGTTGTCCCAGACACAGACTCTACAGAACCAACTGACAGACGTTGTCCCAGACACAGACTCTACAGAACCAACTGACAGACGTTGTCCCTGACACAGACTCTACAGAACCTACCCACAGACGTTGTCCCAGACACAGACTCTACAGAACCAACTGACAGACGTTGTCCCAGACACAGACTCTACAGAACCTACCGACAGACATTGTCCCAGACACACACACTACAGAACCTACCGACAGATGTTGTCCCAGACACAGACTCTACACAACCTACCCACAGACGTTGTCCCAGACACAGACTCTACAGAACCTACCGACAGATGTTGTCCCAGACACAGACTCTACACAACCTACCCACAGACGGTGTCCCAGACACAGACTCTACAGAACCTACCGACAGACGTTGTCCCAGACACAGACTCTACAGAACCTACCGACAGATGTTGTCCCAGACACAGACTCTACAGAACCTACCGACAGATGCTGTCCCAGACACAGACTCTACAGAACCTACCGACAGACGTTGTCCCAGACACAGACTCTACAGAACCTACCGACAGACGTTGTCCCAGACACAGACTCTATGCTGCCAGTGCTGGTTGCCAGTGGAGCACGGGGGATTTCCTCCTTTCTCTCTGTACGGAAGCCAGCTCCAGCGAGACTGACCAGTTTAGCCCAGCTGGTCAGCAGACTTCCAGACAGAGGCAGCTTCTCAATACTGAACTCCACCAGGGGGAGCTGCAACATCACACAGTGGGAACATTCATGGGTGAGAGTGAGTGAGTAAGTGGGCGAGAGTGTGAAGTGATAATACAAGTAAGAACGGTCAGGGAGACAGTGACTGAGTGTGAGAATTAGAGGGAGTGAAATGTGTAAATGAGAGTGAGAATAGTGTGTGAGAGTGAGAAACAAGGTAGAAAGCATATGAGGTTGAATAAAAGGTGAGAATGAGAGGATGTCAATGACAGCAAGAGAGAGTGAGAGAGAATGTGAAAGGAAGTGTGTGAAAGAAAGAGTGTGGGAGTGACTGGGAGTTAGTGAGAGTGAAAGAGCGAAAGGTATTGAAAGTTTCAAGACAGAATACCAATATTAGACAACTATGTTGGTTAGTGAGTGAGGCTGTATTAGTGCTCCTTGGAAACATTTATTGACTTGTTTGAAAAATTTCATAGCAAAAGTGACTCAAGTGAGATTCTCTATATAGCAACTTAATGAAAACTGAATATCAATTAACTTCCCACTGATTAGATCTATATATCTCTTAGCAGCTCAGGAACTTACCGACGTGAGCTCCGTGAGACGGCAAACTTGTGCTGAGCCATCATGAAACTGGACATGTATTTTCCCCTTGGGTGTGATCTTGGATATTGTGCCGACTCCGTAAGCTTCATGGAGGACGAGTCCCCCAAGCCGAGGTCGGTTGTCCACCCCTCCTATCATGGCCAGAACAGCCATCACAACGGCGATTGTCTCCTGGTCCTGGCCCTGTCTGCTGTCGTCAGTCGGGGGCTGAAAAGAACAGGAAGATGGGTTACACCGAGACGTCAACTCCAGCTGCATCCTGGCATAGTCACCAGGGTAATCAGTTTCACTATTTGGCTTGATATTGCCACCTAGATATAAGCCAAATATATGGTCAAAGATCCACTCAAATTCCGGTAACACTAATTACCTGTTCGTCAGAAAGAAAATGTAGTATTTTGAGTGCAAAGTAATACCTTTGCCCTGTTTTGACCATGAATTGGAAGGTTTCTTAGATTTAAGTAAATATATCAACACAAGTACTCGCATGGTGGGCGAGCTGGCTAAGGCGCCAGGCTAGTGATCCAGCGAGCTTGGAGGTGCCAGGATTGAGCCCACCTGTGACCGGGTGTAATAACCTTGGAGTCAACTTTGTGTGCAGACTCTTTCAGTGTTGTCACAACCCTGTGCACTTAAAAGAACCAACGGATCCGTTGGTATATGACCAGATTGTGGCCACATGAATACGTGCAAACACCTAGTTGCGGGTACAGCAACGTGTAGTAAAACTTGAACAAAGTACTGTGACTATGTGTCCCAGTCCACCCAGCTGTGAATGGGTACCTCGTAAGGATGGGAAAGCCACATTAACTTTGTGCACCTAGTGGCTGCATGAGTTGTATGCTCCCCAGGGAGTTGAGATTGAAAATATGATGTGACATTGAGATTGACATCCAGTGCTCGAGGGAATAAACAAAGTGCTTTGAGCATGCATGTAGATGGGATGGATTATAGCGCTATATAAATACCCAAATAAATGATAATACTGACAGCAAGATAGATAAGTGGGGTTGTATACTGGGTACCTGTGGAGATGGTCTGTCTAGTATGAGGTCGATGATACGGGGAAGTTGACATTCGATGAACTTGTTGATGTGGATGTTCCATGTGTCGAGAGAGTGCAGCTTCCTCAGCAGAGCCACGATCTCCTCCGTGATGGTGCTGGTGTAGGATGCTGTGATGGACACCGGCGCTCGGACCTGCTTCCGACACGGTCGAGGGCTCTCATCTGTGACAGGGAAAATATACCAGTTTAAATAGAGAGGACAGTGTTATTGGGGCCAGACATTTTTTCTATGTGGTGAGTCTCACAGGAATGGGTATTGTGCTGAAGACAAATCTGTGATTCAAATCCACAATTTTCAAATATACCAGTTTAAAGAGGGAGGAAAGTGGCACGGGGAACAGATATTTTCCTAGGTGAATATCACGAATATTGTCAGTGTATGAAATAAGGCCCATCCGACCGCCCGAGACGGTCTAGATTTCTGACGGATGGTCTAGCCAGCCTGATGGTCTGGTAATTTTTTTTTAGATATTCCACACATCTGAGTAAATTCACCATATTTGGTCTGGTTAAATCCATTTTGGGATGGAGCATTTTGAAGTTACCAGCCTTGATGTCTGGCTGGATTTTGGGCTTATTTCATACACTGGTATTGTGCTAAAGACGAAATTGGGATTCAAGTCCACACTTTTCATATTCTGGCACTACTAAGCAATGGACCTCTGCACACACATCAACAGAAAGTATCAGGAAGCTGTCATGTTGCTGGCTCTCATCTGTGAGTGAGAGAAGCTTCAGCAGCATTGTAAGGTCCAATAATGGATTCAAGCAGTATAATAGGGTCCACACTGACCTCAGTACCTTCAGTACCTACTTCCCTGCCTGGCGCTCGGCATTAATGTGTACAACAAGGACTGGTCGGCTAATGTGTCTGAGTGGGGTATTCATGCTTCACTGCGGCATGGTATCTCAGTATGCTAGCACTATAAAACCAGCTTCTGTCTGGGCTAGTACAAGCAGCCGCACATCCGACACATGCATGTCGTCATATGAGCGAAATATTCTCAAGCACGACATTATACCCAATTTCAGGTTACTTCACTTCTATCATGACAGCTTGGGCTCCAAACCAAGGTATACAGAATAAGGGGATGGGGGATGGGGGATTTATCAAACAATTTATGCAGCTCCAATCTACTTATTATTCATAAGACTACTGAACAGGAAATGTCCTGATATGGACAAAAGGGATGCAGAGAAAATTTACACAGAAGTCACATTAATGTATGTGAATGTAGTGCCACTGCTATCAAGTACATCACTATGGCAACAAGGGAGACAACTTACACTGTGAGATGAGAGTCGGGTCTGTTGCACAGGCTGTCAGTACAGAACCCAGCAGTTTGAAGAGGCGATGGATGATGTCATTGATGCGGGTGACGTCCATGCTGTGGTCCCAGGAAGGTAAAACAGTTCGGAGGAGCTTCAGAGTCAGGATCTGAAAAGAGTCAAATCGAAGTAAGTATTCACATACTTGGTGAAACAGTAAGTGTGTTACAGTCACATCATGTTGATAATGGAGGAAAGCCTGAGGTGAAGCAACTGTTAGATGCAGCTCTGTCTTTATCAGGGTTATCCCAGAACTGTTTGTAGATGTTCTATGACGTCATTGATCACCTGTACCTCGGACCTGTGAAGATCCGGGTCTTCAGCAACCCATGCTTGTCATAAGAGGTGACTAATGGGATTGGGTGGTCAGGCTTGCTGACTTGGTTGACACATGTCATTGTACCCCAATTGTGTAGATCGATGTCATCACATGATTGATCACATGATTGTCTGGTCCAGACTCGATTATATCCAGACCGCTGTCATATAGCTGGGATATTGCTGAGTGCAGCGTTAAACAACAACCCATTTAAACCAAACCAACCTGCACCTAGGAGGCATTCTCTCACATTGATAATCTATGGCGTTATATATTGCCTTTAAATACATCCTGTGATGTTATGCATCACCTGTAACGAGGAAGCATTCCCTCACCTGTCTGTAGACGTTCTTGACATGCTTCACTCCCTGCTCCTCCTCCAGAATCTTCATCAACAGAGAGATCCACCTGGGTGTGCTCAGAGCCTGGCTGATTACCTGCCCCGTCGCGATGCTACGCACAAAGCCCAGGCTGCACCAGTTGAAGTGCTGCTCGCTGGCAATCTGGATTGCTGTTGAGTTGACATCTGCATGACAGAGAGATGGAGCATTGAAAATATCCTAAATACACTTATAACCACAATTGACAGTCAATGAACAGTCTCTTGTATTAATCATCTTCCAACACTCCCTCGTGATACACAGTGACTCGAAGAACATGTTCTGCTGTATATAGACAAACAGGCTCCTTTTCTTAATGTGAAAGACAATGTGAAAGTCCTTGGCTTATATGAAAACATCGGAGTTAAAATAGCCAAGCTATAGAAATCATAGGTTTTAGGTTTTCCAAAGCTGATCAGCATACAAAGGATTTCAGTGTAATAGATTTATGAAATTTGAAATACAATCCATGACATGAATTAAAAATCTAAAGACAGAAATACTCAGAACAATTTTTTGTAACCAGATTACGACAGGCATACTTCAATAAGAATTTGGGGACTTGCATCGGGGGAATTTAAAAACTGATTGTCAGCAGTTAAAATACACTCCTTCACCCACAAAGCCTTATATTCTAATTGTTCTTGATATACTCAATAATCACAGTACTCACTGAGACCATAGTTACAGCCACAGTCGACGACGTTCCTCATCAGCCCACACAGTGATCCTATAGCCTCCTTCTGAGCACGGTCTGAGTGGATCCCAGAACTCACAGACAAGGAGCGCAGCAGCCATATTGTTGACCGACGCACCAAGGACGTCGGGTGTTTGCTCTCAGGTTTGCATTTCTCTGTAATAAGGGGAAAACATATGTCCTGTAGTCTGTGATTCTGTTTATCAAACTTAAACTAAACAGAGAAAAATGCTCACATCTACACAAAAGGAGTGAGTGGGTGAGTGAGTGAGTGAGTGAGTGAGTGAGTGAGTGAGTGAGTGAGTGAGTGAGTGAGTGAGTGAGTGAGTGAGTGAGTGAGTGAGTGAGTGAGTTAGCTTTGTCCACGTCAGTTCATTCTGAAGGAAAGTTCGAAAGTGGTCTTAGACTTTTACCACTTTTGCAAAATCCACCAGGCATGATGCCGACAAACCCAGAAGAGATCAGGGTGTAAAGGATGAATGTGTGAGAGACAGAGGTGTGAGAAAGGTGCAAGAGATGAGGATGGAGAGCTGAAGGTATCCGAAGGTCACTAACCTGACTCCAGTTCTTCTTCATCTTCTTCATCATTGTCAGGGAGTTCTGGAGGCTCGGCCAACTTGAGGTCATACTTGCCCTCCTTGCCCATCCTGTAGCTGTTGGTGCTCCCCGTGTCCCACTGCACCCTGATCCAGCCATCCTCCCCCAGCTCCCCGATCACACGACCCAGACCCGGCGGAGGACCATCCTACAGACAGCGATGCACAAGCATTTATTAGTTTGACCATGATTTCAGTGTAAGAAGCAGTAGCATTCATAGTCCAAAGCTTCACAGTCTGGTTTACAAGGATAAAACCTTTTTATCATCCAAAACTGTGTTCCACAGGAGATGTCGCTTGTGTGAGATGATATGATATGTCCAAGGAGATATATTTTGACAGTAGATTTTGTACAATATCCTAACAATGCTATGACATCATCAACTTGATGACATCACAATACTATGACATCACTGCACTGCAAGTCTAATGGTAGTACAGTGTTGAGAGATGTACATTTTTCATTGAAAACTCATGAAGAATGATTTTTGATGATAAAGAGAATCTCACCCTCAGTGGACACTTGGGTGAGATTCTCTATTTATTCCACAGGCAGTTGTCATACAAGTAGAGAAGTGTCAAGTCATAGTCAGAAATAACACAGCTATATGACTGCAGGAGGGGCAGATGCAGGAGTTTGGAGAAGGGGGGATGCACATAACTCGCGCACACCCGCACCCAACCCCTCTGGATCCGTCCCTATGCAGTAAATGAAAGTTCCACTGTTATTCCATGTTCTGTTAAGTAATGAGCAACATCAATGCTACATCACGGCTGCCAATGAATCTACTCACTACATCTGCTGATGTTTGCGGGCAATATAGATCCTGAATGTTCATAACTGACCTGATCACCCCATTTCCAGTCGACCCCTCTCATGACCCGAGTCCCGATCTTCATCATGGCGGCCAGCTCCGCTCCAGACAGTGGCATCTGCTGCGTCTGCTTCTTGACCTTCTGCTCCTCTGGCACGGTGCACACCACCATGTTGTTGTCCGGGATCAGCAGATCTGGGTCCGGACCTGCACAAAACATGAACACATCACTTGCAGGCAGTGCCTCTCCAACAAAGCTTACAATAATCATGATGAAGACACTTCATCGTTTTAATTTATCCGTATGAGAAGCAATACAAAATGATTGTTGAAAAACCAGCCAGTCTGAGTATGCTCTATGTGAGTCGCCTGCCAGAATTAGTATGCTCTGTTGACTTCACCTTCTTATCACAATATGCTCTGTGTGACTCACCCGCAAGAATGATCATGTTCTGGGGATTCACCTGCCAGAATGAATATATTCTGTTGAATTCACCTTCAAATCTCAATATTATCTGTGACTCGTCTGCCAGAATGAGTATGTTCTGGGGATTAAACTGCAAGCTGGAGTATGCTCTGTGACTCACCTGCAAGTCCAAGAATGCTCTGTGACTCACCTGCAAGTACTGGTATGCTCTGTGACTCACCTGCAAGTCCAAGAATGCTCTGTGACTCACCTGCAAGTCCAAGAATGCTCTGTGACTCACCTGCAAGTACTGGTATGCTCTGTGACTCACCTGCAAGTCTGAGAATGCTCTGTGACTCACCTGCAAGGCTGAGTATGTCCTATGGACTCACCCGCAAGCCTGAGTATGCTCTCTGTGACTCAACTGCAAGGCTGAATATGCCCTATGGACTCACCCGCAAGCCTGAGTATGCTTTCTGTGACTCACCTGCAAGCCTGAGTATGCTCTGTGACTCACCTGCAAGCCTGAGTATGCTCTGTGTCAGGGCCAGGACTCCACTGTTGAGCAGCAGACTGAGACTGCTGGACTGATGTTCCGCCATCAAGATGCCCAGTGTCGCCAGGATGAACCGCGCCACTGGCAGGGCTCCCAGACTCAGCCGCTCCTGTAGACACATACACTGCAGTCTAAGACCTGACACACTTCACATTCATCCCACTTATAAGGCACAAGGATACTGCACTGACAGAACTGTCACGGTGAGTGTAGATTTGCACCATGATATGATCCTTATAATAAAGAAGTTGACATCCATAAATGTTCACCAGTTATGTGAATCACTTCTACATGCCATTCAAAGACTTGCGAAGCAGTCATCATTATTTTAGATCTCAATTGCATATCCTGTTCTTTATTGTCTCATAAAATATGCCATAAATTTCATTCAGCTGTACAAACATTTTCTCCCATGATCAGCCAGATAAAGAGAAATCATATCTGACACTATTTTGCCTTTAAAATAAGCAGAGAAGTAATTTGTAACAGGGATCCCCACAAAGGAAAATCAAGTCAAAACGTCTGAAACCGAGAAGTGGATTCATGCAACAGCGCCAACTGGTTACTTGCATTGAAAGTTTACATCAGAAATATAAAAACAAAAAGAGAGCAGTGGGCCTGGGATAAGGGTACAGATCACATGATATTCAAGTTAACACAAACATGTTCCTTTCATTAAACTGTGGTACTCTGATTCATTGAAGGTATTGTGGCTGAAATGTTATTGCTGAAACTGAAAATTATCAACAACATGTAACCTAGTTTTAATAAAGCTGACTGCACATTTTCAGCCTACCTTGGTGTTGTCCTGGGCTGGTTGGGAAGGGTTGACTCCCTTTGCCTTGAAGATCATGTCAGCAGATATGACACAGGATCTAAGTTCCCGAATGGCCCAGCGGTAGAGTTCCGCAAACGTCATTTCCAGCAGGATCCGATCACACGGTGGGATGAGTTTGACGTTAGCCAGGCAGTGGGGAAGGGGGGTGTTGAACTTGCGCCCCACGGTGAGGAGTCCTTGCCAGCCACACAGGACAGCGTACTTGACGGAGGGCACCAGGTGGTCCTTGTGAACCAGACAGAGCATGTTCTGGATGCCCTTCAGCCGCAGCTCTGCCCTCGCAACCTACAAGTATACAGCCAATGGGAATATACTCCAGCAACACTTAACTTGTGTTATGTTTGGTGAGGTAAATATAAAATATATCATTAATCAAAGGTACAATATTTTGCATAGTATCAAAACAAACCAATTAATTTCGTTCATTATTTTACAATTATTAAAAACCAGAAATGGTTGCATATAATTCTCAACCTCATAACCAGTTCAGTAAATAAAACAAATAAAGTATGATCACTGTAAATCAATTTCTAATAAAACAACATCAAAACCAACCGATTGCCATTAATGTCTTTCATAATAAAGTCTTTGCTTTGATACAAATGTAATACAACATAGTATTCCACTGGTCTCTATGAACACTTAACATCAGGGGAGATAATCACATGTAGATTACACTTGAGAAAAATATGATGATCAATTTGTATGACTACAAATATTTCAGTCAATATTGAAGAGCTTGCTGTGACTGTTTATGTTTTTTAAAGAAAATCTTGAAAAATGTAATTTTTGGAGTAAAATTGATATTTTATACTTATCCTGACTCATGCTCTTTTTGCTTGTCTTCTTCTTCTTACGAACATAGTGGAACACTTGTATCTCCCTAATTGAAGCTCCCTTCAATTTAAAATCACTAATTAGTATTCACCACGAGTTACCTCCTTTCCACAAGCTGGGAGCAGCGAGGGCACCCTCTACCCATGTGCCTCACTCTCTCCTCATATACTGAGCCCAACATTTTGAATTTACAGGAAATCCAAAGTGTTATTTGGGGAGGATGGGAGGGCTGACCTCATGAGTCAGGATAAGTATAAAATATCAATTTTACTCCAAAAATTACATATTTTTCCTTATCCTGACTCATGCTCTTGCTTGTAGCATCCTCTGGAGCGGAGGTGGGCATATCTAATACTTTGGATTTTTAATAATTAGTGATTTGAACTGTGATGATTGTAATAACCCTATGGGAACTTCATAAAGGCACTGAACTGATGAATTCCTGCTGCTAACTTATCAGCTGCCATATAAAAGGTTATTACCATGTACTTATTATGATAAAGTATATATAACATTAATACAATGCTTAAGACTAATAGACTTAAGCTTGTTAATATGCTAGTATAAACTCCTTAGAGTTTGTTAGCTAAAATACTTTAAGATATAACATAGTACTAAGCTTAAGATATGATTAAACTTAAGCTAATTATATAATAGCAAACTCTTTAGAGTTTGTTAGTTAATATACTTATATGATATAGATATAATGCTGAGCTTAAGATATGAATAAGCTTTAGCTACATATATAATAGCAAAAACTCTGTAGAGTTTGTTAGCTAATATATTTTTATAATATGACTATGAGTATAGTACTGTGCTTAAGCTATAATTAACTTAAGCTACATATATAATAGCCAAACTCTGTAGAGTTTGTTAGCTAATATATTTTTATAATATGAGTATAGTACTGTGCTTAAGCTATAATTAACTTAAGCTACATATATAATAGCCAAACTCTGTAGAGTTTGTTAGCTAATATATATTTATAATATTAGTATAGTACTGAGCTTAAGATATAATTAACTTAAGCTACATATATATAGCAAAACTCTGTAGGGTTTGTTAGCTAATATATTTTTACAATATGAGTATAGTAGTGTGCTTAAGATATAATTAACTTAAGCTACATATATAATAGCAAAACTCCGTGAGAGTTTGTTAGCTAATATATTTTACAATATGAGTATAGTAGTGTGCTTAAGATATAATGAACTTAAGCTACATATATAATAGCAAAACTCATTAGAGTTTGTTAGCTAATATATTTTACAATATGAGTATAGTATTGTGCTTAAGATATTATTAACTTAAGCTACATATATAATAATAAAAACTCTGTAGAGTTTATTAGCTAATATGTTTATAGTGTAACCATAGTACTAAGCTTAAGATAAGATTAGACTTAAGCTAAATGTATATAGCAAAATAAACTCCTTAGAGTTTATTAACTAATATACTTTTTATGTTAAAAACATAGTACTGAGCTTAAGTTATGATGAAACTTAAGCTATATATATATAATAACAAAACTCCGTCGGGTTTTGTTAGCTATCTACTTATAATGTAAACATACTGCTTAAGATATGATGAAAACTTAAGCTAATTGTATAATAGCGAAAACAACCCTTTAGAGTTTGTTAGCTATGATATAAACCTAGTATTGAGCTTATGAAGGAAAACTTAAGCTACATATATAATAGCAAGAACTCCGTAGAGTTTGTTAGCTAATACATGTTATAATGTAACCATAAAGCTTAAAATATGATGAATCATATATAATAGCAAAACCCTCTTTTAGAGTTTTGATAGCTAATATACCTATATGATATAAACATAGTACTGAGCTTAAGATATGAATAAGCTTAAGTTACATATATAATAGCTAAAACTCTGTAGAGTTTGTTAGCTAATACATGTTATAATATAACCATATTGCTTAGAAATATGATGATACTTAAGCCAAATAGCAAAAACTCTTTAGAGTTTGTTAGCTAATCTACTTATATGATATAAACATAGTACTAAGCTTAAGATATGAATAAGCTTAAGCTACCTATATAATAGCAAAATTCCTTAGAGTTTGTTAGCCAATATATTTTAATAATATGAGTATAGTACTATGCTTAAGGTATAATTAGCTTAAGTTACCTATATAATAGTAAAACTCCGTAGAGTTTGTTAGCTTAATTAACTTAAGCTATGTATAAAATAGCCAAAAACTCTGTAGAGTTTGTTAGCTAATGCATTTATCATGTAACCATAGTATTACTCTTAAGATATGAATAACTTAAGGTAAATATATATAACAAACTCTGTAGAGTTGTTAACTTATATATTGTATGATGTAATAATCATAGTACTGTGATGATAAAAGGAACTTAAGTAAATTATATATAGCATGAAGCTATTTAGTATTGTTATAAGATAAGTAAAAATCTGTTAGATTGACTTATCTTCTCCGAGAACTGTCAGCTGTTGTCACGAGGACCATGGGATCAATTGTGTGTATACCTGAGGCGTCCTCGGTGGTGATATCTCTCAGATAATGGTTTGCAACCACCATATCAGTTCAGAATAAAACCTCCATTATTTCAATCACATTTGTGTAGAACAATTGTAGAAGTTAGCTATAATATCATGAGTATTAAGCTCATGGAGGGTCGGAATAGGTCCATCCGCATATGCATCGTGAGTATGACAGTTCTGATCCAAATGGAGATATAGTACATGAGACTTCACTCTCGTAAGTTGATGATAGAGGAAATAATCTGTTGCATTTTTTCCTCCTGTTTGGTTTGGTGGAGATAAATTTACAGTGCTCTTGCTGGCCATCTTGATAGAATCATCGTATCATGGGGTCCAAGTATGTCATCCAGGCGTGTTCATAAACCTCACTTGTGAGGTGTTGGAGCACTATATTCATATCCCCAGGTTGGGCGTGAAATTTCCGTTTTATTCTCCAAACAGAAGTTTAGTAGGTTTACTAACCATCTAGTTGTGTTAATTAAACTGATGAAATTCAGCTGTAGTCTGAAGCGCTGTGGATTTAGATCCACTTGTATCTTTCGTCTAGGTAATAATTCGCTCTGAAGTCCTTGGCGATGTAGGTGCACAACCAGGTGTGTCTGTCCTCGTTGAACTTTATGTAAAATCGCCTGACTGCCCGATCCTCGTCTTAACTTGACAGGGGAGGTCTCTAACTGAAGAAAGGCAGTCTAATCATGAATGTTCAGGTTAACTGGACTGTAATGAGGCTTGCTGGATTCACTGATATATAGTTGTCACTTGTGGCGTAAGTCTTGAACTGTGAATAGAGATCGACCTCTGTGTAGGTCGTTGTCCCTCAGCGGTCCAATCAGAACAAGGCATTTTGATTCTGTATAATACCCGCTGTGATGTCACCGGGTGTAGCGGAAAAAACCCACCTAGAATAAATTCTGAAATTACCGTTGATATTAGCATAAGCGTCGGTCTTCACCGTAGCTTCGAAGTTATCCGGTGACCACGTGTTTGAGGGTTAATGGTAACCGCTTGAAACCTCCGGCGTGAAATATCTGCGGCTCTGTAATTTTATGCTGGGTAGGTTATTTTCCTGGTTATCGTGAAAGTAATTTCAGTTTTGAATATAATTCCGACTTCCTTATATATAAGGGTATAAACAACTTGCAAGTTGTGAGCTTGTAGACTGTATACATGAATGTATCGTCATAATTGTAGAATTAACGTTGAACTTGTTGTACATATTTCTTCTCAGAACTTTGGCGATTAAGAGTTATACTACGCTGTAACAAGGCTGCTGTTCAATTTCGATATTGAATTGTCTGCAGATATGCGTAATGGTCGCATGTAGATAATCGTCGTCGTCCGGGATTGTATATTAGCAATTTATACGGAATAGTTGATTTCTGTGAAGATCTATGAAATGTCGTTGACTAATAATACAGCGGCGTTCTGTGTTGTAAATAGCCTGAGCAATTATCTTAGCGTAGGCTTATAGGCGGCATCTGGCATACAGTTGATAATCAACTTATGCGGCGTCTTGAACGGACTGGCAGTAGCTATATATGGCCAGTGGCTAGTATATGGAAACCTTGGAGGAGACTTCCTCGGTGAGCGCCCGAGACTTAGCGAAGTTCTCGAAGTATCCTTCTAGATCTTCTGGGTGAAGTAGACTTGGAGCCACTTAGCCTTAGCGACCATCGCCGAAGGTGTCGAGAATCAAAGCCGATTAGTATATATATATATATATAAAATATATATGAGCTTTGCTTAAGTGAACAGCCTCTGTGTTTAACAGGATGTGGGATCGTGACGCTTGCCTAAATAGGGCGCATGGATCATCTTATCATATTCAGAAGTGGTATTCTGAAGTCTGGTGATAAGTGTCTAATTGATCGTTCTAGATCTATTTAGGCCAGCGAACATACGTCTCGTCATGGATTCAACAGAACCAATATCGATTGTAGTTCTTATACTTGATATCGATGATCAACTTGTCTATGGGTTGATCTTCTCGGAGACTTGTGAGGGAGCGTTGATAGTTTGCTGAAGCTCTTGTATAGTCCCTCGATGTCCTTCTAGATGATGATGATCTGGATTCAGGTGTCCTTGGCATGCCTTGGCTTCCTCTCGCGTCGGTCGAGGAGCAGCGATATGACCTTCGCGAAGGCTTCCGTGATGTCTGATGGTCGAGTCCACATCTAGGGATGAAACGCGCATAAGGTGATGATCTATCCTGCCTTGAAAGTCCTTCAGCGAAGGCTGTATCTAGGTTCTTTCGCCCGCGAGGCTGTACATCTAGGTCGCCGTCAAGGTGGTCCGTGACTTCCTTCGCGCGAAGGTGACATCGTCCTGGCTGCTACGTTGACGGGGGTGCCTCTGGGGTGCTGTCTACGTTGGAGCCTTCAGGCGGCTTCGGACCCTGCTACGCGAGATATTGGTCCTCCATGATGTTCATAATTTGTCGCATCATGTCTTCTGGGATGGTCTGCGGCGAAGTGGTCGCCGGTGCTTTATCTGCGGTGTTAATGGAGGGGTCCACGGAAAATCGTCCGCCATCAGTGTAGAGGCATCAGGCTGCATGGTGATCTCTGCTGATGTCGTTGTAGCTGTCACCGGTCGTTTCTTGTGGCGTGCGTCGGGGATGATGATCAGCTGATCATCGTAGAGGTCCAGGTCATCGGCTGGAACAATCTCGGTTGAGAAAGTCCTAGTAGACTTAGTTGATTTTCCCTCAGAGGTCGGCGCTGCCCTGGGTGTCGCGGCGTCTGCGTTGAGTGTTAGTAATGATGGGACCCTCAGGGCGATCATCGCATATCTCGCGTTGGTACATCAGGCTGCATGCTGATCTGTGCGACATCGGTCAATCTTTGATGTACATCGGTATGATGACCCGGCTGATCATCATACAGGCCCAAAACCGATGGGGAGCGGTCACCGGTTGTTGAGATGTAGTAGAAAAACCCTCTAGTCTTCTGCTGCGGCGATGGGATGTCTGGGAAGCAGGATGCTTCTTGGAGATGGCGGACTCGTCCACACCTCTCCACCACTCTAGCGGAACACCACCGCGGGAGGAGTCGGCCAACAGCAGTAGACTGGCGAGGGGTTCGGTGTATCAGTCATACTAGACTCTGCATCTGCGACCTATCTGCTGTGCGTGCCAAGCATAAAGTAAATATTAATAAAAGGTAGAATTGGATAAATTAGTACCGCCCAACTGCAATGTGAATATAATAAACATGGCGCGTACATCATATTAAAGGCGGATCAGCAGCAGCATAAAAGCGTAATCTGCAATAGTACAGAATTTTCATCAACGTAATCCACTGAAACAAACCGCGGCGTCCGGTGACTAAACTGTAGAAAAGCGACTAAATATCAATATATAATCGTTGAAGGATACTAGCTAAACCTCTATAGATGTCTATACGAGGTAACTAACTAAATATAATTCAAAGGATATAGTGTGTCGGGAGACACAAGCTCTCACGTCCAGCTCACTGAAGAAGGAAGAAGTGAGAGGCACATGGGTAGAGGTGAAGCCCTCGTTCACGCGCTTGTGGAAAGGAGGTAACTCGTGGTGAATACTAATTAGTGATTTTAAATTGAAGGGAGCTTCAATTAGGGAGATACAAGTGTTCCACTATGTTCGCAAGAAGAAGAAGACAAGCAAAAAGAGCATGAGTCAGGATAAGGAAAAATTAAGCCATGCAACATGAAATAAACCATACAATGTCTCCTTGAAATAAATTACTGTAACATAACATTTCTATCAATTCTGTAACTATGCTGGTTCTTGACAAAGTTGTTACCTGGTAGTGCAGAGATCTCCGCAGCTTGTCAATGTCTATTGGGTGTTCGTACATGACAAACTCGATGATCTTGTTAACTAGGGGCATCTCCGGGTGGGCCCCGGTCAGACGCTGGCGCAGAGCCTTCAGCCTCTGGGTGCTGGTCACCGCACTGACGATGTGATCCCAGGGGTCGGGCTGTCATAGGGCAAGAGAGTGAGCATCTTGCAACAAGTGGCAGCAGCCATAAAATATGTAAGTGAGTACGAATGATTTTGGATAAATACTCGAATCTGTTCCTTGTGGATTCTGATGTCATATAAATCAGTAACCCAAAGTATTCTTTGAAAGTCTCACTGTTTTATGACAAGAACAATATAAACTTGTTTTTGTTTGTCTATTGTGTAACACCAAACTCAGCAATATTCCAGCAAAATGGCAGAGGTAAATAATCAAGTCTAGACCAGACAATCAAGTGATCAACATCATGAGCATTGATCCATCAATTGGGATACAATGACATGTGTCAACGAAGTCTGTGAGCCTGACCACCAATCCCATTAGTTGCCTCTTGTGACAAGCATGGATTGCTGAAGACACTAACTCTAACAATAATTCTAACTCAGACCTTCTTTGATAGAGGTTGGGTTTTACCATTTAATGAAATCAATGATTGCCAAAGACTACAGTATCCTATGTTATATTGTGTTATGTTGGTGTATAATAATGAAGATTTACTACATACACTCTGTGTGATGTAGAATTGGGATTCAGTAAGGTGGCGAGTAGCCACTGTGCCAGTGTTAAACCCAATAACAACAGGTTGGTTGGTTGTTTAACACTGCACTCAGCAATATTCCAGCTATATGGTGGTGGTCTGTAAATAATCGAGTCTGGAGCAGACAATCCAGTGATCAACAGCATAAGCATCAATCTACTCAATTGGGATATGATGACATGTGTCAGTCAAGTAAGCGAGCCTGACCACTCAATCCCGTTGTCGCTTCTAACAATAACAACAAAAGCTTGTGAAAAATTAACAAACATCTTAGTGTCTAACAGAAGTAATACAGTCAACTTTAACAATTTGTTCTAGAGTGATTATCATTCCTGCTGATTTTACCTGTTTCAAAGTGGTGGTGGCTTTCTCCATCTCAGAATCAGAACCAATCAGAGCATCAGGATCCAGTTCCAGTCCATCGTCAAGACTGCTGTCTCTCTCCGGTGTCTTCCTGGCTCCCTCCTCCTCTACATCACTCCCCTCCTGAGATTCTGCTGCAGCTGTAGCCGACTTCTTCAGCTCAGTGTTGAGCTCCTCCTTAGCTGCAGTGGCACCCCCTGCTGCCTGCAGTGTGTCCCTCTCGTCCTGGTCTCGCTCCTTATCCTCCCTGGACTCCGCCAGACCTGTGGGTTGTAAACATGGAGTCAGAACCAGCCTCGGCATTTTGAATACAAGCAGATTACTACTGAAAACCAATTTTGACTGGAATGTGCTTCTTGTTACCCAGAAGTGCTGTATATAAACCAGTACCTTGGAGAAACATCTGAAAGAAGCTTGCATGACACATGAACAGCCGATTACATCACAAGGTGAGTGAGTTACCAATGTTTCTATTTTACCCAACATAGCCAAGTTTTGAACCATACACGGCCATAGTTCAATTAAAAACACTAACAAAGTGTTGACAATTGGTTGAAAGGTGTAGTCAAGAACACAAGGAGGTTTGGAGTCAATCTAATCTATTCCAATTTGTAGCAAGGTATCTCAATGGGAAAGCACTATAAAACAGGCATTAAGTCTGGACTGGTATCATCAGTTCATGCGCTGATGTTTCTATATGAGTGAAATAGTCTTGAACACTACATGAAACCCTAGTTTACCTAACATCAGGGGTTCATTTTTTTTTTAAAAAGCCACTTGCCACAGGGCAAGTGACTTTAAGAAAGTAACTTGTCCTGACTAATTTTCCACTTGCCCTGATTTTATGACATAATTATGATCATGTAATTATGAAAGAAGAAATCAACATGGTATTTGATGTTAATGTTTACTGGACTATTTATTGAAAAGTGATAAATAGCAAAGAAAGATAACTCTACTTTATTATCATTGCGAAATTTAATAGCTACATTTTGAGCAGATATGAAATTAAATCAAAGTTTATTTGCAGTTTGAAACCATAAGTGGAAATTATTTAGTAGCCCACGGACAAGTAAGATACCATTATTTGATTGCCCGAAATGAAAACTGACTTGTCCCGGGCATCAGGCGATGGGATTTTTGAACCCCTGAACATCTGTATATAGTCTCTATGTCATCTATGTAGTAAGAATGTACTCACATGAAACCCTAGTTTACCTAACATCTGTATATAGTCTCTATGTCATCTATATAGTAAGACTGTACTCACGTTTTGACTTTTTCTTGTCCTCTAGGAACTTGGTTATGACTTCCCTCCAGCGAGGCATAGACTTGAGCATCTTGGATCGGGCAAACGCATTCACTTCATCACCAACAGCAGGTCTGAGCTCATTGAACAGAAAGTGGCACCTCTCGATGACAGGCGCACACACTTCCTTATACGACCTTCCCTGGTCTTGATGGGCCTGGAGAATACAAACATCTCATGAAATAATGAAACACCTCTGCATTCTTGATGCCACCAATGTAGAGACAGCATTCACAAGACAGTGGTTGAACTCAGACAGAAAGAAATAAAAGAGCTGTACAAAGAGACAACCAGAATGTTCTATTCCCACAGCAACAATGTATTTGACATTTAACACAACACTCAGCAATATTCGGGGACGGTGGGGTAGCCTAGTGGTTAAAGCGTCCGCTCGTCATGCCGAAGACCCAGGTTCGATTCCCCACATGGGTACAATGTGTGAAGCCCATTTCTGGTGTCCCCAGCGTGATATTGCTGGAATATTGCTAAAAGCGGCATAAAACCATACTCACTCACTCACTCACTCAGCAATATTCCAGCAATATGATTGCGGCTTGTAAATAAAGTCTTGAACCCAATCCAGTTGTTGATATGAGCATGATTGTCATCATCTGGTATAACAGCAAGCTCTCAACCAAGTCACTGACCTTTACCATTCAATCGACTGTGACCTGCATATTGAAAGCAGGAACAATGTGCCCTAACCTGACAGCATCTTACCTTAATCAAAGCCTTCTTGGTCTGTGCGATGACCTTACAGAGTTCTGCCAGAGATTTGGGCAGACTGTGCTTGCTGCCGTGCTCCCCCTGGCCGTGTTCAATAATACCCAGGACGACGTGACCCAGGTCATGGTGCTTCAGTATCACTGCCATCAACAACCTGTTGGCACACAAACATGAACATTTTCACATACACACGATCGCTGTTACACAAACTTGATCACTGTTACACAAACATGATCACTGTTACCCAAACATGATCACTGTAACACAAACTTGATCACTGTTACACAAACATGATCACTGTCACACAAACTTGATCACTGTCACACAAACATGATCACTGTTACACAAACATGATCACTGTTACACAAACATGATCACTGTTACACAAACATGATCACATTTACACAAACATGATCACATAGTCACACAAACTTGATCACTGTCAAACAAACATGATCACTGTCATACAAACCTGATCACTGTCACACAAACATGATCACATTGTCACACAAACATGATCACATTGTCAGACAATCATGATCACTGTAACACAAACATGATCACATTATCAGACAATCATGATCACTGTAACACAAACATGATCACTGTAACACAAACATGATCACATTGTCACACAAACATGATCACTGTTACACAAACATGATCACTGTTACACAAACATGATCACTGTCACACAAACATGATCACATTGTCAGACAATCATGATCACTGTAACACAAACATGATCACTGTAACACAAACATGATCACATTGTCACACAAACATGATCACTGTTACACAAACATGATCACTGTTACACAAACATGATCACTGTCACACAAACATGATTACATTGTCATACAAACATGAGTACATTGTCACACAAACATGATCACATTGTCACACAAACATGACCACATTGTCACACAAACATGATCACATTGTCAGACAATCATGATCACATTGTCACACAAACATGATCACATTGTCAGACAATCATGATCACATTGTCAGACAATCATGATCACACTGTCACACAAACATGATCACACTGTCATACAACATGATCACATTGTCACACAAACATGATTACATTGTCTTACAAACATGACCACATTGTCACACAATCATGATCACACTGTCACACAAACATGATCACATTGTCACACAAACATGATCACATTGTCACACAAACATGATCACATTGTCACACAAACATGATCACATTGTCATACAAACATGATCACATTGTCAGACAATTATGACCACACTGTCACACAAACACGATTACATTGTCACGCAAACATGATCACACTCACAGAAACATGATCACAATGGCACACATGGCACGAAGGTTTACATTTTCAAATTAATATGACAACACAAAGAAATTTTCAATCCATATTTCACCATTTTTTTTTCACATGAAGTTCAATCTTTCAGAGGTAAAACCTGACATGAACTTATTTTCCTCAAGACAACAGCCCACCCACCTGCCGACCTCCTCCACGGGGTGGTCCTGCGGAAAGGAGAAAGGGAACACCATGTGGTTCTGCTTGAGGAAGCTCTCCACAATGCCCAGGAAGGCCTTCACTGTGGGGTCATGTATCCTGCCCTCAGCCAGGGCCTGCAGGAAGGGCCGGGCCACGTCGTTGCTGGGGTTCTCCTGCTGGTACAGACGCTCCTTGTCCATGGCCTGGGGGAGGTGGCACTGCTCCGACGTGGGTGTGGCACCTGTAAAGGCAGGGAATAGGTGAATGTGTGACGTCATCACTGTCCTAATCACTGATGTTCTTGAGTGAGTGAGTTTAGTTTTACACCACTTTTAGCAATATTCCAGCAATATGATGGCAGGGACACCAGAAATGGGCTTCACACATTGTACCCATGTGGGGATCGAACCCACGTCTTTGGCGAATGCTTTAACCACTAGGCTACCCCATCACCCCCACTGATGGTCTGAACCAGAGAAACCACCAGTTTACACTGAGAACGACCTGTTACAACAAGGACAACTGACAGTAGCTTGTGCCTTGAGGTCCCTGAGTCAAGAGCTATTCATTTTTAACACAGGGCTCATTTAGACCTCTTTCAGCAGATCAGTCATTCTGAAATCTCTCAGATTTTCATTTTGAAATCCTTGTTCCACATGGCAATTGACACAATTGATCACAGGATTATCGGTATAGTAGTTGTAATGGTTGTCATTAAGATCACTTTTTGTAAAGGGTCCATGGAGAAGCTGGATCAGTGAATATATTACACTGTTTACCTGGTGTTGTGGTGCATGAGCTGGGAGTGCGACTCTCCCCCTTCTCCTCGTCATAGCTGTTGTGAGGCTGAAGTACCTGCAGCCCTCCACTGAAGAACTCGGCCTGCAGCCAGTGTCGACTCTCTAGCTCGTCGCTAGACAGCTGGGAGCTGCGAGCCAGCTCCGCAGCATGGAGACCCAGGAGAATACCCAGCGTCCTCTCTGTGTCCATCAGAGGGGAGGACATCGTGTTGGAGTCCGTGGTCTGAATCACCTCCTTCTCAGGCTGAAACAGATTATAACTGCTTTAAAATATGTCTTAATTCATTTATATCAACGAAAAACTAACACAGTCACAGCCACCGAATCTTGGCCAAGCAGGTGTTGAAGCACCAATGACCACATACTGCCCTTGAAGGGAATAATTGAATCTAGTAGCTATTACAGAACTTAGACAGAACCTCTTCGAAGCAGGTATTAAAACACTCACATCCACATACTGCCCTTGAAGGGAATAATTGAATCTAGTAGCTATTACAGAACTTAGACAGAACCTCTTCGAAGCAGGTATTAAAACACTCACATCCACATACTGCCCTTGAAGGGAATAATTGAATCTAGTAGCTATTACAGAACTTAGACAGAACCTCTTCGAAGCAGGTATTAAAACACTCACATCCACATACTGCCCTTGAAGGGAATAATTGAATCTAGCAACTAATACAGTCACTTAAACTTAGACAGAACCTCTTTGAATCAGGTATTAAAACACTCACATCCACATACTGCCCTTGAAGGGAATAATTGAATCTAGTAGCTATTACAGAACTTAGACAGAACCTCTTTGAATCAGGTATTAAAACACTCACATCCACATACTGCCCTTGAAGGGAATAATTGAATCTAGTAGCTATTACAGAACTTAGACAGGACCTCTTTGAAGCAGGTATTAAAACACTCACATCCACATACTGCCCTTGAAGGGAATAATTGAATCTAGTAGCTATTACAGAACTTAGACAGGACCTCTTTGAAGCAGGTATTAAAACACTCACATCCACATACTGCCCTTGAAGGGAATAATTGACTCTAGCAACTAATACAGTCACTTAGACAGGACCTCTTCGAAGCAGGTATTAAAACACTCACATCCACATACTGCCCTTGAAGGGAATAATTGAATCTAGTAGCTATTACAGAACTTAGACAGAACCTCTTGAAGCAGGTATTAAAACACTCACATCCACATACTGCCCTTGAGAGGGAATAATTGAATCTAGTAGCTATTACAGAACTTAGACAGAACCTCTTCGAAGCAGGTATTAAAACACTCACATCCACATACTGCCCTTGAAGGGAATAATTGACTCTAGCAACTAATACAGTCACTTAGACAGGACCTCTTCGAAGCAGGTAATAAAACACTCACATCCACATACTGCCCTTGAAGGGAATAATTGAATCTAGTAGCTATTACAGAACTTAGACAGAACCTCTTCGAAGCAGGTATTAAAACACTCACATCCACATACTGCCCTTGAAGGGAATAATTGAATCTAGTAGCTATTACAGAACTTAGACAGAACCTCTTCGAAGCAGGTATTAAAACACTCACATCCACATACTGCCCTTGAAGGGAATAATTGAATCTAGTAGCTATTACAGAACTTAGACAGGACCTCTTCGAAGCAGGTATTAAAACACTCACATCCACATACTGCCCTTGAAGGGAATAATTGACTCTAGCAACTAATACAGTCACTTAGACAGAACCTCTTCGAAGCAGGTATTAAAACACTCACATCCACATACTGCCCTTGAAGGGAATAATTGAATCTAGTAGCTATTACAGAACTTAGACAGAACCTCTTGAAGCAGGTATTAAACACTCACATCCACATACTGCCCTTGAAGGGAATAATTGAATCTAGTAGCTATTACAGAACTTAGACAGAACCTCTTCAAGCAGGTATTAAAACACTCACATCCACATACTGCCCTTGAAGGAATAATTGAATCTAGTAGCTATTACAGAACTTAGACAGAACCTCTTCGAAGCAGGTATTAAAACACTCACATCCACATACTGCCCTTGAAGGGAATAATTGACTCTAGCAACTAATACAGTCACTTAGACAGAACCTCTTCGAAGCAGGTATTAAAACACTCACATCCACATACTGCCCTTGAAGGGAATAATTGACTCTAGCAACTAATACAGTCACTTAGACAGGACCTCTTTGAAGCAGGTATTAAAACACTCACATCCACATACTGCCCTTGAAGGGAATAATTGACTCTAGCAACTAATACAGTCACTTAGACAGAACCTCTTCGAAGCAGGTATTAAAAACACTCACATCCACATACTGCCCTTTGAAGGGAATAATTGACTCTGGCAACTAATACAGTCACTTAGACAGAACCTCTTGAAGCTTAGGTATTAAAACACTCACATCCACATACTGCCCTTGAAGGGAATAATTGACTCTAGCAACTAATACAGTCACTTAGACAGAACCTCTTCGAAGCAGGTATTAAAACACTCACATCCACATACTGCCCTTGAAGGGAATAATTGAATCTAGTAGCTATTACAGAACTTAGACAGGACCTCTTTGAAGCAGGTATTAAAACACTCACATCCACATACTGCTCCTTTGAAGGAATAATTGAATCTAGTAGCTATTACAGAACTTAGACAGAACCTCTTCAAGTAGGTATTAAAAACACTCACATCCACATACTGCCCTTGAAGGAATAATTGACTCTAGCAACTAATACAGTCACTTAGACAGAACCTCTTTGAAGCAGGTATTAAAACACTCACATCCACATACTGCCCTTGAAGGGAATAATTGACTCTAGCAACTAATACAGTCACTTAGACAGAACCTCTTTGAAGCAGGTATTAAAACACTCACATCCACATACTGCCCTTGAAGGGAATAATTGAATCTAGTAGCTATTACAGAACTTAGACAGAACCTCTTTGAAGCAGGTATTAAAACACTCACATCCACATACTGCCCTTGAAGGGAATAATTGAATCTAGTAGCTATTACAGAACTTAGACAGAACCTCTTTGAAGCAGGTATTAAAACACTCACATCCACATACTGCCCTTGAAGGGAATAATTGAATCTAGTAGCTATTACAGAACTTAGCCAGGACCTCTTCGAAGCAGGTATTAAAACACTCACATCCACATACTGCCCTTGAAGGGAATAATTGACTCTAGCAACTAATACAGTCACTTAGACAGAACCTCTTCGAAGCAGGTATTAAAACACTCACATCCACATACTGCCCTTGAAGGGAATAATTGACTCTAGCAACTAATACAGTCACTTAGACAGGACCTCTTCGAAGCAGGTATTAAAACACTCACATCCACATACTGCCCTTGAAGGGAATAATTGACTCTAGCAACTATTACAGAACTTAGACAGAACCTCTTCGAAGCAGGTATTAAAACACTCACATCCACATACTGCCCTTGAAGGGAATAATTGACTCTAGCAACTATTACAGAACTTAGACAGAACCTCTTCGAAGCAGGTATTAAAACACTCACATCCACATACTGCCCTTGAAGGGAATAATTGAATCTAGCAACTAATACAGTCACTTAGACAGGACCTCTTTGAAGCAGGTATTAAAACACTCACATCCACATACTGCCCTTGAAGGGAATAATTGAATCTAGTAGCTATTACAGAACTTAGACAGAACCTCTTTGAAGCAGGTATTAAAACACTCACATCCACATACTGCCCTTGAAGGGAATAATTGACTCTAGCAACTAATACAGTCACTTAGACAGAACCTCTTTGAAGCAGGTATTAAAACACTCACATCCACATACTGCCCTTGAAGGGAATAATTGAATCTAGTAGCTATTACAGAACTTAGACAGAACCTCTTTGAAGCAGGTATTAAAACACTCACATCCACATACTGCCCTTGAAGGGAATAATTGAATCTAGTAGCTATTACAGAACTTAGACAGAACCTCTTTGAAGCAGGTATTAAAACACTCACATCCACATACTGCCCTTGAAGGGAATAATTGAATCTAGTAGCTATTACAGAACTTAGACAGGACCTCTTCGAAGCAGGTATTAAAACAGTCACATCCACATACTGCCCTTGAAGGGAATAATTGACTCTAGCAACTAATACAGTCACTTAGACAGAACCTCTTCGAAGCAGGTATTAAAACACTCACATCCACATACTGCCCTTGAAGGGAATAATTGACTCTAGCAACTAATACAGTCACTTAGACAGGACCTCTTCGAAGCAGGTATTAAAACACTCACATCCACATACTGCCCTTGAAGGGAATAATTGACTCTAGCAACTATTACAGAACTTAGACAGAACCTCTTCGAAGCAGGTATTAAAACACTCACATCCACATACTGCCCTTGAAGGGAATAATTGACTCTAGCAACTATTACAGAACTTAGACAGGACCTCTTCGAAGCAGGTATTAAAACACTCACATCCACATACTACTGCCCTTGAAGGGAATAATTGACTCTAGCAACTAATACAGTCACTTAGACAGAACCTCTTCGAAGCAGGTATTAAAACACTCACATCCACATACTGCCCTTGAAGGGAATAATTGAATCTAGTAGCTATTACAGAACTTAGACAGGACCTCTTTGAAGCAGGTATTAAAACACTCACATCCACATACTGCCCTTGAAGGGAATAATTGACTCTAGCAACTATTACAGAACTTAGACAGGACCTCTTCGAAGCAGGTATTAAAACACTCACATCCACATACTGCCCTTGAAGGGAATAATTGACTCTAGCAACTAATACAGTCACTTAGACAGAACCTCTTCGAAGCAGGTATTAAAACACTCACATCCACATACTGCCCTTGAAGGGAATAATGAATCTAGTAGCTATTACAGAACTTAGACAGGACCTCTTGAAGCAGGTATTAAAACACTCACATCCACACATACTGCCCTTGAAGGAATAATTGACTCTAGCAACTATTACAGAACTTAGACAGGACCTCTTCGAAGCAGGTATTAAAACACTCACATCCACATACTGCCCTTGAAGGGAATAATTGACTCTAGCAACTAATACAGTCACTTAGACAGAACCTCTTCGAAGCAGGTATTAAAACACTCACATCCACATACTGCCCTTGAAGGGAATAATTGAATCTAGTAGCTATTACAGAACTTAGACAGGACCTCTTCGAAGCAGGTATTAAAACACTCACATCCACATACTGCCCTTGAAGGGAATAATTGACTCTAGCAACTATTACAGAACTTAGACAGGACCTCTTTGAATCAGGTATTAAAACACTCACATCCACATACTGCCCTTGAAGGGAATAATTGAATCTAGTAGCTATTACAGAACTTAGACAGGACCTCTTCGAAGCAGGTATTAAAACACTCACATCCACATACTGCCCTTGAAGGGAATAATTGACTCTAGCAACTAATACAGTCACTTAGACAGAACCTCTTTGAAGCAGGTATTAAAACACTCACATCCACATACTGCCCTTGAAGGGAATAATTGACTCTAGCAACTAATAAGTCACTTAGACAGGACCTCTTGAAGCAGGTATTAAAACACTCACATCCACATACTGCCCTTGGAGGAATAATTGACTCTAGCAACTAATACAGTCCACTTAGAGACAGGACTCTCTTCGACAGGTATTAAACACTCCCACATCCACATACTGCCCTTGAAGGGAATAATTGACTCTAGCAACTAATACAGTCACTTAGACAGAACCTCTTTGAAGCAGGTATTAAAACACTCACATCCACATACTGCCCTTGAAGGGAATAATTGAATCTAGTAGCTATTACAGAACTTAGACAGAACCTCTTTGAAGCAGGTATTAAAACACTCACATCCACATACTGCCCTTGAAGGGAATAATTGAATCTAGTAGCTATTACAGAACTTAGACAGAACCTCTTTGAAGCAGGTATTAAAACACTCACATCCACATACTGCCCTTGAAGGGAATAATTGACTCTAGCAACTAATACAGTCACTTAGACAGAACCTCTTTGAAGCAGGTATTAAAACACTCACATCCACATACTGCCCTTGAAGGGAATAATTGAATCTAGTAGCTATTACAGAACTTAGACAGAACCTCTTTGAAGCAGGTATTAAAACACTCACATCCACATACTGCCCTTGAAGGAATAATTGAATCTAGTAGCTATTACAGAACTTAGACAGAACTCTTTGAAGCAGGTATTAAAACACTCACATCCACATACTGCCCTTGAAGGGAATAATTGACTCTAATAATACAGTCACTTAGACAGTAAGCTATTAAAACACTCACATCCACATACTGCCCACTTGAGGGAATAGAATCTAGTAGCTATTAGCAGGTATCTAAAACACTCACATCCACAACTGCCTAGAAGGAACCTAATTGAAGCAGGTATTAAAACACTCACATCCACATACTGCCCTTGTAAGGGAATAATTGAATCTAGTGGCTATTACAGAACTTAGACAGAACCTCTTTGAAGCAGGTATTAAAACACTCACATCCACATACTGCCCTTGAAGGGAATAATTGAATCTAGTAGCTATTACAGAACTTAGACAGAACCTCTTTGAAGCAGGTATTAAAACACTCACATCCACATACTGCCCTTGAAGGGAATAATTGAATCTAGTAGCTATTACAGAACTTAGACAGAACCTCTTTGAAGCAGGTATTAAAACACTCACATCCACATACTGCCCTTGAAGGGAATAATTGAATCTAGTAGCTATTACAGAACTTAGACAGAACCTCTTTGAAGCAGGTATTAAAACACTCACATCCACATACTGCCCTTGAAGGAATAATTGAATCTAGTAGCTATTACAGAACTTAGACAGAACCTCTTTGAAGCAGGTATTAAAACACTCACATCCACATACTGCCCTTGAAGGAATAATTGAATCTAGTAGCTATTACAGAACTTAGACAGAACCTCTTTGAAGCAGGTATTAAAACACTCACATCCACATACTGCCCTTGGAGAAGGGAATAATTGAATCTAGTAGCTATTACAGAACTTAGACAGAACCTCTTTGAAGCAGGTATTAAAACACTCACATCCACATACTGCCCTTGAAGGGAATAATTGAATCTAGTAGCTATTACAGAACTTAGACAGAACCTCTTTGAAGCAGGTATTAAAACACTCACATCCACATACTGCCCTTGAAGAAGGAATAATTGAATCTAGTAGCTATTACAGAACTTAGACAGAACCTCTTTGAAGCAGGTATTAAAACACTCACATCCACATACTGCCCTTGAAGGGAATAATTGAATCTAGTAGCTATTACAGAACTTAGACAGAACCTCTTTGAAGCAGGTATTAAAACACTCACATCCACATACTGCCCTTGAAGGAATAATTGAATCTAGTAGCTATTACAGAACTTAGACAGAACCTCTTTGAAGCAGGTATTAAAACACTCACATCCACATACTGCCCTTGAAGGAATAATTGAATCTAGTAGCTATTACAGAACTTAGACAGAACCTCTTTGAAGCAGGTATTAAAACACTCACATCCACATACTGCCCTTTGAAGGGAATAATTGAATCTAGTAGCTATTACAGAACTTAGACAGAACCTCTTTGAAGCAGGTATTAAAACACTCACATCCACATACTGCCCTTGAAGGGGAATAATTGAATCTAGTAGCTATTACAGAACTTAGACAGAACCTCTTTGAAGCAGGTATTAAAACACTCACATCCACATACTGCCCTTGAAGGGAATAATTGAATCTAGTAGCTATTACAGAACTTAGACAGAACCTCTTTGAAGCAGGTATTAAAACACTCACATCCACATACTGCCCTTTGAAGGGAATAATTGAATCTAGTAGCTATTACAGAACTTAGACAGAACCTCTTTGAAGCAGGTATTAAAAGCACTTAAAACACATCCACATACTGCCCTTGAAGGGAATAATTGAATCTAGTAGCTATTACAGAACTTAGACAGAACCTCTTTGAAGCAGGTATTAAAACACTCACATCCACATACTGCCCTTGAAGGGAATAATTGAATCTAGTAGCTATTACAGAACTTAGACAGAACCTCTTTGAAGCAGGTATTAAAAACACTCACATCCACATACTGCCCTTGAAGGGAATAATTGAATCTAGTAGCTATTACAGAACTTAGACAGAACTCTTTGAATCAGGTATTAAAACACTCACATCCACATACTGCCCTTGAAGGAATAATTGAATCTAGTAGCTATTACAGAACTTAGACAGAACCTCTTGAAGCAGGTATTAAAAAACACTCACATCCACATACTGCCCTTTGAAGGGAATAATTGAATCTAGTAGCTATTACAGAACTTAGACAGAACCTCTTAATCAGGTATTAAAAACACTCACATCCACATACTGCCCTTGAAGGAATAATTGAATCTAGTAGCTATTACAGAACTTAGACAGAACCTCTTCGAAGCAGGTATTAAAACACTCACATCCACATACTGCCCTTGAAGGGAATAATTGAATCTAGTAGCTATTACAGAACTTAGACAGGACCTCTTTGAAGCAGGTATTAAAACACTCACATCCACATACTGCCCTTGAAGGGAATAATTGACTCTAGCAACTAATACAGTCACTTAGACAGGACCTCTTCGAAGCAGGTATTAAAACACTCACATCCACATACTGCCCTTGAAGGGAATAATTGACTCTAGTAGCTATTACAGAACTTAGACAGGACCTCTTTGAAGCAGGTATTAAAACACTCACATCCACATACTGCCCTTGAAGGGAATAATTGAATCTAGTAGCTATTACAGAACTTAGACAGGACCTCTTTGAAGCAGGTATTGAAACACTCACATCCACATACTGCCCTTGAAGGGAATAATTGACTCTAGTAGCTATTACAGAACTTAGACAGAACCTCTTTGAAGCAGGTATTAAAACACTCACATCCACATACTGCCCTTGAAGGGAATAATTGAATCTAGTAGCTATTACAGAACTTAGACAGGACCTCTTTGAAGCAGGTATTAAAACACTCACATCCACATACTGCCCTTGAAGGGAATAATTGACTCTAGCAACTAATACAGTCACTTAGACAGAACCTCTTCGAAGCAGGTATTAAAACACTCACATCCACATACTGCCCTACATAGAAGGCCATCATCATCTCCCTTGCCTCCTCAGAATGGTGGGCAGCCTCAAACGCAGATGAGGCATCTCGACCTGGAAGGATATTGTCTTTGTCATAAAATCACTTTCATCGCAGCATCAACACTATCATAGCTATCTGTCACCTTTATACAAAGACCAACACTGCATTGGATTAATAAAACATATGTTGTTTGACAGACCTGTTTCCATATGGTGAGTGAGTGAGTGAGTGAGTGAGTGAGTGAGTGAGTGAGTGAGTGAGTGAGTGAGTGAGTGAGTGAGTGAGTGACTGTGTGAGTGAGTGAGTATGGTCTTACACCGCTTTCAGCAATATTCCAGCAATATCACTTCAGGGCACACCAGAAATGGGCGAGTGAGTGAGTGAGTGAGTGAGTATGGTCTCACACCGCTTTCAGCAATATTCCAGTAATATCACCACGGCAGGGGACACCAGAAATGGGCTTAACTCATTGTACTCATGTGGGGAACTGAACCCGGGTCTTCGCGGTAACAAGCGGACGCTTTAACCACTTGGCTACCCCACTGCCCCTGTTCAGTGTTCAGGGACAGAGTTGAAAGTTAAAGACCCTTTTACCAATATTCAAGCCTTATCAAGTTCGGAAATCAATCCAGGAACTATGGGATATGGGCAAACACTCTAACAACTAGGCCACCTGACACAACACTGACTAACGAAGTTCAAAAGACAACTAGACAGGAGCATCATTAAAGGACATCACAGAACACTTACCAGCATACTTCATGAGCAGATCCCTTCCACAAGGTGCCAGTGACTTGAAGTCGTTCACGTCGTATACTTTGCCATGGATCACCACCCACAGGCCTCCATCTTTGTTGTGATTCTCGACATCTGCCTTCCTGATCATCTGAACGTCGTCAAACGAGGTCTGAGTGTATCTCTCCAGTGTGTGACCTGCGTGAGTGTGATAGATGATCATCATACAAAGCATAATAACAGTAATCCAGTAATGGATGTAAAGATGGAACATCTTGGGGTGAGACACACATACCACTGGACAACTACCACATTTCCTCAATTACATGTAAACGCCTGGCAGTACATATATATCAGACACTCTTTAGTCTTTACTCCCAGCATTTAACTCCTAATATAATGACGGGTAGAATTACATGCATAAATGCTACCTGTCTAGTAATCAACCACAAGTGTTTAATCAACACCACGCTGTAATCAATGAAAAACAGACATAATAATAGGAACATTAATTAGATGGAATTGTGTGGGGATTCTTGATTCACACTGTTAAGTAAAACTGTCATAATGTGTGAGTCAGTGAGTTGGGTTTAATGCTGCTTTGAATGAAACTGGGGCCTAATAATGAACTATTTACAAAAAAATGACAGACTTAGATGAGGAAGCAAACACTGAATAGAGGTACTGAGATATAAAGCAGTCATTTCTTGGAGATCTCATTTGCAAATATTTCAGAACAACTTGAAGATATCAGGATTTTTAGATTAGTTTATTGCATCAATGATAAATATTTCATCCTCCCATAATATACACATTCAAAGTGAATAAATTCATCATCATTTTCTTGATGGCATTGCATTTGAATTATCAAATCAGTCACTAGCTAAATGTGTATCGAGGTAACTCCAAGATGTTCAACTCACTCCACACTCCAGGCCAGGCAAGATCCTCCTTGTCATCACGGTCCAGGCCGGGCGCCAGACGGTTGAACTTGTCCAGTATATCCAAGATCTCCTCCAACACAGGGACTGCTTTAGACAGGGTGACAATTTCCGGACTCCGCAGGTTCAGTAGGATCATACAGGTCACCATCTCTGGCAGCAGCACTCCTACAACAGAAACATCAGGGTACTGACACACTGTGGTGAGTGGAATATACATGTAGATGCAGAAATCACCATCAGTCACAAAAATACATCAGGGTACTGACACACTGTGGTGAGTGGAATATACATGTAGATGCAGAAACCACCATCAGTCACAAAAATACATCAGGGTACTGACACACTGTGGTGAGTGGAATATACATGCAGATGCAGAAACCACCATCAGTCACAAAAATACATCAGGGTACTGACACACTGTGGTGAGTGGAATATACATGTAGATGCAGAAATCCCCATCAGTCACAAAGGTAGAACTCTTCCCGAGATCTTTAAGTACATTGATGAGAAGTTGCCAAAATGACATTTCCACTATGACCGTTCACAGCATTATAAGCCAAATACAAATAATAAATAATTTCCAATTTTTATCATACAGTAACAAAATTCACAAACAAGAACCAGATCTTTTCCCCCCTTCCAAAATGTTTCGTGATTGAATGCTTATTTACTCTGGGATCTCAACAACAGATTACTGGGAGTATTGACTGACATGTGGTACAAACCTGTGACATCCTTGACGATGATCTTGGAGACGAGTGAGAAGTGGCGGCTGCTGCTGCTGGCGATGCTGGCAGCAGCAGGGAGGATGTCCCCAACATGGGTGCACAGCAACATACAGTACTTCTTCAGCAGCGATGCAGCTCCTCGCATCTCCAGGCCTGAAATGTAGGGCACAACATTATCCATACGGGCAAGGCAAAAGTCTTTCTGATATTTTCACACACTTTTTGTTCATGCTCACTGGCTAGTTCATGCCAATAAACCATTGTTTGAAAAGCAGCCCAAAGCACAGCATTGTCATATCAACCCGCAGTTGCAAATACACAAAGCTGATGGCATCCAATAATGACAGTACTTGTAGCTGTCCTACCTATTTCTGATGAGGGTTTGGAGGGATCTTCGTCATCCTTCACATCCATGAAATGGGAGATTTCGTTTGTTTCTTTCACAAATATCTTGGAGACCAGAAGTCTCTGAAACTGCAGCAGCAAGTCCAGTGATGGAGATGTCTCCACTGGCTCTGCATCGGGAGACTTCAGTGTGCTGTCCCGCGACACGTCTTGCAGCTTGGAAAGTGTGTGAGTTGAAGAGTTTCTGAAACACATTGAGTGATTGATTGGGTGAGTTTGGTCTTATAAAGCTGTATTTGGTTATGTCATGCCATGTGAGCCTCATCCGTGATAAGCCTGAAGAGATGCAGGTCTTACAAACATGTAACACAGGAGCACAGGTATGTGTAGCAACTAGAACTATTGTTGAGTGCAGCTCCTAGTGTGTGTATAGCTACTGGTCCTGCTGTTGTGTATAGCTACTGGTCCTGCTGTTGTGTATAGCTACTGGTCCTGCTGTTGTGTATAGCTACTGGTCCTGCTGTTGTGTATAGCTACTGGTCCTGCTGTTGTGTATAGCTACTGGTCCTGCTGTTGTGTGTTGTGTATAGCTACATGGTCCTGCTGTTGTGTATAGCTGGTGTGTATAGCTACTGGTCCTGCTGTTGTGTATAGCTACTGGTCCTGCTGTTGTGTAGCTAGCTACTGGTCCTGCTGTTGTGTATAGCTACTGGTCCTGCTGTTGTGTATAGCTACTGGTCCAGCTGTTGTGTATAGCTACTGGTCCTGCTGTTGTGTATAGCTACTGGTCCAGCTGTTGTGTATAGCTACTGGTCCATGCTGTTGTGTGTATAGCTACTGGTCCAGCTGTTGTGTATAGCCACTGGTCCTGCTGTTGTGTATATAGCTACTGGTCCTGCTGTTGTGCATAGCTACTTGTCCTGCTGTTGTGTATATAGCTACTGGTCCTGCTGTTGTGTATATGGCTACTAGTCCTGCTGTTGTGTATAGGCTACTGGTCCTGCTGTGTTGTGTATGGCTACTGGTCCTGCTGTTGTGTATGGCTACTGGTCTTTTACTGTGTATGGCTACCATCCTGTTGTTATGTATAGTTACTGGTCCTGCTGTTGTGTATGGCTACTGGTCCTGCTGTTGTGTATAGCTACTGGTCCTGCTGTTGTGTATTATGGCTACTGGTCCTGCTGTTGTGTATAGCTACTGGTCCAGCTGTTGTGTATAGCTACTGGTCCTGCTGTTGTGTATAGCTACTGGTCCTGCTGTTGCTGTGTATAGCTACTGGTCCAGCTGTTGTGTATAGCTACTGGTCCAGCTGTTGTGTATAGCTACTGGTCCTGCTGTTGTGTATAGCTACTGGTCCTGCTGTTGTGTATAGCTATTGGTCCAGCTGTTGTGTATAGCTACTGGTCCTGCTGTTGTGTATAGCTACTGGTCCTGCTGTTGTATAGCTACTGGTCCTGCTGTTGTGTATAGCTACTGGTCCTGCTGTTGTATAGCTACTGGTCCTGCTGTTGTGTATAGCTAGTGGTCCTGCTGTTGTGTATAGCTACTGGTCCTGCTGTTGTGTGTTGTGTATAGCTACTGGTCCTGCTGTTGTGTATATGGCTACTGGTCCTGCTGTTATTGTATGGCTACTGGTCCAGCTGTTGTGTATAGCTACTGGTCCTGCTGTTGTGTATAGCTACTGGTCCTGCTGTTGTGTATAGCTACTGGTCCTGCTGTTGTGTATAGCTACTGGTCCAGCTGTTGTGGTATAGCTACTGGTCCTGCTGTTGTGTATAGCTACTGGTCCTGCTGTTGTGTATAGCTACTGGTCCAGCTGTTGTGTATAGCTACTGGTCCAGCTGTTGTGTATAGCTACTGGTCCTGCTGTTGTGTATAGCTACTGGTCCTGCTGTTGTGTATAGCTACTTGTCCTGCTGTTGTGTATAGCTACTGGTCCTGCTGTTGTGTATAGCTACTGGTCCTGCTGTTGTGTATAGCTACTGGTCCTGCTGTTGTGTATAGCTACTGGTCCTGCTGTTGTGTATAGCTACTGGTCCTGCTGTTGTGTATAGCTACTCTAGTGGTCCTGCTGTTGTGTATAGCTACTGGTCCTGCTGTTGTGTGTTGTGTATAGCTACTGGTCCTGCTGTTGTGTATAGCTACTGGTCCTGCTGTTGTGTATAGCTACTGGTCCAGCTGTTGTGTATAGCTACTGGTCCTGCTGTTGTGTATAGCTACTGGTCCTGCTGTTACTGTGTATAGCTACTGGTCCAGCTGTTGTGTATAGCTACTGGTCCAGCTGTTGTGTATAGCTACTGGTCCTGCTGTTGTGTATAGCTACTGGTCCTGCTGTTGTGTATAGCTACTGGTCCAGCTGTTGTGTATAGCTACTGGTCCTGCTGTTGTGTATAGCTACTGGTCCTGCTGTTGTATAGCTACTGGTCCTGCTGTTGTGTATAGCTACTGGTCCTGCTGTTGTATAGCTACTGGTCCTGCTGTTGTGTATAGCTACTGGTCCTGCTATTGTGTATAGCTACTAGTCCTGCTGTTGTGTATAGCTACTGGTCCTGCTGTTGTGTATAGCTACTGGTCCTGCTGTTGTGTATAGCTACTGGTCCAGCTGTTGTGTATAGCTACTGGTCCAGCTGTTGTGTATAGCTACTAGTCCTGCTGTTGTGTATAGCTACTGGTCCTGCTGTTGTGTATAGCTACTGGTCCTGCTGTTGTGTGAGTGTAGTGAGCCGCCAAGCCTTCCTGAGCAGCTGCTGTATCAGCTGCAGGAGGGGGATGGTTGCCTTAGTGTCCAGGTCTCCCCCCTTGGCTGTCGGGCCCGCCTTCTCAATCACTGACTGCTCAGACTTCTCCGCATTGGTGGCCTCACTCAACTTGCCGTCCTCAGAGTTGTCTTCCCCTGTCTCACTCTCCTTCTCCTGGAGGAGGAAAAAGCTTGTACCAATCACAAACCAACATAAATCGGCAATAACTGTATAGTGACAACCGGTTTGTTTGTTGTTAATGCCGCACTCAGCAATATTCCAGCTGTATGGTGGCAGCCTGTAAATAATCGAGTCAGGACCAGACAATCCAGTGATCAACAGCATGAGCATCGATCTGGACTACTGGGATATGATGACATGTGTCAACCAAGTCAGTGAGCCAGACAACCCGATCCCGTTAGTCACATTTTACAACAAGCATGGGTTGATGAAGATCAATACTAACCCAGATCTTCACGGGTTTGACAATAATTTATATCTACTCAAAACTTCATCAGAATTGCAAACCATAGTGATGCTACTTTGTGATCATATAACTTATAACCAATGGGCAAAGTTGTGTTTGCTGGGACTGCCAAATTTCCTAAACACAACACCTATGCCAGGCACTCATCATCACTGAGAGTGACCCTACTTTCTTGTCTTCTATTTCCTGGATTTCCTTCTTGATGGCTGCCTGCAAAGCTGACTCCAGCCCTCCTTCGGCCATCAGACTGCTGACCAGCAGGTCCGTCATGAACCGCTGACCTGGACTCATCACTGTCAGGTCGCGACCTGAACACAACCAGGAATGTACCATCACATACATGTGAGACAATACCAGGAGATTCCTCTATTACAGCAGACAAATGCTTTATACTGAATCTCAACACAATATCTATATTACTATGATGACTTTGGCGTGCTCTATTATTCCAATACTTCTAAGTGTCTGCAGATATTAATGCTGATGTAACTTATAAAATAATTGTCATTTAAGTGAGTGAGTATGGTTTTACGCCATTTTTAGCAATATTCCAGCAATATCACGGCTTGGGAAACCAGAAATGGGCTTCACACATTGTACCCATGTGGGGAATTGTCATTTAAGAACTTTTTCACACTGAACTAAATAAGACAATAAACTTCAATAATTTATTAAGAATCCTATTTGGTTAAAACCCTTTGAAGATTTCTGTTTTCAAATCCAACCTAAATCTTCTTTCAGCCAATAACATAAGGACAAGGTCCCATTCTTACAAGCACATAAAAGTTAGCATGAATGTTTGGGTCCTTATCACAACCTTAATTCAAACCCTCAAGTCTTGGTGTCCCTTATCACCATGGAAGCCCTCAAGGAACCTAGGAATCCTCATTAATTAGGCACACTGCACTACTCTATGCATCCAGCTGGTGCTTATACTTACTTCCAGTAGCCAGTAGCGAGGACAGAGCACGAGCCCTCTCCTCCGCTGTAGGGAGCAGAATGGACCAGCCGCTCTGCAGCGTGGCCTGTGCTGCCATCTGGACTGTATTCAGAACACCAGAGTTACTTGCAAGGGCCACAACTCTTTGTTTCAAGCTGACCACCAGGGGGCTGCCTTGCCCCAGACCGAGACACTCCACATCCTCCGCCTGAGACACTGTTGCATGGAGCTGGAACAAGATGGCATGGTGTCCTTCAGTGGGGATGAATGTTGTTGTTTTCTTCCTTGTTCTCTCAATGTCAGTAATGGTTGAATACACAAACAGGCAATGTGTTTAGGAGAAGAAGGCAATATTTCAATTCTATTTGCATGCTGCTGTCCACATACAGGATTAGAGGTGAGGTGAAATTGGGTTTAACGTCATGCTTGAGAATATTTCGCTCATATGACGATGTGCATGCGTGTATATGTGTATGTGCGGCTGCTTGTACTAGCTCAGATTGAAGCTGGTTTTATAGTGCTAAGCCCACTGAGATACCATGCCGCAGTGAAGCATGAATATTCCACTCAGACACATTACCGGTATACTGACTCCGAGCCGACCAGTCCTTGTTGTACCCATTAATGCCGAACGCCAGGCAGGGACCAACAAGTACCATATTTTAACGTCTTTTGGTATGGCGCGGTCGAGGATCGAACCCGCGACCTTCCGCTCTCCGGGCGGACGCTCTATACAGGATTAGAGGGCAGAATGGCTCCGTTCTACAAATACTTCTCTTCCAGTGGCAGGGCAGACTATATATTAGCTAGGTACCCGGTATCTCTACCCCTTGTAGTGCTGGAATGCTATATTTGTCTATGAGAATTTCTAAGTATAATACGCCCCTTGAACACTGTATTTGGGAATTTCCTTGGAGAATAAGTCTCTTGTATTATGTATTCCATGGGGAATGTATTGCCAGTGATAAATTTTTGTCTGCCCAAGGGAACTCCTCATCAGAATAGCTTCCCAGGTCTCTGTATTTATCTCCTCTGTGGGAATTTCAGGAAAGAATAGGTTTCCAGAATTCTATTGGTCTATTTGTCTCCCCTTTATAAACCTCCAGTGACGTCACTCATTTGTCTCGCCAGTTTCTCCTTTCACCGAGTAAACCTCTGCAGGTAGTTTCGCGGGCATTCTCCAAGATATCCCGTGGATTTTCTTCAGAATTGCCCGCATCCTGGGGATTTTTTTAGGAATAGCCCTTGACATTGATTTATTACTTGCTTTGAACATTGATCTAACTTTGTCTTGCTATCACTGAATTCGATAGTAAAATATCATATTATTGAAAGCTTCCAACAGGTGTCGGCTGCCAGTCGTATCCCAGTTGATTTCAACAGTAAATACTAAATATCAAAATTATATCTAAAATATATCTTCGGTCGATTCATAAGTTGGATCAAAACCGACTCCGAGGCCCTCCGCAATTTCCCTCTGTCGTGGGCTTACTTTTTCAAACAAAACCTCGAAGTCGGTTTTGATCTTTTACGTATGAACTCCTGGGCAAAGTAGGTTCCAAGTAATATATCCTTGGCCAAGATCCTAACTACACAACATTTATACTTCTCTCACTCACAAAAAGAACTAGACGTACCAATAAAGCAAGAAGAGACACATCCATACCTGCAGATTGAGCAGGTTGAGCCCTGCTACAGCCATACATTCCTTCTCCTGGGGTGGCGGCCAGTCACTCCGCCCATCCATCCCCTCGCACACCTCTGTCAGCATCTCGTTCAGCTGCTCAAACGTGGACTTGCAGATGTCGACAGTGAAGGGGATGCGAGACCCAACTGACCAGTGCCCACTGGAGGACCAGATGAAGGTCTGTGGACAGAATGTTAACTATCTATCTGTCTGTCTTTAAAAATAAGTATTGTATCATGTATATGATGTGTTGTGGCATAAGTAGTGTAATTCAATATTCAATAGTCTTTGGATGTCAGTTGACCAACCCAATTTCTTTCCTGATTTAATATGATCTTGTGTATGAAGACCATATGCAGTCTTTCTTGGCACAAACACACCTTGGTGATATAAACCAGATTATAACCCACATAGCTTAGACTTAACTTCTTCCGTTTACATAAGTATTCTTTTGCATGTTTGATGTTTGAGAAGCAGTTGGTTCCTATGGCTATGCGACAGTGGTCATAAATCTGGACCACACAATCTAGTGATTGACAGCATGAGCATTGATCTACATTCTCGGCTGCTGAAAGCTCATTCTAACCTGGATCTTCACAGGGTACATCAATTTGCTATGTTAACATGAATATATGTTAATAATTACAAAAAGAACTTACAAAAAAACAAGTACACAAAACAATAAGACAAAGTCACTGACCTGAGAGGGTCCACACGATGCACCAACAATGTTTCTGCTCTCACAGCCAGACATCAGCGTGGGTTCGATGATGTTCCCGACTGAGTTATCCCCAAGTTGCCCCTGCTCGTTCTTCCCCCAGCAGAACACTTCCCCGTCCTCGGTGATGACCACACAGTGCATGGACCCCACCGCAACATCTACAACCTTCTTCCCCATCAACCCATCAATCTGCTTCGGGTGTCGCACGTGGTCCTCTGAGCCATGTCCCAAACGGTAGTTATCTCCCTTGCCCCTGTGATGATTTGAAAACATGTAATCCACTAAAAAATCACTGATATTCAGACACCGAAAAACATGCGCTATATTTGAATGTCTGCAGTTGTTACATAGGAAGACAAGAATTTGATCATAACTGACAGTTTATGAATGTATGGACACATATGTTTTGCTGAGGGTTGTTAAATATGCATCAGACTCTAATCCTTGTAACAAATATTCAGCAGAAGTCAAAGTACAAATAAACAAAAGAATTCAAATACAACTACAGTTATATCACAGCGAGTAAGCTCAATGTGAGGTGAGGGCCAGAAGAGACCCAATTTGCAAACTGTGGACCACAAAAGGAGCATGGTGCCAAACAAACATTCTCACTATGAGCACAGAGGAATGACAAGTGTTTATGGATGATCAACTTCTTTATTGTACAATTGCGATGTTTTGGTATAGATGCTTATACCGTTTTCAAGCATGATGAGCACAGAGCCTTTTGGTGAGAGCTAGACTGTATGTGTGTGTGCGTGCGTGCGTGCGTGCGTGCATGTGTACGCATGTGTGTGTGTGTCTGTAAGTGTCAGTGTATCTGTTCGTGTCTATTTATGTGTGTCAGAAACCATGCAGGAGGAAGTACCGAAGCTGAATACACATATCCTCACCATGAGAAGAGGGCCCCTGCCTTGGTGAGGGCGAGACTGAACTGAGCCCCACAGTACACTCTGATGATGTCCTGGCCCATCAGCTTCTCCACCAGCTTGGGGGTCTTACACCCGTCACTGCCCCCTCGCCCTAGCTTCCCGTAGTCCCCGTCCCCCCACGAGTACACAGCACCTGTGGGTAGTTTCATAAGTACATACACCTGTTTATAGTGTAACACTTCAAATAATAGTGAAATCATAGCAGGACATGTAAAAATCATGACAGGCACTCCAGTGATTGATCATAAAGACTGATCTCAACTAGGTTACAGATAAGTTATGACAATTGCTATGAATAACAAGTGGACCTAGTTGATTCCATGAAACATCAAACATATATAGAGTTGCCAGAATTTAAAGACAAGTTGATCGGCAAGAGTGGTTAAGGTTTCTGTTAGGTCCACTCAGGTCTCCAATGAGAATGGACATAAAGGAGTAGTGCGAACATGCTTTTCTTGTATGGAAGAATTTAGAATAACAATGGTCTCAAACTAATCCTATTTGAAAAATAAGGTGAGTGAGTTGCGTTTTACGCCACTTTTAGCAATATTCCAGCAATATCATGGCGGGGGACACCAGAAATGGGCTTCACAGATTGTACCTATGTGGAGAATCGAACCCGGGTCTTCGGCGTGATGAGCAAACACTTTCGGACGTCGATATACGAAAAGTATATCCATATTTTTGCATATGGTTATCAATAGAAAACATCCCATTGCAACAACAGGGTGGTGGGTAGCCTAATGGTTTAAAGAGTCCGCTTGGACCTGGGCTTGATTCCCCACATGGGTACAATGTGGGAATAGCATTTTGGGTGTCCCCTGCCATGATATTGCTGGAATATTGCTAACTCCATACTCAATCACCCACTTACTCTTCATAACAACATATATTTGACCTCTACTCACCAGTATCTGTGACAGCAACAGTTTGTGCGTCCCCGCTGCCACATGCGATGTCGATGACTCGATGACCCTTCAGTGCCGTGACGAGGCTGGGGTAGGTGCTGTCCTCGCTGCTGCCGTGCCCTAGACGGCCGTAGTTGCCCCGACCCCATGTGTAGAGCTCACCGTTGGCGGTGACGGCGGTGCTGTAGGTGCTGCCACTGCAGATGTTCACAATGTGTTTCCCAGAGATGCCTGTGATGAGGGTGGGCTCGTCACGGGAGCTGCATCACAGAGCACATCATTATCTCACTGAAGCAGGTTTCTGCTGCCTCAGAGACAGAACTGAAGGTGACCAACAAGGTCTCTTCCTTGTAGAGAGTTGTCTCTTATCAGATCAGTTCATATCTAATCCAGCAGCATAATTATATTTCAACATTAATAATAACAAATAAGAATACACTTAAGAATATTTCACTATATATGATGACATGCATGCATGTGCATGTGTGGCTGCTTGTACTAGCACAGACTTAAGCAAGTTTTACAGTGCTTGATCACTGAGATACCATGCTGCAGTAAAGCATGAATATCCCACTCAGACACATTATACTGACTCTGAGCCAACCAGTCCTTGTTGTACCCATTAATGCCGAACGCCAGACAGGGACCAACAAGTACCATATTCTGACGTCTTTTGGAATGACGCGGCGGGGTTCGAACCCGCGACCTTCCGCTCTCTGGGCGGACACTCTAGCCACTGGAGGCGGTCTACAGTTACAATGAACTCGTAAGGGACCAGTATGGTGAGTTTGATATGTCCAGTTTCTTATACACATTACAACTGAAATATACAGCAAGTGGTCCAAAAAGGAAACACTTTGTTATTTCCATCAGTTTGTTATAAGCTTGTTTGATATAGATGTAGTTAGCATCATCGTATCATTACATTCACATGAGTCTTATAATATTTGCATTTAAGCACAGTTTTACATGTGTGTATGTTAGATTTTTCACACAGGAGTATATTATAAATATTCTCATTATCATATTTTCAACCACTTACAATATTTTATATCTGAATATTACTGCAAGTACATATATGATTATTCACAATGGCATATATTTAAATGTATTTTCTTTCTCCATCATTCATAAAATACCTTTTTTTAGCAAATGAAGGTTAGGTTGCAAATTAGCTGAACAAAGATTGAAAAGAATCTTACATGCAGTCCCCGTGGCCAAGCCTCCCACCATCGCCATTACCCCAGGAGTAGACGTCCCCCTCTGCTGTGAGGGCCAGGAAGTGTTTGCTGTCAGGGTGGGCGGCCAGCTTGATCACCTCCTTGTCTCCGAACCCACCCACAGGTTGAGGGGACTGCAAACAGAGCAATGTTTATAAAAATACATGTGGCTGTGAGTGAGTAAGGTTTAACTTCATTCAGCAACATGCCAGCTGGGGACACTAGGTTTGGGTTATACAGTGGAAGCTGTCAAAACCAGCAGCTGTCCAATTTGGCAAGTTGTCAACACCGGAATAAGATCTCAGTCCCATCCGTGGCTAGTAGATTTATCATCATTTTACAGCTTTGCAATCCGGCAGCTGTCAATTCCGGATCTCAGCTATGAAATGAGCTAACCGAATATGTGTTTATTCAGTAATCAGCGCTGTCTAATCCGGCACATGGCAAGGAGTCAACCTAATGTGTATTCTCATTAATTAATCCTGCATTGATTACATGGTTGCCGATAAAGACAATTTAATATTAGTTCAGCATGGGTATAGTTGTACATGTAACTAGTGGGTTGACATGGTTTATTGTGATACAGCATTGGATATGAGAGTGACAAAACTGGTCAACTTCTAGTCGGAGATAACCGTGTCAGCTCTACAATCAAAGGCGCTGTCTAATCCGGATTATTTCTTCAGTCCCGACCAGTGCTGGTTTAGACAGCTTCCACTGTATATTATGTACCATTGTAGGGAATCAAACCCTTGCCATTTCTGTGACAAGCAAACACTTCATCAATTCAGCTACCCTGGTGCCCCCATAGGAGTGGGAAGAGAGTGAGTGAATGTTTGCTTTTGTTGTTTAATGCCAGCCATCAATATTCCAGCTATATCACTGAAGCCTGTAGTTAACTGAATCTGGGCCACACAAACCAGTGGTTGATAGTAAGATCACCATCCTACAACTTTGGGGAAAGATGACACACAATTAGCCAAGCCAACACCTAGCTCTTTTGAAAAACATGAAAAACTGTGAAGAATTCTGACCTGGCATTGCCACAGGTGTATAAAGTTAGTGAATGACTATAGTCTTGAAATTTCAGTGAGCCCATGTGAGAATCTACAGGCATCTCCACTGCCCCAACATCAATGTCCGGTGTGCTACATACCTGTGACTCAGAGCTGTAGAACATGGTGTACACACGTCCAGTTCTCGTCAGCGCCAGGAGACACCTCTCTGCACACGCCACCTGCTGGATGCCGCCCATGTCGTTGAAGAAGTCCAGGAGGTGTGGTCCGTTGTTGCTGGTTCCGCCCATCCAGCCCAGCCACCCCCAACCCATCACTTCTTGTGTCACTGCTGAACGGTGGTTCTAGGGGAAACAAACTCCAGATTACATACACATTACAGGCACAACAGCTTATAGTCAGCCGGTAATCTTCAGGAATTGCAACTGGCCTAAAGTATGATACCTATGTGGAGTGAGTGAGTGAGTATGTTTTTACGCCGCTTTTAGCAATATTAAAGCAGTATCGTGGCGAGGGACACCAGAAATGGGCTCCACACATTGTGCCCATGTGGGGAATCGAACCCAGGTCTTCAGAGTGACAAGCCATCACTTTAACCACAAGGCTACCCCACTGCCCTGGAGCGAGTGAGCTTGGTTAAGTGCCATTTTGAACAGTATCACAGCATGTTCGTTTAATATCCGAAGAAAGCTTTAAAGCTCATCATCAGATGTTGTAATTGGCCCAGACCTATCACTTTGGGCTTCCCAGTCATATTCAGCTTATACATAAGGAAGGATGGCAATATATGGATGAACAACTTCTTTACTGAGACCGCGACGTTTCGGTGTAGGTTCAAACACTGTTATCAAACAAGTGATAAAACGTAACTCTCACTGTAATAAAGAAGTTGTTCAATGTCCATCCATATATTGTCATCTTTCCTTATTGATCCAACTTTTAAATGCTTCTCAAAGAAGTAAGGTCAGGATATAACTGGAATACGAATACAGTTACAAGCAGTGTTCAACCCAACTCACTCACTGCCTGTACAGTAACTACTGGTGTGCACTGACTCACCTTGTGGCTGGAGCTGGGTGGTAGGTAGGGTGCGGCCAGTCGGTCCAGATGGGCCATGATGACCACGGCACTCTGTCTCAGGTCCACGGCCGTGTTCTCGTCTTCAGGGTACGTCAAATATCGCAAGAAACATTCCGTTGGGCTCACATGGAATGAACCCGCCTGTAAACAAGCAGGTGATAATCAGCCTGAGCTGAATGATTTGTACCAAAGATTAATTCATTAGAGAATAAACAAGAATCAAGGAACTGTGATTATCTGTCCTAAATGAATGAATTGTGAATGTCCATTTCAGAATTTATTGAAGAGGGACAGATAACCTAAAAGTCCATATTTTCAGTGGATTAAATTAAGAAAAAAATGTAACATGCAACTGCACTCATAGACTTCACTGAAGAAAACCTATTGTTCAGATGAGTTCTGGCAGCAACTTGTGATGTCAGGCACAATGGATGATGTTATATCATGTTATTCTCAGCAATTAAGCAGTGTGATGTTATATTGGCCAATTAGCACCGAGAATCCCTAAAATGCATATGTCCAAATGTTGGAAGGTTCAACTTACATCGTCCCATCTGGACATTTCGAAGATCCTTGACTTAGAATTGTGGACACTCTCGAAACGTTTGATCAGCGGCAGCAGTGGTGCAGAGATGAGGCTGCTGCTGATACGGTTGTCGTATTCATGGTGACTGTTGTTCCAGAGGTTGAGGAGAAGTAATACTGATGATAAGATGTGACTGAGAGATCCTCGCTGTACTGCTAGTTCCAGGAGGAGAGCTAGAGCGATCTGCTGGTCCTGTACAGGAATCTTACTGGAGCCTCGGGCACTGCTGCTGCCACTCAGGTCCCTGTAACAGCAACAACGACAGAGTGAGTGAGTGAGTGAGTGTGAGTGAGTGAGTGAGTGAGTGAGTGAGTGAGTGAGTGAGTGAGTGCGTGAGTGAGTGAGTGCGTGAGTTAGTCCATGATGATTAAATAGCATTCTATTAGCATATAAACTGAAGGGTACTCTCTTTTTCTTTCCTTACTACATCTATTGTGTAACTGATTATATCACCATAATGACAAAGGTTATGGATAACATTCCTGCTTGACAATCAGAACAAGAATCTGTATTGAAATGCTGCACTTACTCTGATATTGTACTCATTATTGTACTTCCCTACTTCTAAAAAATTGTGATTGCATTACACATGAAAGTGTTTGTTTGTTTAGTTGGGATTCAGTGATCAACAGCATGAGCATCAATCTACGCATTGGATACGATGAAATTTTTCAACCAAGTCAGTGATGCTGATCATAAGATCCTGTTAGTCGCCTCGACGACAAGCATGAGTTGCTGAAGACCAATTCTAGCCTAGATGTTCCCAGGTGTTTATGTTGTTTCGAACAGTATTTAGGTTCTGGCTGTCTTGAGTTAAAGTACTATACACTCACCCTGCTACAACTGAGTGGAGGAACTTGGTGGCCCTCTCCACCACCTCCAGCCAGACGGAGGAGACAGAGGCCTCGTCAAACAGCGTGGCTTCAGGCAGAGATCGCAGGGCATCCAGCGACTCTTGAAGCAGCTCACTACACAAGTCAGCATCTTCACCTGAACGCCAGGCTCGTCGTAGGAATGCAAAGGCAAAGCTCAGAGCTGCCCTGGATCCAACTCTTGCAAGTCCCATTGTGGCTTTCTCTGCTGGCTTTGAGGAGGAACTGGAAGTAGACAGCATCAATATCAACAACACTGCCAGCATCATCCACACCACTGCCAACATCAACAATACCACCACCTACATCATCCAGAACAACACCAACACCATCTGTACAACAGGCAACATCATCTACATCACAGCCAGCATCATCCACACCACTGCCAACATCAACAATACCACCACCTGCATCATCCAGAACAACACCATCTGTACAACAGGCAACGTCTACATCACAGCCATCATCATCCACACCACTGTCAACATCATCAATACCACCACCTACATCATCCAGAACAACACCAACACCATCTACAACAGGCAACATCATCTACATCACAGCCATCATCATCCACACCACTGCCAACATCATCAATACCACCACCTACATCATCCAGAACAACACCAACACCATCTGTACAACAGGCAACATCATCTACATCACAGCCATCATCATCCACACCACTGCCAACATCATCAATACCACCACCTACATCATCCAGAACAACACCAACACCATCTGTACAACAGGCAACATCATCTACATCACAGCCATCATCATCCACACCACTGCCAACATCATCAACACCAACACCTACATCATCCAGAACAACACCAACACCATCTGTACAACAGGCAACATCATCTACATCACAGCCATCATCATCCACACCACTGCCAACATCATCAATACCACCACCTACATCATCCAGAACAACACCAACACCATCTGTACAACAGGCAACATCATCATCTACATCACAGCCATCATCATCCACACCACTGCCAACATCAACAACACCAACACCTACATCATCCAGAACAACACCACCATCTGTACAACAGGCAACATCATCTACATCACAGCCAGCATCATCCACACCACTGCCAACATCATCAATACCAACACCTACATCATCCAGAACAACACCAACATCATCTGTACAACAGGCAACATCATCTACATCACAGCCAGCATCATCCACACCACTGCCAACATCATCAATACCACCACCTACATCATCCAGAACAACACCAACACCATCTGTACAACAGGCAACATCATCTACATCACAGCCATCATCATCCACACCACTGCAACATCAACAACACCAACATCATCAACACCACCACCTACATCATCCAGAACAACACCAACACCATCTGTACAACAGGCAACATCATCTACATCACAGCCATCATCATCACCACTGTCACATCAACACACCACCCACATCATCAGAACAATACCAACATCATCCAGAACAACACCAACACCAACATCATCCAGAACAACACCAACACCATCTGTACAACAGGCAACATCATCTACATCACAGCACAGCCATCATCATCCACACCACTGCCAACATCAACAACACCAACACCTACATCATCCAGAACAACACCAACACCATCTGTACAACAGGCAACATCATCATCTACATCACAGCCATCATCATCCACACCACTGCCAACATCAACAACACCAACATCATCCAGAACAACACCAACACCATCTGTACAACAGGCAACATCATCTACATCACAGCCATCATCATCCACACCACTGCCAACATCATCAATACCACCACCTGCATCATCCAGAACAACACCAACACCATCTGTACAACAGGCAACATCATCTACATCACAGCCAGCATCATCCACCACTGCTATCATCAACCAACACCATCATCATCAATACCACCACCTACACCATCTAGAACAACACCTACATCATCCAGAACAACACCAACACCATCTATACAACAGGCAACATCATCTACATCACAGCCATCATCATCCACACCACTGTCAACATCATCAATACCACCACCTGCATCATCCAGAACAACACCAACACCATCTGTACAACAGGCAACATCATCTACATCACAGCCAGCATCATCCACACCACTGCCAACATCATCAATACCAACACCTACATCATCCAGAACAACACCAACACCATCTGTACAACAGGCAACATCATCTACATCACAGCCAGCATCATCCACACCACTGCCAACATCATCAATGCCACCAGCATATATCATCCAGAACAACACCAACACCATCTGTACAACAGGCAACATCATCTACATCACAGCCATCATCATCCACACCACTGCCAACATCAACAATACCACCACCTACATCATCCAGAACAACACCAACACCATCTGTACAACAGGCAACATCATCTTCATCACAGCCATCATCATCCACACCACTGTCAACATCATCAATACCACCACCTACATCATCCAGAACAACACCAACACCATCTGTACAACAGGCAACATCATCTACATCACAGCCAGCATCATCCATACCACTGTCAACATCATCAATACCACCACCTACATCATCAATACCACCACCTACATCATCCAGAACAACACCAACACCATCTGTACAACAGGCAACATCATCTACATCACAGCCAGCATCATCCACACCACTGTCAACATCATCAACACCACCACCTACATCATCCAGAACAACACCAACACCATCTGTACAACAGGCAACATCAACATCACAGCCATCATCATCCACACCACTGTCAACATCATCAACACCAGTTGTTGATGCCACAAGGGAAAACTTGGCGAAGCTCCATGTAAATGATTCCTGCTACAACTGACATGGAAGAGTGGTGAGTGAGTCTGGGTTTGATGCTGCTACCCCACATGTTTCAGTTCATGGGTCAGCTGACTTCAGGTAGAGACTCACAGTGGTCAGGTCACACTATACAACCTGGATGTAACCAAGGAGCATTATGGGACAAACCAACCAGTGAAGGGTGAAAAGGAGCTTTCAAAATCATTTCAATTACATAACTTTGCACCTGCATGTGTGTGGCTGTTTGAGCTAGTCCAGACTTATGCCAATTCAATAGAGTAGGTATGTGTCACAGTATAACAAGGATACCCCATTCAGACACAGAGACATCCAGTCCTCGTTCCACCCCATTAATGCCAAGCACTAGACAGGGTGACAACAAGTACCATCTTCTAACATGTTAGCTAGGACATCTTTATGAGGATTCAGTGGAATTTGAACTTGAGTATGGTGTGAATCAGTGACTGAATGTTGTTTTATGCTGCATACATGAATCACATCTGACACAATATTTATCAACACTCCTCCATCAGCCCACCTTTTCTGCTTGTTGAGGTTGCTCTGGTTGGCTTGTCTTTTCTTGGTTGGAGCCCGTTTGTCATAAGGACTCTGTCTACATACGGCGGTGAAGTATCGCTCCAACACTGCCAGTCGCTGGTGTAGTCGCGTGGCCGACAACGTTGTCGCTGCCGACTGAATACACAGTTGCTGGTGCTCATGTAATAAGGAATGTAGGCATTCTTTGAGCTTGTTGATGTCTGAAATGCATGGAGGAGTAACATCATGTTTAAATATTTACCAAACTTATAAGACATATATCTTGAAAAATTATCTACCAATATTCTCTCCACATCCCTTAACATTGTTTGAATCAAAATAATATGAACGTGTCTATTTTATCTGAAAACTATTAAAAAATTCTTTAAAAATCTTTCACAGATTAGAAGCCTCACAGGGTTGTGAAAGTTTGCTTCCCATCCTTTCCCCTATCCCTATACATACCTGACTCTTGCTTCCTCTAATCCTCTCTCCTACTATACACCTCCCTGGTTTTTGCCCTAACAAAACCCCTCCCATCCATACATCTACATGTACCTGGTTGCAGCCACAAGTTCATCTAACACTCATACACCTACCTGGCTGTTGCCCCCAAGTCCACGACTCAATGACAGGCATCGATGGCTTGGGCTGCGTCGCCTCCATCGCCAACAGCGCTGATTCCTCCTGGTCCAGTTTCTGACAGGCCGGGCAGTTACAGCCATTGTCAGGTCCACAGTGGCCATCGCAGCATGGGCAGGACAACACCTTCATGCCACAGTAGTATTTACCGGTGTCCCCTGCAACAAACAACAAACACTTAGCACAACAATCAAGTAATATTTTGCCTAAAATGTGCTTGCTTTTAACCCCACACTCAGCAATATTCCAGCAATATCATTGCTGTGTTGACCAGCCAATCCACTGACTGACCATCTGTCGTCTGTAATTGGTATCAGTGAGTGAGAGAGTGAGTTGGGTCATATGCTGCTTCTAACAATATTCCAACAATATCACAACAGGTTTTGACATACATCAAAACCCTTCAGAGAACCCCAACCACCAGATCCTTTCAGTTGCCTCTTATAGCAAACATGAGATGCTGCAGACTAGTTCTAAACCTTCATAAGGTAAAATAAGGTGTAAATATAAAACATGAACTACCATTAAAGAGCCACGGTGGGCTCAGGGCTGCTCTCATCTAAATTATCAAATAAACTCAGGGAATCTCTCATTAGTTGTTTCTCATTCAACAATTGGGAACAATGTCCAGTGAACTTTAACATTATAAAGCAAAACGAGCCACACTTGACTGTCTACTAGCATCCTCTATAAACTGACCATAATTCACCTTAAACATGCAGCAAACATAAAACATGAATAACAGCTGTGTCCATGTTATCGCAGCAGCTTTATGACTAAGTTAAAGGTATCTATTCTATTTCCACAACATTAACTCTGCACTGTTTAGAGCCATCAGTCTTTGTCTCACACCGAATGCCACTGGAAACAATCCTAGTGGTATTTGTAGCAACCAAGTCGAAGTTAGTGTTGCACACAGTCTTGACTGAAGAGTATGTTAAGAAACCATGCTCAATAATCCACTTGGCTTACCTCACACTTGCTGCACATATCACAAGTATATGTTGAAGTGCATAAGATTAAACTGCACTTAATGATTAGCTTGTCTCAGGTGGTCCAGTATCTTCAGTATCAACCAATGAATGACAACCAATGAAGCAACATGACATGACAGTAACATTGTGTTGGACACATTGAAGGGTCAGCTCACATATATCACTCTGGGAAACACCATTGGAAGTGATTCCCAGTGCATGATCAAGATGATGTTGTCTATATTACAGTCAATGAGTTGGTCATAGAAAGATCACTTTGCTAAACACCTTCTGTGATGTCCAGTAAATAACTGCATGTTAGTAAAACTTACCATCCAGTGAATATGAATGGTGCTTTACAAACAACACATAATACATCCAGTGAGTGAATGATTGTTTAAGTAACACTTTGCAAAACATCCAGTGAATGATTCTCTATAAATAACACTTAATACATCCAGTGAGTGAATGATTGTTTAAGTAACACTTTGCAAAACATCCAGTGAATGAGTCTCTATAAATAACACTTAATACATCCAGTGAGTGAATGATTGTTTAAGTAACACTTTGCAAAACATCCAGTGAATGATCCTCTATAAATAACACTTAATACATCCAGTGAGTGAATGATTCTGTTTAAGTAACACTTAAAACAAATAACATTTAAACATCAGGTAAAAGAATGGTTGTATTTAATAACACTTAACAAGGCATCCAGTGAATATGAATGATTCTGTATAAATAGCATTTAAGGCATCCGGTGAATGAATGATTCTGTTGAAATATATAACACTTAAAACATCCAGTGAGTGAATGATTCCATCAAAATAACACTTAAAACATCCAGTGAGTGAATGATTCCATCAAAATAACACTTAACATGACATCCAGTGAGTGAATGATTCCATCAAAACAACACTTAAAACATCCAGTAAGTGAATGATTCCATCAAAATAACACTGAAAACATCCAGTGAGTGAATGATTCCATCAAAATAACACTTAAAACATCCAGTGAGTGAATGATTCCATCAAAATAACACTTAAAACATCCAGTGAGTGAATGATTCTGTCTAAGTAACACTTAATATGACATCCAGCGAATGATCCACTAAAACATCACTTTGTTTAAGATGATCCATGACATCCAGTGATCGAATGTATCAAGGTGAAAATAATGGATAAGATGCCCTCACTAAACGATCACTTGGCAAAAAATCAAGATATCCTGTAAATGAATGATTCTGTCAATATATACTTTAACGAGATGGCCACAACATGCAAAGATCCCTTCGTTAAATAACAGCAACAGCAACATCCATGGAACCGATGCATCAAACCAGAACCAATGATCTGTACAATCAGGCGTTCAATGTTTCCAAAACGCGAACGTTCACATATACGTTCCACACTCATCCACATTCCTGTGTTCTGTGGTACACACACTGTATCTTTAGAAATGCAATCCGCTGAAAAATATGCACCTGTTCAAATTTCAAAAACAACAGTCAATATGGTAAAATACACATTCACTTCAAACCCAGTTCCAAGGCCTGTTTTTTCTCTCGACAATGTAAACATATGAAGATGTTACAACTACATCAGGCTCCCCTGCATGGATGATACGGGAAATAACGGATGAGCAATATCCCATTATGATTAATTACCATGATTATCGACACATCAAATGATACGGAAGTATTTTGGTACTGACAAAAATGTGTGGGTGAGGTTTCGTCTCTTGGCCCATTTAGCGATCATCAGATCTCAAAATAAGCTCAGAACTATTTTGTCTCCTGAAGTGATGTTTTCCTCAGCTGCTGCTAAGGATTAGTGCAGCTCAGAGTATGGTAATTGAAGCAGCAATTACACCTCTTGGCTCAGGATCAACCATTCACTTAGCATGCTTTGTGGTGAGAAGTGTGAGAACCATTAGCCTTACATAATACAGTGATGCTGTTGATACATACAGAGATTCACTGAGGTGCATTACACAATGTCTTCATAAATTAATTGTTTTGCCTCAGACACGGCAGGATACATTCCCCTGTTTATTCTGTTCCTTAGAAACACTTGCAAAAGCTCCTTTTTCATGAGCTGTTTGTTTGAGAACCAAATATTTTACCATATTGATGGTTCCCAATGCAAAAGTTTTTGAATTCATTCCATGGCCATGTAAGAAACCAGTGTTGAGACTATTCCCATCTGGGAACAAAACACATACAGTGACATATAGGTGTGCTAGTCTTAGCAATAAGACTGCTTCATGGCATGGGAACAGCCTTTATAACTTAACCATACTATGCCAATACACCTACTGAACTTTGTCCAGGAAGTTACATCATCCCTGTCCACAGCTAACTTCAGGTTAGAAGGAATTGTCCTGTAGCATCCCCTCCCTCCCCCACACAGTTAAGCTAGAAAATAATTCTATAATAGTAACATAAACTCCATGGAAACTGATGCCAAGAGACAATAGAAGTCCTGTAAGTCAGACTTTGTCACAGATTGCAATCAAGTTGCCTGACCTTCTGTCAGCCCTCCACACCCAGCTGAACTAAACTTTGGTTTTGTTTGTTTTTAGCTCAGCTATCAACTCAGCAATATGCTAGCTATACTAGAGCTACCTAAAATTGATTGAGTCTGGACGAGACCAACTTGTGGCAATATTATGAGCAACACCCAACACAATCAGGGTATAATAACATGATATGGTAACTAAGTCACCAAGCCTGACCAACCAATCCACATTCTGGACAAGACAAACTTGTGGTAATATTATGAGCAACACCCAACACAATCAGGGTATAATAACATGCCATGAACTAAGTCACCAAGCCTGACCAACTAATCCACATTCTGCACAAGACAAACTTGTGGCAATATTATGAGCAACACCCAACACAATCAGGGTATAATAACATGCCATGAACTAAGTCACCAAGCCTGACCAACTAATCCACATTCTGGACAAGACAAACTTATGGCAATATTATGAGCAACACCCAACACAATCAGGGTATAATAACATGCTATGAACGAAGTCACCAAGCCTAACCAACCAATCCACAATCTTATGACCAGCATAGCTTGCCGGAAACCGGTTCTAACCTGGATCACCACTTGAAGCTTATTGGTAGACCAGGAAAGGTTGTTAAGGAACTATTTTAACCTAGAATACGTACTGGGTGTCTTAGAGTAAGTTGCTAGAGACCTACTCTAACCCGGAATCACCATTTGACCCAAACAACAATAACAATTCACCTTGACCACATAAATCTTTCAAATTATATCTACCAAAAAAAACAACTGTATTTAATAAAATAATATGAAAATATTATGCAAATATTTCACCATTATAAGGAATGAGAACTACCCATCGTGTTTGTTCAGTTGTGTGTGTACTCTGATTAAAGGAGGCATCATCACACTGATAGCAATAGCAGTGTAAGTAAATGCATCTTCCGACCACTACCTCATTAAGGTAATGTATTCCACCTGCATGTTTTTACCCTCTTGTCTGCCCCATTACCTCTGGTTGCCCACACCTGCTTCTGGTTACAATGATAAACATACAACTCAACCCAGGTGACATATCACCTGCTTTCTCTGGAGTTATGCCCCTTGCATGCAGCAAGATATGCTGCACTGATTGCATATAAATTGCTTGTTTTTAAAGCAGCATCCTGTGATCAGATTCCAATACAAGGAAGGCTGCTGGTAAATAATGTCCATTTGAAAAGTCCTTAAGTTCAGAAAATTGAAAAGACATACAAACTGTCATGTTGAAGCAGGTAACAGACTTATGATATCAAATGGACTGTGAATTGGGATCTAAGAACATATTTCTCTCCCTGTATTTTATAGAATTTGTTACCCCATGGTCTGACGGACAGAGTTGCATGTGCCAATATCCATTGTTAGTGCATTTGAAAACCAGATCTGCAAGGAGTTTGATCCTTGAGGTGAGGTGAGATTGGGTTTAACGTCGTGCTTGAGAATATTTCGCTCATATGACGACGTGCATGCGTGTGTATGTGCGGCTGCTTGTACTAGCCCAGACTGAAGCTGGTTTTATAGTGCTAGCCCACTGAGATACCATGCCGCAGTGAAGCATGAATACCCCACTCAGACACATTATACAAACTCCGAGCCGACCAGTCCTTGTTGTACCCATTAATGCCG